TGAGCTTTACCTTGCTTGGGCCCCCAACATACCATCAGATATATGTTATGTGTAGGGGTACGCACTGAGAATCGTACAATGACGCCTGCTTCGCTTCCTCTAAGCAAACGAGAAAAAAAAAAAAAAAAGCGATGAACATTTCATTTGGAAACTTTGAACAGAAATAGCATACATAATAGCAGTGGTTCTCAACCATTGATGTTTCGCGGACCCCTTGTAGAAAGGCGGAGATGATAAAGGACCCCGTTCGGGGAGCGGGGAATAGAAAGGTATAGGTTATCATGATAATGATTTAATCAATGAATATAACTAATTGCTAGTGTGAAGTAGACTTATCTCATTGACATACACACGAGAGTACTCACCCGAAAATTGGAACGTTTCTTCTCAACGTGAAGAAAGACAACTGATATTGCCGTGCTTGACTGTTGAGACAGGGCTTCGGGGGCCCCTAGGATGCCTTCGCAGACACCCATTTGAGAACCACTGCATTATAGAAGCCGTGGCATTGTCCCAAGTCGAGAGACCTCAAACAACGTGACATTTCGGAATATGATCTGGCTGCGATAAATAGTTGGTCTGTTTTATTGCCAGCTATTAGCTGTTCACGACGACCTCGACGCACTGCTAAAGTCCTTAGCAGAGAAAGTATGCCTGTAGCGTGACACACACAAAGACACGCACAAAATATATCATTTTGTATTTATTAATATTACCCTAAAAAATGATTTTGGTATGAAAAGAGTCAAGTGCAACGGGTCAAAGCGAGATATTTTTTAAAAATGGCTGTTATGAAAAGGGTCAGGTGAGAAGGGCAAAGCAAGAAGTGGCCCAAATGAGGAGAGTTGGAATGCGAAAGACGAAACGGGAAAGGGCCAAATGCGACAGGTCCAAGAGAGAATATCTTTTTGAGAATGGTTGTTTTGAGAAGGGCCAAGTGAGAAAGGCGAAACAAGAACGGGCTCAAATGATAACCACGCGTGTAAACTTGGCGGTCCGGAATATTTTCTATTTCTCTCGGGCATTATCCTTTCTTTCTTGGCTTGAGAAACTTTTGTCAACGTTATAAACGAGCCTTTCTTATAGGTATTGCGCACATTTGACCTCGGAAATACCGCAAAACGTACGCTCTCGTGAAATGCAGTTCCAGGGTCACCGCGTAAACGGCGCCAGCGTGTCAGTGTGTTCTCTCGTCCTAAGAAATTTTAAGAGGTTTCAACAGGTCTTGTCTCTCTCGGTCGTACTCGGTTGCAAGAGCCGAAAACTGCGTGCCAAAACTATTCGCTCAAGAGCGATACTTTTTTGTTTTTTTCGCACAGAGAAGTTGACACAGTGATCTGTTCGTCCGAGGGAAACAACAGCGTTCCGCTCGGCTCTTTCGAGTAAGTGACGGCGTTCTTTTAAAGTATAATGACCGTTCTTTCGAGTTGACCTCCATCCACCTGAAGCTACGCGTGTGCGAAAGAGACGTCAGCATTCGTATACTGATGATAGTAATCGACGAAAGAGCCCGCGCGTGTATTCCGGCAGCTATTCTACCACCAGCTCCGCGAGTGCAGAGCGGAATTCTTCGGTAAATAGATCGCGCGACCTCTCAAAAGTCTCCGTCTTCTCGGTGAACGCAATATGGCTGCTTCGGCACCTTGTACTGAGCGGTGAGTCAAAAGGACCCAAGTACGGCGGACTGACGTCCATGATCTCGGCTTCTACTCTCCAGACTGACTTTCGTAATTTTTCGACATTCAACCAGCAAATATTTTTCGAGGAGAATACATTCTACGGGGTTAGGTCGAGCAATTGAAACCCGGTGTCTCGACCCGCACAGGTAAGCTATACGCGCCGCAGAAGGGTGAAACTACGTGAGAATCTGAGGCTGGTGGTGATGCAATACGAAAGTTTGAGTGCATGGCATTACTTCAATCAAATAATACGAAAAAAAAATATCTATGAGCCGACATCCACCCAAGCTTAATATCAAATTGATATATAAGATTGTGAACGCCTGCAAAATTTATGACAGCAAAAACAAATATCTAAACACTTGTTAGTTAGAAAGACGATACGTTTTCTTGCTAACAAGTTGCTTTTCTTTTCTTTTTTCCACTGACATAATTGTTACACGCACCCACATTCTCAAATTTTGATTTCGTGAAAATTACGCTTAGGTGGACGTCGGCTCATAGAGATATTATGTCTTTCTTTAGTAGCTTTTGATCCAGTGTAAAGTCGGATGCTCTAACTTTCGCATGTTCTTATACCCGCTAACGTCACCCTCTTACGAAGTTTCAGCTTGCTCCGGTGCGTAGTTTAATTCTGCGGGCCGACAGCCTGTCTAGCGGCGCGGTCCGCACGGCGCACGGCTGGTGATATCTGTTTGTCGGGAACACCTATACCGTGATAATGCAATTATTGCAAAGTTGCAAGCCAGCTGGTTCGACACCAAGACCAGGCGCATTTTTTCGGTCGCTCAGCTAGCTGAGTTTGGAGATTTGTGTTGGTTCTTTGTCCCCCTTGTTCCCCTTCTCCAGGCATCATTATCGTCGTGGCGCCATCAGGCTGCTGTAGCACGTAGCAGGGCGCGTTGCTTTTATGTTTGCTCTCATCAAAAGAGCGCGTTCCTCAGGCACGGAAGCGCAAGGGCATTTTTTAGCTTCGACTGCTTTCGTGCCATCATCGAAATTAGTCGTGCTCTCGAATCACACATGAACAGCCACTGTGATGCCAGCCGGCGTCTCTACACTGCGTTTCACCGAATGTTGTACTGCAGCGAAAGCTAGAAGCGCGAGCTGATACCGTTGGCAGTTGCTCTTAGTGCACGAGACATTGTGCCGCCGAGATCTTCCCCAGAGGAAAGAGCTCGCGCTTGTAGCCTTTCCTGCAGTACACCTTTAGGGTGATATAGAGTATAGTGACGACTTGAATCTTCCACGTGCCCACTGGCTGACGAGGCTGAGCCTGACGAGATGCCGCGAGGAGAACAGGTCAGAACCAGATACTAATGGTAGCTAATGGTGCCTTTGATGGTGCCGCGCCTTGCGCGCCATCGATTGATGTCTGGATACCCTAGGAAACAAGAGAAAACCTTTGTGCAGCGCCGCGAAGTCAATGCGTGACGAAACGCGGCGGCCGCGGCCTGTACTACAAGGTGCACTCTGGTACACTCTTTTGTGGGCAGGTCAGGATTGCAGTAGGTCGTGCGTTGCTCATTTACCTTCAGCGCGTCTTCGGCACCAAATCCTCCTCGAGGGTTTGCACGGCGATAGATGGCGGGAACCTCCCCTCCAAATAAAGGCCCTTTATGTTTCAAAAGTAGCGCAAAGTGCGCCGATGCACGAGGCACATGCAACCAGGGATTTCCCTAGACCCCCCCTAGGGGGGGTTGAGACCCCCCCCCCTTAAATCTAAAAAAAAAAGGAAAACAAAATTTTTTTTTTTCAGATTAAGTAGAAAATTCCATCTCTCAGGTGTATATATAGAGAAAGGGAAACATACATTACGGGTATGAGCATTTGGTTAATAGACGTCTGTAATTTAGCTAGTGGACTAAAAAAGAAACAGTTTTATATTTTATCTAGCCTCGCCTCGCATCGCCTCCCCCCCCCCCCCCCCCCCCGAGCCATTGGGACACCCCCCCTTGATTAGAATCCTGGGAAAACCCCTGCATGCAACGTGCAGCCCTTGGGAAGATTATGGCGGCACAGCGCAGCACTGAGCTAGACTTCAGACGCCATTAATTTCCCAGAAGTGGCGCGCGGCACGTGCCTCGAGCATTTCTAAAACAATAAATGGCGCCACTTTTTCCAGGATAGAGGGGCTTTACTCCCAACACAAAAGAGAAAACTTCGAGGATGAGCGCGTCCCGCCGTTACAACTACGCATAAGCTGTTGGCACCGTGGCCATTGGATTCTCGCGGAGTAAGTTTTGTGTTCCATAGTAAAATATTTGCTAACACTGTGGTTTCGAGGACCTCCTGCTTCCATTTCCCCTTTCATTGCCTGTAGCGAGAATGTACCAAGGAAATTATATTAAAATCTAAATATAACCTCCTTGGAATGTACGCGATAAGCACATGAGAACAGCGAGACTTCCACTGGAGAAATCATTTTTCAACCTGTAGCAGTGGGAACTATCCCCAATGCAGCGTTTATTGTAAAGTAAAACAAAAACAAAAATGTTAACACGTTTTGTGGTCATTTGTAAATTGTGCGTATCAGGCGGAGGGGTTATATTAAATAAATAAGTAAATAAATTCTTCCGTTCGCGGATATTTAACTTTCAATGAGAAAATTCTGTCGAAAATTCATCTTGCATTCGTGCATCCTCCATTGAAATGTTTCAAAAACTGCTCGCAACTTTTGAATCAGACAACAAAAGCTAATTTGGGGCGGAAACTGAATGTTCGGCGACGCGTAATTCATTTTTGCAATAAAATAAATCAATCAATAAAAAAAAGGACGCGGTCTTTTTTTTTTAATTTTTGTTTACACTAAATTTGGGAAAAAGAAATTGAGCGATGAAAGGTCGGCTGCCGCTGACTCATCAAGACAGAAATCGACGAGAGCATGGTTGGACGCACTGGTTGGACGAGAGTAATGGTGGGAATTACTGTGTTGTGGGAATCAACCAAACAACCATTATAGTTTATTGCGTCATGCAAGTTGTAAAAATGTGATTTTCACATGCGAGCTTCCGCAGCGCGAGGACTCGCACCTCGCGCTGCTGTTCGAGTTCAAAACACAGTTTTGAATTCGAAATGGACAGACTCTTTCGAAATAAATGCCTGCACTACTGTGCTCCGTCAAAACAGCACACATTCTCGCATTTAAATTCAATACCATTCAACGAAGGGTGAAAAATGTTACCTTTTTGGCGTTGTCCAAAGGTTGAAGTTGGCTCCCATCAGTGGCCACCATAATCCACGAGAAAGCAGACGACACTAGGTGCTAGTGTCGTCTGCTTTCTCGCGGATTATGACGGCTTCAAGTTTTCCCATCAATCCAATCCAAATCCGCATGGGCGCTTTCGGGGCTGCGTTTGTTCGTCGAGTACTTGATACCCTCGCCAAGAAATGGTTAAAAAGGACTGTGTCGAGTATTTCCTCGGGCGGATCGGCAAGCTCGAAAGCCAGATACGGAACAACGAACACCTCACAGCGTTGCACAACAACGTTTCCCTCCTCAAGTCGCTCCACGAGTCAGCAGTGAGCGTCGAAACCGACGTACGATGGACGCTTTCCGAACTGTCGCTGATGCTCAGCGAACTCAGAGTCAGCGCTGGAGATACCGAAGAGGACACCGTTCAGCTGGACTACGATCTGGTGCAAGCCAGGATCAAGTCGGCAAACTCGTCCAAGTGTTGCTGCGAGTGCCACAGGCAAGGGGCTGCCGACTCGTTAACTTCGGTTGAAGCTCGGAAGGAAGACGCTGCTTCCAACGGCGATGGTACGTTACAGGATTTAATTCTCATTGTTTTATATAACGTGGGTTCGAATAACTATTATGTCAATGTCTATTAAACGAAAAAAAAAAAAAGTAGTGTGTTACGTTAGATCAATGGTGGAGGTCAGAAACAAAGTCTATTCGGTCAGCGTGGTGCTCCCAAATCCCTCTGGTCTTATGAGCTCTCCCCACGCTTTTTCTTTTATTTCCACCGCGTTATAAAGTGAGTCACAAGCATTACATAGATAGAGGCTGACAGCGCCATAGCGTAATTGGAATTCGACTTAAGAAGGCAGAGTTGAGTAAATGGAGTAAAAAGACGCACCACGCGGCGCGCGTACTACCTTTGGTGGAAACTACTGCGCATGCTCGTGTCAAAATCGTTCAAAATAAGCATAGGGGTCGTGTGAGAATGGCTTTTTTTTTTTTTTGGGGGGGGGGGGGGGGGCTTTAGATGTTTGTGTTTTTGGCAGGATGATAATGGCTGGGAGGTCTTTCAGCTTTCCCGTCTCCAGTGTAAGCGGAATGTGTCACTGTGGAAACCCATTCCTGACTAGGTCAAACGTGAAAAAGTTGAGGAATTTAAAGGGCAACCCCGGTGAATTCCAAAAATTCTGAGATGTTTTCTTGCAAACCTCGTTTAAACAAAAATCACAAAAAAAAAAAAAAAAACCTTGCCCGCGGCAGGCAGCATTGGTTCTGCTCGTCAACTACAAGACATCACGTGGTACAGAGATGTCGGCCATGTCATCCGCGAAAGCGGCGGACAGTGTTGTTGATATGGCACAGTCGTGCTTTGGCAGTGTCGCATGTCATCTGCTCTGCTCTACCTGCTTCTTTTCTCGATGCCCGCACTACCGCAGCCGCAGTTTTTAATGCAAGGGAAGTAAGTTTTTCCCAGGTAATGTTTTGTGAGCATCAGAATGTACATTTTTGTAAACCACAGGTAAATATGTCGCCGTTGTTAGGGGAATCGCCCTCGAGTTCCGCATGTTCAGGAATAATGTCCAAGTCTAGTAACAAAGGGCCTGGGGTTTTGCCGCTCGTAGGCGAGGCGCGTCATAGTCGCAACTCTTCTTCGTCTTCTGCTGATGTTTCTTCAACTCCTTCTGCATGTCCGGAAACGTGTTTCATTCTCCAGGGGTCTTTGGCCTGCCCACAGCCAGAACGGACTGGGCGTCAGGACAAACATCATGGTGCAACGGATCTGGGACGGAAATGTGTTGCATTAGAAACTTGGCCATGATGAACTTGCACATAAAAGAAATCATGCTGTAAGCCCGTATGTCCACATACCTGAGGATCTGGTCGTTGCCTGAATTCCAGTGTAGGTGCTACAGGGTTGTTCTGTTTGCATGCCTTTGCTAACACCCCAAATTGGTGTCCGTGTACCTGGCACATCAAAAACATGATATTCACAAGACAAACGTACATGCCATGGGGCACATTTCACAAACCTCTCGACATTGTGCTCGTACATGTCTGGCTCGATGAACTACATCTGGAGCGCTCCTTGTCTGCTCCATAGACATCATTGGACGAAGTATTCGCTAACAAAATGTCACTTGTATTGGCTGTGCTACTATAACATTCTGCTGCAGCAGTGGCTTGATCTGTGCTCTGTAAAAGAATGGCAGGTGATAGTATTCATTTATTATTCCTTGAGGGCCCCCGTTAGGGCATTATACAAGGGGGGTCAATAACACACTAATAATCATAGATTAAAATAAATTAACACTCACAGAGAGGAAGTCAGCAATACAGATGAATCAAAGAACAACAAATACAAGTAGTTATCAACATTACACAATATTATTAATATTTTAACGGTATGCACTGTAAACAGTAAAAAGGAAGAAAAAAATTAGCAGATAGACATGTTTGTAAGTTCCAGGTAATTGATCAGTTCTTCGGCAAATCTATCAGAGTTAGTTTCGGTTACAACGCTATCGGATAATTTATTCCAGTCCTTGATTGTCATGGGCAGATAGGAATTATAAAATGATACAGTTGAACTAAAAATCAGGCAAACTTTGCGGGAGTTATCATGGCGGAGAGATATGCTGTGGGGTGGAAGGAAGAGGGATGTTCTAATAGAGGCACTGTTATAGTATAATTTATGAAACAGGGCTAGTCGAGAAAGAATGCGCCTAAAGGAGAGTGCGTGAAGATTAGCTTTGCTTCTTAGGCCTGTTACGCTAGTGAAACGAGAGTAGTCTGAGAAAATGAACCTTAAAGCTCGGTTTTGAATTGCCTCTAATTTCATAACTAGGTAATGCTGCCATGGGGACCATACAGAAGACGCATACTCTAGACGAGATCTAACAAATGTTATGTATGATAATTGTTTAATTTCAGGTGAGGCCAGTTTGAGGTTGCGCCGAAGATATCCTAATGATGAATTAGCCTTAGATAAAATAAAATTAATGTGAGTTGCCCAAGATAGATCACAGGTTAAATGAACGCCGAGGTATTTATAAGATGTACAGGGGTCAATTATTGTGTCGTTGAGTCGATATGAAAAGAGTGATGGGGACTGTGATCTGGTGAAAGACACTAGTTTCGTTTTATTTGCATTAACTGTCATTTGCCATGTTTGACACCATTCTTCTATTATTAGTAAGTCAGCCTGTAAGTGTAGGTGATCATTATTATTACTTATCGGTCTGTATAGAGCACAATCGTCAGCAAAGAGGCGAATTTCAGATGTTAAGTTAGCAGGAAGGTCGTTAATGTATATTAAAAACAGCAAGGGGCCAAGAACACTACCTTGGGGTACGCCGGACGTTACACGAGAAACAGGTGAACGGGACTCGTTTACAACAGTATATTGTGTACGATCGGTTAGGAAATTTTTTATCCAAGTGATTACTGAATTATGAATACGCAGTTGGGTTAGTTTTTGTAGCAGACGTTGGTGGGGAACTTTATCGAATGCTTTAGAAAAGTCTATGAAAATGACATTGTTCTGTAATCTCTTGTCAAGGTTACTGTGAAGCTCATGAATGAAATGTATTAGCTGGGTATCACACGAATATGTCTTACGAAAACCATGCTGATTTTTAAAAAGCAGATCGTAATTTTCCAGATATTTCATGATAGAAGAGAAAATGACGTGCTCTAGTAATTTACATGAGATGCTGGTGAGAGATATTGGGCGATAGTTCGATACAACATTACGATCCCCACTTTTAAAAATAGGGATGACTCTACCAATTTTCCAATCAAACGGAAGCTTGCCGACATCAAGTGACTGTTGAAAAATAAGGGTTAAAAATTGGGATGAGATATGTTTTGTGTTTTTCAGAAATTTAGAATTTATTTGGTCATCACCGGAGCTGGCAGAATTTTTGAGATTTTCTATTGCTTTCACTATACCCAAATATGTTATTTCGATAGAAGGCATAGCAGAATGAGAGAGGTGATTTAGGAGAGGAATATTGTCATTGTTTTCTAGTGTAAATACTGAGCTAAAGTAGGTATTTATTAGTGAGGCGCTTTCACTATCAGACGCGGGAGTTCCATTCATATTAGTCAGGTGGATGGATTTATGCTCTTTAGGATGAATGATCTCCCAGAACTTATTAGGCTTATTCTTCAAAATGTTAAGAAGGTCGAAGTTAAAAAATTTGTTCTTTGCATTCTTCACTTCTCTTTTATATTCCTTATCAGACGCGTTGTAATTATCCCATGCAATAGTATTGTCCTTTTCTTTAGCTTGCTTGAAATGTCGTTTCTTTCGAGCACTTAATTTGTGCAAATGTAAGCAAGAGGCAACTAGAAGCAAAGAATGTGTAACTGCCTCGGGTGAATGCATGCTGCACTCACTGTGCCTCGATGGAAGCCTTCAGGTTGCTCTTGCAACGAATTGTGAGCTCCTGTGCCTCCGTCACGGTTGTCGTCAAGTGTTGTGCCTGTCAGCACGACATCAGATGTCGAGGTTGCGCTGGTGTTATATTCCACAATCGATGCAACTGGAGCTAGGTCTCCAGCCTGAGAAAGCAATCAATGAATGTTTATTATTATATCCGGTCACCACAGTGAACTTGTACACGAGGTAGCTTTGTGTGGGATAGCTGCGAGAGTGCTGCAATACGGGATGCAACAAAGCAGCAATTCACGACACAGCAAATCAAAGTAAATATTTTATTGACAAACACAATTTATTATGCAGACTTCACTTGAAGAAGATGGATATATTTATATTCTTACCGAGTTTGTATACAGAGTGTGAATGTCTGCATGGGTACGGTGGGAGACAAAGACACAAGGGATGCTTGAAAAGTAGTGAGCCTAACCGAAGGAGCTGTATTGGGCGAATGGCACTTTTGGACTAATCTACATAGTTCCCTTGAGTGTTATGCACTTTACCCAGCGGTGTTCTAGTGTTGCCAACCCATGAAGAGAAACAAATTGTCTAGGTTCTCACATCAAGCATCTGTGATGGCATGGTCACTGGGAAAAGGCTATCGTTTCAGATGTCGTTTGAGCACCGGGAACGGATATAAGACTGACGGTGCCTAACCTGGAGGCTAGGGTGGGTGGGGCACCACCAAGTTTTCCAGGCCTTACTTGGCAACGGCGGCACATAATTTCTACCAAACACTGGGCCGGATGGCGTATTGCAGGAATGACATAGGAACGGCTCCTCTCCTCTCGCGTGTTCCTCTCACGATGAGTTGTGAGCATACCTCGGCAAGCCTCACTCGTGAGGGAGTTTCTGAACCGTGAGGGAGTTTCTGAACCGTGAGGGAGTTTCTGAACCACGAGGATTGTGAGGGCTGTGTGTGTGTGAGGGTGATGAGTGCATGAGGGGTGAGGACTGTGAGTGCGCAAGGGGTATGGGCACATGAAGGGCATGAGAGTGGTAAGGCTAGCGAGTGCGTGGGGGGCGTGAGGACTGTGAGTGCGTGAGCGGTGTATGGGCTGTGAGGGGCATCAGTTCGTAAGGGATCCGAGCTCAAATGAAGCACTTGCATTTGTGTGTGGGGCTTGTGCGAGACAACGAGTTCTCTGTGAGGCCTGATTTCGTTTGAAGTCGTAGAGAATTTATGAGGGGTCTCAGCAGGTATTGTGACCTCTCGCAGCATCTCCCAAGAAATGGGGTTGACGATCGCCTCGCAACAATTTCGCCGCGTGGATGCTTGGTGCAGTTTCATTATTGGGTAACGGGTGAGAAAGGAGTGAGTTACTGCGAGCTGCTTAGCGCTATTTGATAGCGCTGTTTACACAGCTAGCATTGGTTAGGCTGCTTTCTTCATTATGTTTACGAGAAAAAAAGGAAGCTGGGTCGGAATGGTTGGGGGCTCGCTCGCTTGCCTCTTCAGACAGCGAGGCACCGCTGAATGGGCGGCGTTTTGTTGGTTGGCGGCATATCTCGGCAAACCTCACTCATGAGTGCCCTCACTCGCCCTCATGTTCACAGGTCAGGTGAGGGTGAGTGAGGACCGTAACCGCTCATTCACACTGGAAGCGGATCCGCGTTCGCAAAGCGGTTGTATAAAGATCCAGTACAATTGCACGCGCACTTGATGTCATCGAGTGCGCATGCTATTGGACTGGATCTTTATACAACCGCGTTCGCAACTGCTAGGCGAACGCGGATCCGCTTCCAGTGAGAATGAGCGGTTAGAGTGTGAAGGGCCACGAGTGCATGAGGTACGGTGGTGAGGTACGATAAGAGTGAGAGGGGCCGTCAGTGTACGGTGAAACGGAGTATTGGCGACTCCAGCGAAACTGACGCCGCGTAGCAGCAATGCCGAGAAGCTCAGGAGAGGAGGTCGTTTCAATTCTGTCGTGTGCCATCGCTTCTTGTAGGCAGCATAGAAACAAACATTGTTTCCAGCAATTATTTTTATGCTTCCGGCGTATCGTTTCTACGCACTTCATAGAAGAAGGTTCCCACCGCCAAAAATTTGCTTTTCTTTCATATGTAACATCCATTTTGCACTGCAGTGCAAGAAACTTATGGTGGTCCGCGTACTGAACGGCAAAAACGACCTTCTTTCGTCCGCTATTTCGCCCGACCAGCGCGCCCCCTATAGTTCGCTGGAGTCGCGAATTGGCAACCCACTGATCCCTATTACAATTCACGATTTGTACAATAGTGCACGCCGCCTATTGCGCAACGCCGGAAACTTCGGCATTTTGGGTGCGAGGCTGGAAAGTGGTTGGAAAACAACTAGGCTTCCCGATGCATGGCATACCGCGGCTTCTCCCGGAGTCTTCGTGTGGCTGAAGATAGTCGGCACGAAGTCAGGGTGGTTCTGGAAGGTTGATGGCCGCCCTAGAATTCAATTTCAGATTATAATTAAGCAAAGTTCCCCAGGAGCGTACAAAATCGACGTACCCGTGACAAAATGCGCGCTGCAGATCCGGCAGTGCTCGTTCGGCTGCCATGGTGAGCCGTCCGTGTTCTTTCTCCCCACGGCAGCTATCCAAGCCTCTCTCTTCGCGGGATAAAGCCTGGCCGACGGAAATCTAAAAAACTTGGTGTTCCCTTTACCGTAAAAGTAATTCTTGCAACCGTTCGCCACGCAGTGCGCCGGCATGGCGACAAACGACGCAACTCCCGAGCGCTCGCCGTCCTCGCTTCCGCACGTCTGTCGCCGGATAGGATTAGCCGGCACGCCCATTTGTTCTCCAACCAAACAGGGGGCGCTAGCAACACGCCCTGCTCGCGCGTGGATGGATGGACGGTAATGGCTATACCCTTTGTAGGATGGATGGATGGATGAATACGGCTGAGCCCTTTGGATCGGGCGGCAGCTTGCGCCACCTAGCCGAACATTTCGTCATCCTTTTTTTTTTTTAATTTGTATAAATTTTGTTAAAACTACGGATGTCGCGAACCACCCTAGGTTCGAATTCGAAAGATTTCAATATTTTCGTACCGCCCGAGCTTCGATTTCGAAAAATTCGCAACTTTCGATCACCGTGGAGTTTCGAAATCGAAAGGTTCGAAGCTTTCACGGTTTTCTAAAAGTTCGGGTTTGAATATTTCGAATAAATTTTTACTTGAGGTTCGAGAAATTCGAAGATTTCGACCTTCCCTAATTTGAAAATCGATAGAATCGAAAAATTTGAAAATCTTGGGATCTGAAGTTCGAAAACTCGAACATTTCGAATTTCTATAGACATACAGTTCGAACAATTCGAAGATTTCGAATTTCTTTTATCATAAAGTTCGAAAATTTCAATTCTCTGTTAGGGCTAAATTCGATTTTTTTTTTTAAGATTTCGAATTTATTTTTAATTTAAGTTTTCAAAGTTTGAAGTCCGATTTTCATGTTCCTCCACAGTCTCAGTTTCAAACAGGGGTGGGCAGTATTTCAAATACAAGTATTTGAAATACGTATTTCAAATACTTTGTGTATTTTGCATTTGTATTTAATTACAAATTGGGTAATGTATTTGACGTGTGTATTTATATACTAAAACAGGGGTATTTGAAATGCAATTGTAATTAAATGCAATTTTGTGGGCAAAAATACATCCCTCAAATTTATTGTCACTGTCCAGAGCAGGAAGAAAACTACGTTCTGCACCGAATGCAGTACGTGTCTCTCAATCAAGCACAAGCGTTTAGTGACTTTGTGATTACGGTGCCAGTCCAGGGCAAGAATAGTGACGAAATCGACGTTCAGAGGCAGACTGGCTAAATAAGTGCCTGTGACAACTTGTGATGCTTTCCAGCCTGATTTCCATCCAAATTTTTGCATGGAACATTCTAAATGCGCGGGTCGTCCAGATTTTCGTAACTGGTGCGAGCTGCAACAATAAAAAAATTCTCCAGCTAGTGCTGCGCGTCTTGGTCGTCTCGGTTCTTTGTTGGTCTATACCAAAATGTAATCGACAAAAAAAGCTGCCTGAAGCTCTGTACTTTTTTTCACCTATTACGTCCAAGCTGATTACATTTTTTTTGTGATTATATTTCTATTACGTTACTAGAGCCTCGCACACTAACTCCCGAGTGTGCAATGCAAAATTAAAATGAGATACCCAGAAACCTGTTGCAGGTGGCCTGAAGTCGCTGACGCAAATTTTGAGGAATGTATTTGGAAAAGTATTTGGAGGAGACCAAATACATTTGGTTGTATTTGTATCTTGTACTAAATGCTTTTTTGGAAATGTAATTAGATTTGTAATTAAATACATTTTTGACAAAGTATTTTGTATTTGTATTTCAATACATAATTTGCATGTATTTTGCCCATCCCTGGTTTCAAATAATGTTTTCACGCCTCACTGGTTTTCACGAAATCAGGTTTAGAAAAGTTTGGGTGTGATATTTAGACTGCGCAAAGTTATTCAGGCAATTAAATGAGACGACGAGTGTCCCGGATGTGCTGGAATATTTGCAAGTGCAGAATGACGTGTGACCATAGATCAGTAACTGTGACCGCCAGCCCACAAGGGGGAGGAGGAGGAGGAGGAGGAGGAGGAGGAGGAGGAGGAGGAGGAGGAGGGAGGGAGGGAGGGAGGGTTTTTTTTTTTTATAGTGCATCACGCAGTAGTGATCTCACGAGCGCACTGTTTTACGATACTCATCCAGTTTGAAACGGCCAGGGGCGTTCAGGAGGTTGAGGCTCAGAAAAACCTTGAAGCGATCTGGCAAACTACCTCCCCACTTCCTTGCACGCTGGTAGTAATTCGATAGAACGCCGCCCGAGTGACGCTGGCATATAGTAAGTTCAGTTTGTAATTGTTCTGGAGGTTTATTTTCCGGGACGGAGGAAACGCCGAGCAAAAAGTACAGAAGCCGACACAACTCAAGGTCGAAGAGCTTCCCCCCCCCCCCCCCACCCACCCTTCCAGATATTTCGGACTGTTAAAGAAAACAATACGGGGAAAGAGGGCATTTTCTAGCTTATTTTAATCTGAAATTATTTATGCATATGTATAGCTACTGTCGCTCTTCACTGCATAAAGGATTGCATTGATGATCATTGTCGGAAACTCGTTGTCAGAAGGCACTACTTGTCACGTGCTTAGTGGTTCGGAAGTTCAAGGCTATGTCTTCTCGACCTAAATAACTGTGCCATCAGTAAAAAATAAATAAATAAATAAACATAACAATAAATGCGGGGATAAAAAGCTGGAAAAAAAAATCTACCAAGACCCCAAAGGAAGTGTTGTATTCTTGCATATTCAGAAACTCAGAATTTCGAAACAAGTTTCTCCTACCAAGATGTGTACAGGCTAAAAAAACATGTCCCAAAAACGTGAAAAAAAAAAAAAAAAAAAAAAAAAAAAAAAAAATTAAAGATGTTTTTTTTAATGACGTGCTGAACTTGGGCAATATTAGAAATCTACCCCCATGAGTTAATTTATTCCTCAACGTGAAAAAACAATAAATACACTATTTTGAATTGTAAAGATGGCAATAATATGTACTGTCTGTGGTAATTTAAACGCGATACCTCAAACGATTTAGACGAAAAAAATTACCAAATTCAGGGCATGATTGCCCGTAAATACATGTTTGGACATTTCTTAGAAACTCATATTGAAAAACGATAATCATATCTTAAGACGACACTTACCTAGGCTATACATAGATCATTCTTAAAAATTTAACATCTCTACCATAAATATAGCTTCGGCTATAGCACGCTTCAAATATGGCACAAACGACAATTGTCAAAAACCTGTCGTCCTTCCTCGCTCCTTCGGCAATTTATTTCTTTAAATCTAAGCATGCCAGAACATTGAAATAAATGGCATTGTCTTTCGCAAGGAACGCGGCACCGCACATAAAAATTCCAGAAAAAAAATTATGAATGTACCTCAACACTTGAATTCAAATGAAACCGTCCGCCAATCTTTAGAAGTTCGTCGATCTTCTGACTTTTCAGGATTCTAAACTTTTCGAATCCTCTAGATACATAATTTCGAAAGTTCGAAAATTATTTAATTATTTAGCGTAGGAAGTTCGAAAAGCTTGGAACTTTTAATACGAAAGTTCGAAAATCATCGCATTTTTTGGTCTATAAAGTTCGAAAGTTCAACAAGCATAGAGTTTTGCAGCGTAATAAGTTAGAAAAGGATCGAATTTTTTAGCGTAATAAGTTCGGAGGTTTGAAAAACATTGCATTTCTGAACGTGCAAAGCTCGAAATTTCGAAAAGCGTCGAATTTCTTAGTTTAAGAGGTTAGAAAATTCGACTTCCGTCGAACTTTACAATATAGAAATTTTGAAAATTCGAAATCTTTTCAACCTTTCGAACCACTTCATTCGATCATCAAAACTTCGGTTCAAAAAAAATTTGCAGCATCCCTAGTTAAAACGCAACCCCCCCCTTTTTTTTTAAGTGATTCCATTGCTTATTTTTATCTGTATTTTTTTTTATCCTTCCCTAGATCTTTTCCACCAATCTTCCAATCTCCTCTTAGTTACCGCAATTCTTTCCCTATCCATTCGTCCATCCATGTCCGGAAAACCCAGTGCCCCCTCCAGATCCGTGGTCATCCCCCCCAAGAGGGTGGGACGAAGCCCCGTGCACCTTCAAATTATATGTTCTATAGTTTCCCTTTCGCGGTTGCATACGTTGACAGTGTCTACTTCCTGGAATTTAGCCCTATACGCTTTCGTTCGTAGCACCCCCGTTCTACCTTCGAACAATGAAGAGCTCCCGACTGAATTATCATACAGCTATTCCTTTTTTATTTCTTGTTTTTGTGCCCTGTATATTGTTAAAGCTGATTTCCCCTGCATTCTCTCTTCCCACAATTTTCTCTCAGTTTCCTTTACTCCCTTTTCTACTGATATGCTCTGATCGGCTCCATCTCGTTGAATGCATTTAAATCTCAGCTTGCGGGTTCGGTTTGTCCACTTAGTGTTTAGACTTTTCATATATAGATACTTGTACACTTTCGCTGCCCACCGTGTATCCTCAATTTCAGCTAGTCTTTGTTAAAATTTTACTTTACTGATCGCCTCTCTACTCTCGAAAGATGCCCAACCCATATCCCCCTGTACTCCCTCATTTGGTGTATTCCCATGTGCCCCCAATGCCAACCTGCCCACACTCCTTTGGTGTATCTCTAAACCTGCCTGGATTTCTGACCTCATACACAATACCGCATTCCCGAATGACAGTCCTGGCACCATGACTCCCTTCCATACACCCCTAACGACTTCATATGTAGTGTAGTTGCATAGTGCCCTGTGTTTCATGATAGCCGAATCTCGTTTCCCCTTCTTTATTACAATATCTTCATGGTCTTTTAGATACCGTCTTCCTTCACTTAACCATACTCAAAGATATTTGTACTTTTCTGTGTTCTATCAATTTGTCCTGTATCTACAGGGGTTCCCCCTTCTCGTTGTTGAAAACTATTATACCCGACTTGTCCCTACTAAATTTTAGTCCTAAATTGTCCCCTTCCCTGCTGCAAATCCTAATCAGTTCCTGTATTGTATCACGACTTTCTGATATGAATACAATCTCGTCTGCATACATTAACCATGGCAGTATTTGATTTACCTTATGTCCTTCCTCCATGTAAGTCAGGTCAAAACCTAGGTTGCACTGTTCTAACCTTTTTTCCTTTCTTCCTTTTTTTTTCCTTGTTTTTAATTGTGGATTGCTGGATAGCTTATCCCCGCTCCCGCTCCGCGAGTGCGGCCACGAGACGCCCATCTTGCATGTCGAAAAATTATGTTTTTGGAGCGTTGCGGAGGCTGCAACAGCGTGCCGTAGACATGTTTTCTACTCGTTCGTCGTCATTCGCCGAAGAATTTCTTTAATACCTTATGTAAGCCGTGAGACTTGCCGCTGAGAACACGTGGAAATTTTTTCGGGAGTGCAGTGTTGTAGGAAAAGGGCACAACTCGTCGAAATCAAGTTTCGCCGGTCTCGCGGCGTGATCAAAGCTTCAACGCTGTGTCTCTGTGCTTTTGCACGCTTGGATACTGATCAAGAATCGACACCGTGTGGATGTGTTTTGCGAGTGCAGTGTCGTCCTGCTTCAGGCGAGCGTGCTTCATGGGGAGGCCAGCATCGGATCTAACACACACAGATCGTGCAGGTAGCATCCGATCAAGAAGTGATCGGAACAGGCCAGTGTTCGGTCCTTTGGCGAGAAGGGGATCTCCAAGTTCCATCGGCACACAGTCTCCGTCCATAGTATTCGACGCGCACTTTCGCGAGGAAACTTGTGAAATGTTACACCTGCTTGGCTGTCCCCCCTGATAGTTGAAGCAGCCACGAATGCAACACTGAGAGCCTCTGTGTCTTTTGCTAGGTTTGCTAGCCATCGCAGCCGGGCATCGGAGATTGGCTGGGCACATGCATGTCGCTTAAACAAACCACTAAAAAGTAGTTTCGATTTTGGAGGGCCAGGCCCTCTGAAATTTCAAAGGGCCTTACTCTCTGCACCTGAATGAGTCAGAAAAAAAAAAAAAGGAAGTTGTTTACAATTCTTTGTAACGCCGAATTATACTCCCGTGTTACTAGTTCTGTACAGTGCAGGCGAAGGCAATGCCAGGCGAAGAGAGAAATGGCTAGCACTAGGAAGGCGGAACGAGAGAGGAGTGCAATGGAGGGCAAGGGGAGAAAGGGAGAGCACTAGAAACGTTAGAGAAAAGGTTTCTCTCCTCCTCCCCAGCCTTCCTGGTGCTTGCACTATCTCCCCCGGCCTGGCGTTGCCTTTGCCTGTGCTGCACGCAACTAGTAGTGACACAGAATATAGAGCGCAGCTTATGAGGAAGGAAAGGAGGGTATGCCCCTCCATACCCCCCCCCCCCCCCCTCCCACTCCTGCTCCCCTCCCATTAAGCAGGAAATTTTTGCTAAATTTCCCGGTAAATCTAGTGGAGAAAATTCCCAGCTAAATTTAGTGCGCAAATTTCCCTGCTAAATTTAGCGGGGAATTTTTCCCGCTAAATTTAGCAGAATATTTTTCCCGCTAAAATTAGCGGAAAACTTTTTACGCTAATTTAGCGGGAAATTTTCTCCGCTAAATTTAGCGCGGAAGTGTTTCCGCTAAATTTAGCGGGGAAGTTTTTCCGCTAAATTTGGCAGAGAAGTTTTCCCATAATGAAACCCGGGCAGTTACGCTGACGGCGACGGCGCTCATGTCGGAAATGGGCGCCTAAGAGCTGTGCTCTTAAAACAATTCTTCCAGTTGATGACGTGCCGCGCAGTGTTGGCTGTGTCCACACAGCAGTGTTGACTGCGCTGCTCTGCGCGCCGCGGGTCGCCTGCTAGACTGAGCAGATTTTGGTGACCGTGGAGCCGCCCTGACTTCAGTGGCCGTTTTGATAAACTTTTAGGCAGAATTGCGTCGTAATATTTTACGTCTAGGCATTTCAGATAATGCGACGTAGGACTGCATTGTTTTCTCAACATAAAAATTTGACCGGGGTTGCCCTTTAAAAGACGTGATTACGTTATGCATAGACATCCCAATATCAATTTTCCCTAAACTCTCTAATTTAGGGAACTTTAGGTTTCATGAAACAGCTGTTTCGAACGTAAGAGAATTTAGAAACACAATTTGGTCGATATTGGTATATTAGTGGGTTTTAGAAGATCATTCCAAGAACTCCAATGACGTACCCGTTACTCTGCCGACACCTTTGTATAGCAACATATCGTTATCAGGTATCATTGTTGGAAGTATCGATACGATTCGCTGAAACTCCCTATTCTAATTAGACATGAGGAAGATACATAGAAAGGTCCCCCCTTTCTATGTATCTTCCTCATGTCTAATTACCGTTACCAACACGCTCGTTTTGTATTTAACTCCCTATTCTCTTGGGGAATTTTGGGAAAATTTCCTACTTATATTTTAGTAAAGCAGTGCAAAGACAATTATTAGCTCGATTGTAGTCAACATTCCAATGATATTAGCTCCTTCACTCACAGAGACCACAGCTGGTTGTGCGGAAGACTGGATGCCTCCTGAAGGATCCGACGTGAGTGCAGTCATCAAACTCGCCTTGAATCATCACCGTGGCAGTGTTTAATGCCAATCAACTTTGCTCGGTCAGGTAACTGTGGCGGACCTCGTGAAGAAGGCGGCCGAAGAAGCTGTTGCCAACACAGACTATGTGTACAGCGAGGAGTACAAGATGTACTACAGCGTGTCTACCGGATACTACTACGACCCCGTAAGTCGAGAAACCCCCAAACTCACAGAACGACAACAAGGTGCGGACGTTGTGTTCTAGCTGGATGCCAGAAACCATTGGCAGAAAGACTCGTTTATTTTTATGCTGACTTGAGGCGGCGAGCTAGTCGCTAAAGGGGCCACGTAGCAATCTAGTGCTCAGAGTTCACAATACATTCTGTTTCACTTGCAGGTCTACATTGCACGAGACTTGTCTGACGTACAGGTTTTGATTTTGCGTGTCTATCTTTCTTGAAGGAGCTAGTCATCCCACGGCTTGCTTGATGAAACAGACAATATTTAAGATACCGTCCCTTACATAACCTGTTTACTGATCCACAAAACAAAAAAAAGAAACCTGACCGGTGAGCATTAGCTTAAGCATGTGAGCGTGTACTTTTCCATCCAGGCTACCCAGCTCCTGTACGAGCCAACTTCCGGCAAGTACTATCGCTACGACGCAAGCACAGGCAATTACCACCTACACTCGCAAGTGAAACCCACCAAAAAGAAATCCAGGGCAGAACGCAAGGAACGACGCAAGGTAAGCATCTCCTTTTTTCTCGGAACTAAATTCGCGGTTCTCTTGTTGCACCACAAGGCCATTAATTTCAACGTCAGCACATTCATACTTACGTCCTTCCCGTATTCAGGTTTTGTAACGATTGAAACGATTGGGTGGCGAGTCAAACAGTATTCTCGATGGTGTCGAACATTGTGGCGTTCTCACCCAGCAGAGGAAAAAGCGGAACGGTTCTTCCGCGTCTGAAGAGTCGAGGGAGGAGGGTGAGCTCCAGGGTACTTCCGAAGACGGCAGCTCGGAGAGCTCGGCGGAGAGCGTGGATCCGTCCGATCCGCCGGACCCCGCGAAGGAGCTGCCGCCGTGCATCCGGTTCGTGGTAAAGGCGTCGGAACAGCTCCGCGAACATCGCCTGCTTCTCGTGTCCTTTCCGGGCGCCACCGTGGGGCGCCGGTCAAGTCACGGACTCCATCTTCCGGACGACGGAGTCGACAAGGTGGGTGCCGTCGCGGCGCCTGGAAAGCTTCTTCGACCTGTGCGTTTACTGTTTGATCCCGCCCTCGCATCGAAAGTGGTCCCTAAGTGGCAACAGACGGCGTCGCATAGTGCTGGCGAGTCGTGCTGTCAGACGTCACAATCCCGAAGGTTCGTCGTAAAAAAGCTGACGGAAAAGGCGAACGTATGCAAGGGTTGCCGTCGTCGTGGCATTTTGTCTCGTCTGCTTTGATTTCCGTCGGCTGTCTCACTGCAGAACGACTTGCAGTGGAACGGGTGTCTGCCACCTCCATCTTCGCCGCTGAGCCACTGCTAGGATCGGGGCAGACTTGGCGTGACGCTTGTTTTTGACGTCATCGGGCGGAAATTGAAGGACAACTTTTTGAGGGTGCGGTGAACGCACCGGTTATTTGAATTGAGCTGCTTGAGCCAAGTGTAGGTGTCTAGCCAAGCTGGAAATTAGGCCAGATTTACCGTAGAATACTGCGCATCCGCCCATTCCACATTAAGCACCCATTCCCATATTTGTAAGATCTGAGAAAACACGACCAGTACATTTATATGTAAAATTGATGACCGGACAAGCGCCCATCCCCCATTTTTTTGTGATTATCTCCGAAGTTTGAGTGGGCGCTTGCCCGGTATTTTACGGTAAGCCTTTTGCCGAACTTGGAATTCTAGCCAAACTTTAAATTGAGCCAAGTTAAAACGTCTAGCCAAACTGAAGACTGTTGCCGAGTTAGAAATTAAGCCGAATTGAAAAGTCCAGCCGAATTGAAACTTCAAGCCGAATTAGAAGTTTAGCGCCAATAGATGTTCCATCCGAATCGAGGTGGCATCCCATCTGTGCACAAGAGACATGGTCTCTGCTTGTGTGCGCAAGCACGTGCAAGTGCAAGCTTGCCGAATTTACTTTCACGGGGATCATGGGCAGATTTAGGGACCCCCCCCGCCCTTGAGGCCACCAAAGTCAACTTTTTTTTTAACGAAAAACCGACATACACCAGCTTTTTTCGGAGGAAATTGTTAGTTTTTGGTGTCATGACCCCCCAAAAAACCGCCCCTGACAAGGGAAGTGACATGTGCTTACATGCTTTAAGTACCATTTGGAGCATCATGCTTGCAGTTGTGAATTGAAGTGTTTGGACAAGGCAAAACATTGCAACACAATGAGGAAACAGCCCAAATCGTTGCAATCCCGACAGTTAGTCGTAAGAGCAATGGCATAGCAGACAAATTTGGCACAGACATTGCTGGCATTGCAGTGTCCGCACTTATGTCCGCGGGCGTCTTCATTGATTGGCTAAGACTGAACAGTCATAGTCATAGTATGCATCTGCGGGTTGTGGCTCAGCCGCTGAAACGGCCACCAACGTCACAGCGGCAGGAGAAGGTGCACAAACATGACACCACCAGGTGGAAATCGCTGACAAAATAGAGATATATTGTAAACATACCAGTGAGAGATGCGTTTCTCGCACCGTACCATATTAGGGTAGTGTAGATACGCCCAGATGTCGCTCAGATGTCGTATGTGCTTGCAGCTATTTTCGCGATTGGAGGGGCAATGACTCGACAACCTTTTTGCAGGACCACGCCGAGTTGCGGTTTTGTGAAGACCGTGGTGGCTACCTTGTCAAAGACCTGAAAAGCAAATCTGGCACAAAGCTCAACGGAGTCATGCTGGAACCGGTATGTTTTGACATCTTTTAATGTAAGCGCGTTGTTTCAAACTGTGCCAAACATACTTTATAACTCTGATAAATATAAACCCTCTAAAATTGCAGAAAAAAAATTTTAGATGGATTTTTAATGAAAAGCTTAACAAATGATCCCAAAATGCCATCCCCAAAAGTGTTCTGGAAAAAATTAAAAAATACATTCGTCTCTTTTTAGTCGACCTAACATACTGCCAAATATTTTATGTCATTCCGAGACAAATATATATTCTTTGTAACAAAGTTCAGGTATAGAACTAGCGAATACTGTTGAAACCAAAGCTTCTGTTACAAACTTCAAAGGGTAGACATGACATCACTGTTGCCTTTAGTGAAAGCAACTTTGAGATACATGCACGCCATGTGTGATCGGTCTTCCGTTCCACCATCGTGCATGCTGCCGCCGAAATTCATGTATGATTGAAATGATAATATTGGATCATCAGTTTAATATTACTAAGTACACCACTGCTGTTGTGTTATAATCACAGAATAAACTTAGGAATTCCCTTTCTCTGTAAGCGTCCTGAACAAACTCATTCCCTCAGCCCCGAGCGCATGGGTGTGCCCACCATCTTTCTGCTGAGGGGGCAAACTTCTCTGGATAGATGTGGCTACATAGAATTTGGTGACGCCACGGGGTTTTCTGCCTAGCACACCGCCAACGCCACGAACGCCGCAGGGAAAGTCTCTATACTGCGTGCAGGTTTGTCTGCTTTTTGTGCACCTCGCATGTTTGTTTAGCCTCCAGCTGCGCCCACATGCCTTTGTTTTCCCCCGACTTCAACCAATGACGGTGCCTGCTCGGGTGCCTCGTCGCCGCGCGTTCCTTGCGCCTTTTCTACGTTGCCCCTTGAATGCATCCTTGCGTTCCAATACGCCAAAGACGCATCTCGGAACACTTGTCCGCCATATAACGACTACGGTCGAATTTCGTTAATTCAAACCCTCTTAATTCAAACTTTTGGATAATTCAAACTAACATGCAGGTCCCACCCTATGTGTCTCTATGGGAGGTGCCGTATAACAACTATTGCTGTGAAAATCGACTTTTTTTTAGACCGAGGAGAGTCCCCTGGGGCACCTGGACATCCTGGAAGTGGGGCCCGTCCAGCTGGAAGCCCACATCCACCCCGGGTCCCACACGTGCGGCCACTGCGAGCCTGGCCTCCTCTCCCCGGTTGCCCTCCCCCAACCTCCTGCCGCCGACACCGAGACGGGCCGGGGCGGTTCGTCGGAGGCCCAGCGAAGGGCCGTCCTGAAAAGGCTCAAGAAGAAGTACGCCCTCAAGGTGAGCTGCCACGCTCGCCGGGCGTTTGGTCGACGCCGGTAGTTGGCCAACACCTTCCATACACCAAGCAAATGCTCTGAAGTGCTTCTTCGGCACATTGGAAGGCAAGGAGGGGCACACCAGTCAAAGGACAACATACCGTAGTATTCTGAAAGATGCCTTACACCAGAGAGGTAACCGACCCCTATTTCTGACACAATTTCCAATTTTTTTTTAAACACTGAAAGATAGAAGATAATGTAATGAAGCAGGTGAGCTGGTTTAAACATTTCTAAAACCCAAGACAGAGGCTACAAAGAGGGGACAAACACAAGACGTCTCAAACCAGGAACCCGTACACAAACGCAGAAGACGCTAGGTGAGATGACAATGCCTGCATCAGGAATGACGATAGAAGATAGCATAATGTCCCATGTTTGTCGTCATATTTGTCATCTCTCCGGTGTCTTCTGTGTTTGTGTACGGGTTCCTGGTTTGAGACGTCTCGTGTTTGTCCCCCTTTGTAGCCTCCGTCTTGGGTTTTAGAAATGTTTACTGAAAGATAGCCCACTTTTAGTGAGTGCAGTGCCCTGGCCAATGGTGACCTCAGTTGAAACGGGGTCAGTTAGCACAAACGGGAGATGAGCAAACATTGCTGACTGGGGAAAACAGTTGTCCATGCTCAATTGTTCCTCAATGCGAAAACAACTTTGGTGGGACACAGAATATGAAAATAGCATTTCTAAAATCTTTCTCGGTCAGACACCGAAAATTAACCCACACCCCATTTTCACCAAATTTGCTCTCGCTTTTAGGTGGGCCATCTCACGAGATATTGCGGTCCTCGCAATATCTTGCGCGGCTCCCGGACCGCGGGAGACGAATGTAGCATCCTCGGACCCGTTTCGACTCCCGCGGTCCGACGGTTGCGCAAGTTTGTTCTGCGGGACAAAGAACTTGCCATGCATGGCGACAGATTTGGTGCCGAGGCTTAGTTGTTGGCGTCGGGCAGCCGCAAGCAACAGCAACAGTGCGACAGCCACTGTAGTTATATTCGCTCACCAGTGTAAATATATTCATCAAAACTTCCATCACGTCTTCTCCGGTTCCTGACTGCCGAGAACGGCAGATTCCCACAGCATGGCACATCGTTCCGCGGTCACCCGATCCCAATCAAAACACGAAGGAGACGACGAGAACCGGAAAACAACCATCCTCAGGGGAGGACGAAATGTTACTCATCGGCGTTGCATTCTGAGCAAAATAGACATCTGAAGAGCACGTAAAAGCACGCCTCCTGGCACAAGCTCTTGTCATTGGCAGTGCTACAACGGCATCTTGTTATCGGCTTTTTTTTTCCGGCGAGCGGTACTACAAAAGCTCCAAGTATAGAGTGGGTTATTAAAGCTGTGGCAACTCCTCCCCTTCGCGAGGCAGCAGCCCCAGGTTCGATTCCCACGGGCAATATCTTTCAAGGATTGGCAACATCAACGACAGATGCCCTACAACGCCAACGTCAACAACGACAACAACTACTACCACCACAATAGCTACTACTACTCTTTACTACAACTACAACATCAACAATGGATGTCATTTTCAGTGGTGGGAGGAGCCCATAACAGTTACTTCTGTAAAAAAACAAAACAAAACAAAAAGTGAAATATGTTTTGGATGTAAACCAAGCTGCTGCCAGCACGATGCATGTCAAACGCATCGGGCTAGCGCTGGCTAAAGTTTTTATGCAGTATTGCGTTCCAACCGAGGCTAAACCAGATTTAGCGTCGTCTGAAGCCTGCCTTCGGTGGTACGTGGAGGGTAGCACAGTTGGCCACCGGCCAAACACCTGCACCACCCATGAACTGTGCATAAAATCAACATTATTATTATTCGGCATTAGTATTATGCATGCAGCACGCATTATGGATCAACACGATACGAGTCACTTCACACAATTCTTCTTGGTCTCAGTCTGCTGTGCTTCAGTGCATTCTTCGTCTTAATGCAAGCAAAAAAAAAAAAAAAAGGCCAAAAAGCTTGGCGGCATTTTGAAAAAACAAAACAATTCAGCATATTGACAGCTCGGTCGTGTCTTGTACGTCGGTTTCCGACACTGCGACGTCCTTCTTGACAAATAGCTGTATCAGCGGCCTTAGGAGAATACAACAATCAAAAACTGAGTGTCAGCTGCAAACTCAAAATTCAGTTACTAAGTGCGCCCTTTAAGGGCAGACCTGAAATAGACCCTCTTCAAATCCCCATCAAGCAGCATTGGTCGTCGTCATCTCTCGGGCATGAAGCCTGTGATTGGGTCCGAGCCCCCGCTAAACGTTGGTGCAGCGTAGATAACTATGTTGAATCTAAGGACCCTGCATTCAGTACACCAAAATATGCGGAGTGCATGTTCGTCTGCGCCTTTTGCAGGGGTTACGGTGACGTCAGAATGCCGAGCTCCGATTGGCTCTTATTGAAGGATAGTGGGTGGACCTCAAGGCAGCTTGCTTTGAGGTCTACCCACTATCCTTCAACCAAGGCCAATCAGAGCTAGGCGTTCTGACTAGAAGCAGACGAACTAGAAGCAGACGACTAGAAGCAGACGAACGAAAAGAAGCAGACGAACTAGCGCTCCGCATTGCTTTTGTGCAGGTTGCGGGTTATCTTGGTGCATAAAATTCATATCAAAGGGTCTTCCGCCATCTCCCATTAATGAATCTAACGAGGGGAAGATTTTCAACACCTCTGGAGACAGTTCTGCAGATCGGCAAATGACGGCGATAGTGAACGGATAAGGAAGACAGCGGCTGCTTTTGTGTGTATGCCTTAGTATTATGGTATGTTTGATAGAGAGATCAAGATTATTACAGCTTGTGTATTGTTATCCCCTTCCCCTTTTTGAAGGTCACATTCTTACTTTTTATGGGACTGAGTGTGCTGACCTTTACTTCCCAGAATATTTTACTACTATGTTTCTTTCCAAAATTTGCGAAAGATCAGCTTTGTAGTATGTGACGAGGCTTGTCACCTTCAGCTCGGTACACTACGAGCGACTAACATGTAGGTTATGTGCATGTTAATCAGATCAGAATTAAACTTTGATAATTTAAAGGGAAGCTGAAGCGGTTCTGTTTTATTAAGAACACTTAAATCGTCTTAATTTGGCCTCCAGGATCACAAATATTGAGATTATTTTTCAATTTGGTGCACGGAGGCTGCAAAAAATAATTTCCAAAGCCCCTCCTTCCCAAAGCGTTACGTCATAAAAGGAGTTTTCAGAATCTTCACTCTCGCGCATCTTCAGCACCTGTCAAAAAAAATATGCACGCGCGCTGCCCACACGAGCGACACGCGCTTGACAGCCGAAAGATCTGGGTACAACGTAATGACTGGTCGGAGGGAGGTTTTTCACGTTTAGTTACATATTCGGAGAAAACGAACGCGATATTCAGATTCGCGGGATAAAAACACTCTAGAATTCACCTCCAACTCAAGAACCTCTTCAGCTTTTCTTTAATCAATTTGCAGGGCAAGGTATTGTCTGTTTCGATTACAACTTGGTTGCATTGCCCTGCATACCTCGGCTATGTGTTTCAGCCACAACAAGGGACTCTAAAATTTACTTCAGCATTCGTACGACAGGAATGGTCATAAACAAAACAACAACAACAAAAAAAACCACGCAGGGGGCCGAGTACCAAGTGAGGAAGGCTGTGAGCGCCGGCTACCAAGACCGTGCCGACACGCGGCGGAAGGTCGTCGGAAGCAGTTTTCCCCACGAACGTGACGCGGAGCCTGCGTCTGCAAACAGGCAAGAATTTGTTTCTTTTGTGTGTGGACTCGATTTGCATGGGGAACAATAATAACAACAGGAGGAAACAAGGGAAAAGTGGAAAGTGCGAACTGGTTGTCTGTCTTTAACCACTCCACCTTGCGTGGCCGCGGGGTACCGCGAGATAAGTTGATGAACAGGATGGGTTGCACATGAGCTTCCCAGCAACTACTCCCCGGAGTTTATCGATTTCAAGGTATCGACGTTTATCGAAGCAGCATTTGTGTGCAACTTTTGTTGTGGGACAAATTTGTATTGCCAATGTATTTCCATTAACATATTGTCACGAACGCCAAATTCAGCTAAAGAAATAATAATTGATACAAGCACGTGTTATTTTCTTATGTAGCATACGTTTACACCTGGATATTTATTTATTTTTTAATAAGAAACACTGTAAAATTAAAGTCAGAATTTTGGAGAATTGGGAATCAAACGAAAAGAAACTCCGACAAACTCCGGGTTAAAAATGAACTAAAAAAACGCCCTGAATTTGACGAAAAATTAATTCAGAAAGCACAGAACCTTACTTATAAAGTGCATACACATTTTGACCCCCCTTTCCCTTCTCCTCCTCCACACCCCCAAGTCATAGACATTCCAGCCACCTCAACCCTCACCCAAAAAAACTATTCCTGGCTATGCTACTGGTTGAGGGGGGCAGGCAGCACTAAGCAGGTGGTTCCTGACCGGCAGTTTTGCTTCGACCTTGAAGCGAGTAAATTAATAGGAGTGTTTGTCAGACATTTTCGCCCTCGTCTTCTCAGGCCTCTCAACCAGGACAATGTGGGTTTCCGCATGCTTCACAAGATGGGTTGGAAGGAAGGCTCTGGACTGGGCAAGGGAGAGCAAGGCACCACAGAACCCGTGAGTGTGAACCAAGCGTGTACACTAGTCACATAAACTAACTTTCAAGGTGCAATAAAAAAAAATTAAAAAAAAAAGTTGAAAAGAGTTAGTTATAGATTTTGTTAAGTGCGAAACTTGTGGCCGCAGGGAGGTGCGATGAACCAGATTCGACCGTCGTTCTCACTTGGCGATGTTCGCGTATCTCCCACCGTGGCTAAGCAACGCCATTTCTGCCGACGTCATCACTGGCCATGGCCCTGCTTGCTAGAAGTGGGCTATGTTTTGGTGTTTTTAAAAAAAAATAGGAAATCATTCCAAAATATGGGCGAGTTATCTTTTGAGGGGTTGGGCATCTCTTGGGATATTACGGCGAGCATTTTGTGTGCACCACGCTTAGCATGCCGCACTAAGTGCTTCAAACGAAGCGTTCCACCTATGACAGCGATTCAAAAACCTTGCAAGGCTCATATACGTTCCAATGACATAATTTAGTTAGCCGATTACTAGTTGGAGGCGATTTGCATGCTGTATTTGTCGTCTACATATTGTTTAGCCTTGTACAGTTGCCATTTATATTTGTTTTTGTCGCTCCTCGATTTATGACGGCTCATGTGAGAAGCATGAAGGAAAAGAAGTTCCAGACGTTTGTCAGGAGTCAATCGTCACAAAGATGATGGACCCCAAAGATACGCACCATTGTCACAACAAACAATGGCACTGCTTAATGTCCTTTAGAGTTAGAGAGTTCAATCAAGGCATCCATCAATTAGGAAGTTTGTCCAAGACGTCCAGAAAATTGGGAGATTCATTCACAGTGTTCATAGAACTTCAATTTGTGTCCTTCCCCTTCGTAGGTCCCCGTAGAGCAGAGAGCTTCACGGAGCGGCCTCGGATCGACCAGTCCGGGGAAGGAAAACCCCAAGGCCCAGATTTGGAAGAAGACCCGCGAGCGCTACAAGGCCCTCCAAGGCCCAGCAGAAGACGAGGAGAATGGAAACTAGGCCCCCCTCCCCCGACTCCTCATCTTGTTTTTAGCCTTTTTACCTATTTTGCGACTGCAGAAATAAAATTGTTGCCCTCGTATTGAGGGGATGCTTTGTTGGGATTCGGATTTCGATTGCTTCGCAGCGGGGGAAAATACTGGGTTCCCCAGAATACTGTCAGGGGTTTCCCCAAGTTCCCTAATCTCCTCGACCGCCTCCTCCCCTGCGGGAAGCGTCTTTCCCGCTTAAGTGCTAATTTAGAAGTTCTTAGTCACTCACTGATGTGTAACTATGAACCAGTCACTCCCTAGTACATGTGAATTATATTGTTCAGAGGGCCTGTAAGAAAAACTCCGAGGCTTTTGGACTGCTTTATTGTATTGATGTTGAGACTGGGTAAGTTTCTGGGAAGGTATAACCCGGTGAGGAGTGTTTGGAGTGTTTTCAGAGGCCCAAAGAAAAAGAAAATGAGAGTTATGCAGAGGACAACCTGGTCACAGTAAAAGAGCTAGAAAAAAACAAGTTCATTGACTACAATATGCTCCACTTAGCTTGAAGGTCGAGGCCTAGTCTGCTTCGTCATCTTGGCCGGACCTTAGTCTGGACATTCAGACTTGTTTAGCTTTGCATGACAAGAGCGTTGTAACTTTTTGGAGAATGTGATACAGAAAGACTCCCGAGTATACTTTCCTTGCATGGAATACTGCAGCACAGTTCTTAATAAAATTGATTACAGTTTGCAATGTTTCGTTTTTCATATTTTTCTACTACGTCCCCGATGAGCCAATTACGAAGACTGTAACCTTCGCCCTTTTTCAAATTATGCTGAAACATGGTATTTATGCAGCTTTATTGTGCTGTATGCTGCTGCCATGTTTGTAACGACATGGGGCTGGGCAGTTTTAGAACTGTATTATTGAAATACATTTTTTGGTATATTTCTGTTATTTCAATGCGATTGAAGGCCAATGTACCTCATTAAAATATACAAACCTTGAAACATTTTTGAACAAATCCATGTAGTACAACAGAGAGCAAAATATTTTTTTTAGGTTTGATCCAAGCTGGGTTTTGGCTTTAAAAATCTCCATCTTTTATCAAAATTAGGATCATTCTGTGTTCTGTAAGGTTACATACAATGAGTCACTTTAGGGAGCGACGAAGCTTTAGAGTCGCGCCTCAAGCATGAGTCTTTATCGTAACTGTTCGTGGCCGCTGCAAGGCTCCAGCCTTAAAAAGACACTGACACCCTCCCCCCCCCAAAAAAAAAAAAATTTTGTTTATGTTCGACCAGGCGATCTATTATGGTGTCGGAAGACTACCCAATAAATAATTTGCTACAGCGTCACATATATTTTTAATCAATGCAAAAAAGCAACTGCTCAAAACCGAATTGGGGAGGAAGAAGAAATGTGGATGAGGAGAAAGTTACCAAAAATCACGTAACTGTGCAACTTTTTTTTTTTTTTTTTTTTTTCAACGTATTTGCAGTTTTTTAGACGCTACAAAAAGTGGTATATTTTTTGTCCATTTTTAATATCTAGTGTGTGGGCGTTCGATGACCCGCGACCTTGATTATCTTTGGTAGTTGTGTCTAAACCATAGAAAACGGCACATGACCACGGAGAAAAGAGTGAGCACAGCTCAAACCGGCCAGTTCTCGATCGGCGGTTTTCGGGCGGAAAGAAAATGAATTTCGAGCCGCAAATTGTGTCCTGGGTAGTTGGGCTCTCATATGTCATGTATGCATGAATAAAAACTTTGGCGAGCATAAATACCCCTGTCTGTGTCCCTTGAAAGGGACACCGACAGGTAAAAATCATGTATTTTTTCATTATCCGAAACGATTGAAAACCATGCCTAGACACTACCCTCAAAATTTGAAACTTGGGCACTCTGTATTTGTGGAGTAAAAAAAGCAATTTCCAAAGGTCAAGTTTGAAGTTCCCGCACGATCTGCTTGAGTGCAGTGTTGTTAAAGGTTGAATCGTTCAGCAACTTAAGTTTCTCTTGCACTACCGCACTGGCCTGACCCGAAGTGTCCCGTTTGCCCACGTTCCGCAATCAACCGCTCTTCTCTGTGCCTGCCGCCTATCAGGAGACTTAACATTTTTGTAATGAGCCACCACAGACTGCCCTTGCGAAGCGGCGGGAGCGCAGCAGGGGGCATGGTTTAACACACGCACCAGTGATACACGTGAAAAGTAGGAAAGCCTTTTTTTTAAAAGCATGCCCTTTTCGATAAACGGCGTTTCTCTCAACTGAGGCTCCGCTTCCTCTAAACCATGCTTCGATAAAACGTGCCCATTCTCTAAAACGTGCTTCGATGAAATGGCATTCGTACAACCGTAGTAAACCCTTTCTGAGGGAGGGTAAAAAGCGGCGACATCACTCCGGACTTTGATTCGCGGTATTTCAAAAAGAAGGCCCGTAGTGCGTTCGCAATTGCGTTAAAAAGCATGTTTTACGAATACTGTTATTAAATATTATTGATATGTCGCTTACAAAGCTTCTAAATTTCATAACTGAATACGTCACAAATGAAAAGAAGTGAGGACGTGAGGAGCGGAAGAGAAGAATGCCAAAAAGGGAAAATTTGGAGGGACTGGTGGCCAAAAGGGCTAACGCGTCTCAACTCGGAGCTGGAGCGAAAGCTTCCCCTGCAAAACCTTCTGGGTTTGATCCTTACACCCTGCCCGCTTCGATCTGGATGAGTTTCGTACCGGCACACATTCATGTAATCATTACTGCATAATGCACGTTAAAGACCTCAGGTTAGCGGTTGTACTGCACTGGCTAAATTTCTCACCTAAAGCTAAGAGACAAGTCATCCAGTGAAGTGCACTGGCATCAAGGCCATCTAAACATACAAGCAACACAATTTTTGTGGGAAATATTTTTTTGTGTGTTTATGACAATTGGAGTGTCGGTGCACCTCCAAGACGTTTTGACATTAAGGATAAGAGACTGCAGGCAGATGCAACATATGGATATGGTCACAACAGATGAGTTTGTTAGGTTTCACCACATGTTCCATTCTCATGGCCAAATGTGTCACAGTTTTGAACAGGGGACCGGTGAGAATCAAAGGGCTGTCATCAACACTGCTAAATTAGCAGTGTTGATGACAGCCCTCAATCACATTAGCAGTGCTAATGTGATTGAAAGTGCATGTTTGAGACACCAACTTGAGTCGTAAAGCTTGATACTCGTCAGTACTCATTCCCGAGTAAAATGCATTAACTGCGTCGCACAGTGTGCTACAAAACAATGCTGCCTCACACTTCTTTTTCTTTAGTGTTGCTTGCTGCTTATGAAAGGGAAAAGAAACAGCTTTATTTATAAAGGGTTGTACACAAACAGAATCGACTGCAATTTATCACAGAGATTAAAGGGTCACAAAGACATTGGATTAAGTAAGATCGCTGATGTCTACCATTTATTTCACACCCAAACGGTGATCCACAACTTGTTATACGTAGAGGTACTATAAATACACACATGATATATAACATCAGTAGAAGTTACAAAGCAATAAAATAGAAACCTAAACAAAAAATCCTGGTCGATAAACTTGTAACAAAAACGGTGTACAACAAAAAAACTTGAGAATTAACGATTGTTCCACTGCTTTTATCTAATGCTTGTAGATTAAAGGAATAATGGTAACAAATCGTGTCAATCACAAATTGTCACATTCAGATATTATTTTACTTTAATGTTCTAGCCTTCATTTTTTCAATTTCGCCAGGTCTAACTAGGGTCCCTCAAAACATGTGACAGTGTGTCCAGTTCTCTGTACATGGAATACATAACGTGACACTCCAGCTAATCACTTAAAAGTGTCACAAAATTACACAAAGTACACACAAATAAAGTTGTTTAGTTCTGCAAGGAATGGTGTACCATTGCTCTTTAGATATTGGCCAGCTACAATCGGGTTGTTAAACCACTTGTTTTACCTACAGTAATAGTTTCTGGTAACCAACAGGTGTTCAATGGAAAAGGGAAAACGTTGGGATTCACAGGATACAGACAGCGGATGCTACTTCTCAGTAGAGATGTCGGCCTGATCTTGAAGCAAAGTCGGCGGTGGCTGATTTTAGTTCGTCCAAGAAGCTGTAATGGAAATCGGCGATAGTTTTTTATTTTGTCTACTTTTACTGCACCACCAAACACAATGATATGCAATTAATGCAAAGGTGCATTAATTGCATTATCATCTAGCTGTGTTTGGAGATTTGTTTGTTCTTGTCCTCCTTGTTCCCCTTCTCCAGGGATTATTATCGTCACCAAACACACTACAAATATTGACTACAATGTAGACGTCCAGTTCCTTGTGTCCATGAAAAACGCTATACTTTCAGTTCAAATATATTTAGCTAAAAAAGTTTCAGTTTTAACACCAAAAAACGCCAAAAGCACTTGACATGAAATCACCTATGAAAAAGGTAGTAACAGGACCAGTCAGCTTACACACGTGGCGTAATGCAAATAAATATGAATGAAGAGCTAAAAGACAATTTTATTCAAGTGCTGCTATCTTAATGTCTGCCTCCACCAACTACAACTGCTACAAGTGAGGGTGGCTGCTATTTAGTTCTACATTCCTGATAAATACATTCTGTGGAACCTTTCTTGGTATTACAGATTCAATGCAGAGTTCTTGATTTATATACGGTACATGTCCACCAAGCTAATACTAGTAGCTGTGTTTCTTTATTTTGTTGGTTCAGATGCCATGGCTGATTATTACTGATTTATTAGCATATCACTACTAATAAAATGCAAAATGCCAGAAAAGCATCCTCAAAAATGGCTATAGCATGACTTTGAATAGCTTTACAAGGGGCCAATCGACTTTTACACTTGGAAAAATAGATTAGAGGAAAATAGATCTGTTCTGCCTGATCCAAGATAAATAAATATCAATAAACCTATACAACCTGGTTAATGGTACACGATCAGAAACCGAAACCACATTTTATGTCTGACAAGCCTCACCTTGTAAAGTTATGCACTGCGGTTCCGCCGAGAAGTATTCGGGTTCCAGGGTTGGCAACATTGAGTTTGTATACCGAGAGAGACTCCTCGTACGTAACACCGCCCGCTACGAAGACAATGACGTCTTGGAACCGGAACATGCTGTATGCAGAAAGAACAAGAAGCACAACCCACAATCAAAATAGCCTCAAAGACAAAGACTCCAGTTACAAAGTCCACAGTAAAGTTGCCTATATGCAGTAAACTTGACAAAGGAACCGCCTCCAAGCCTTACGTTCACTAGGTCCTGAAGATGCTTCATGTCCTGGAGAGGCTACAGGCCATGCAGAGGCTTTAGGACTCGAAGAATCTTCATGCCCTGAAGAATCTTCATGCCCCAAAGAATCTTCAGGTTCTGAAGAAGCTTCAGGTCCCGAGAAAGCTTCAGATCTGTAGAAGCTTCTACAGATGCTGAAGATTCTTCAGAACTTGAAGAATCCTCATGCCCTGAAGAGGTTTCAGGTCCTGTACAAGCATCAGGCCCTGAAGAAGCTTCAGACTCTGTAGAAGCATCAAGTCCTGAAGAATCCTCACGCCCCAAAGATGCTTTAGTTTCTTAAGAAGCTTCATGTCTTGTAGAAGCTTCAGGTGCTGTAGAAGTCTCGGGTCCTAAAGAAACTTCAGATCCTATAGAAGCTTTAAGTCCTGAATAAGCTTCAGGTCCTGAAGAAGCTTCCTGCCCCAAAAAATCCTACCGCCCCGTACAAGCTCGATGTCGATAGGTCTCCTGGCAAAACATTGACTGTCACCACACGGACAGCAAACAATTGCCTACCTGTCCCTTGCAGAATGTTGAGGCACGTAGGGAAAAGAGGATTCCTTGAGGCGGCCCCTGAGCAAGTCTTCCAAAATGTCGTACACAAGTGGCACATGCTGCGTGTAGATGTTCTCCACTCCCTATGGGAGAATGCAGAACACAGATTAGTTGTCTTGTAAATGTCCAGCCTGCCTACAACTAAACTGAAGGTTTTGCGGTAACATTCGTGGGATCAAATCTATGCACTATCTAGGAGAAACGGTTACTAATAACGTCCAAATTATTTAGAGCACGCGGTGAAAGAATGATACCTAAAATATATGCGAATCAGAAGGATCCAAGCCCACCCGATAGACGGGTGCCCAGGGCACATCTCCGAAGAGTGCATTTACTGCGCACTTAAAAAGGGACCCTCAGATTTCCACCCGATGACCTCGTAGAAGCATCACCTTGCTGGCTGTCGCAATCCTGGCAATGACACGGTAGTGGAGCTGTATGTGGCAGATGCCTGTTCCGCTGCAGGCAGCTCCGCGACTGGATGGCCAACGAGGACCGAAGCAGACACGAGATGGGACACCGCGACGATGGCAACCTTTGTGTCCGCTCGCCTTTTCCGCTTGCACATCTACAACCTACTGCCACGGTCGCGACATCCGACAGCACGACATGATTTGTTGCAACTTTAAGGCCCCTTTCAACGCGTAGGTTGGATAAGACGGTGAACATAAAAGTCGACGCGCTCCAAACACCGTAATGGAACTGCACTGACCTTCAGTCCCTTAATCACCTTCTTGGTGAACGCTCGCATGTTGTCGGCACTAAACTTGTCCCCTGGCTGGAACTTCCGCTCCTGGAACTCCACGGCGGAAGACACCATCTGGAAGACGAAGTACGAGCGGTCAGCCTTTGCGTCTAGGCGGCGCCGCGATTGGCCGGTTACCCGGAGGAGGTTGTCTGACAGGCCGCGCTTCCTGAGAAGCTCCACCAATCCCGCGAGGTCACCCCCGCTCTGCTTCTCGTAGTGGAGGGCGTACAGCATGACCAGCCGAAGGCAGTCAATGTCGCGCACCTTGCTGTTGGTTACTAGGCTCCGGATCCGCTAGTGGAACAAAAGGAAAAAAAAAAGGTATTCGCGCTAGAGAAATGGATGGATGCATATAGCTAAACCTGCGAATTGGGTGGTAGGTAGCGCTACCTAGTCAACATTTCCAGTGGCGAACCTATCCCCTTACTAATTTCAAGCTAGCTAATACCACGGACCGTGTGCTTGAGCACAACAAGCTTTTCATCTGCGTTTTTCTGCTGGTCAGCATGTAGAAACACAATAGCTACCACTTCAGGTAAAACTTTTGATGCGTGGGTGGGATAGTACGCTCAATGTCACTAGCTCAAAGTCGGCTGATAAGCTTCCTAGAACGCGCGGTGCCTTTCCGTGGCTGATTGGCTAGGCTGGCACTCGCTATGCCATCAGCCCAGCCCGCATGGGAAGAAGCAATGGATCTGGCGGAATGCTGAGTGCACATTGCCTATGGTGGAAAGTGATTCTATTGTGGTTTTTATGGTCGTTTGCTGTGCTCTCGTTATTTTTTTTACAGCATCAGCTGTACCGGGCTCGTTGTACTGGGCGAGTGTTGTGCTGCCGAAAATGAAAGCAGATATACTTTTGGCGGTTGGACAGGGTGAGTACAACAGTAATATCCTCACCCTTTCGCTGATAACGGTTGCGGATGGGGTGCGGCATCTTCGGCCAACCGCGAGTGCGCGGGGTCATGTGATCGTGTTCCTCGCTGCCTGCTCTTTCTTGCCTTTGTTTGCCCTTTCCCTCGGTGCTCTAGGCCTTTGCGCGCAAGAACAGGGCGGCCGAAGCGTACACCGGAGCAAGTAGCGACTGCTTGATGGCGTAAACGCGCCCGAAAGAGAACGTCGTCAATGTGTGGGTACCGACGGTCTCATTCTGGGTGTTAGGAGGGAACGCATTCGAGGTCCAAATCATGATGTGCGTGAATGCAGTGATGAAAGTGCTGCGCCATTTGTGCCAAACTGCACCATGAATGAAAGCCTGCTACATATATGTCATGCGCCAAAGCAAAATTTTTCCTGAAAATTGCGCCACACCTGCACTAAGATGAACTTAGAAAAAAAGCATAAAAAATATTTTGTATAGGTCAATCCTAATATGCGCACAAGTAGAAGGAAACGAAAATGGTACAAATGTCTCTTCTACAGCGTCTCTACCTACCGCATAGTTGTTTCATCTGAGGTCAAAGCACTGACAAAAGCTCAAACAAATACTACCAGAAAAACACACACTAAAAGTGCAAGTCTACATGCATTCTTAGCGTTTCGTTTCTTTAACCGATTAAAGAGCATGTACCGACAGATGGCGGATGTTAGTATGTCATGCTTTTGATGCTGTTTGATTGGTTGTCTAAAGTTTCAGACAATGTTGGCGATGTCAGGAGCTAAGAATAGCGAGAAAACTGTGCAAAATTAGGGGTATAGCCGCTACTGTAACAAGACGGAACCGGGGTCTTTTACTCCTGATGATATCACTCGATTATAATGTCTGCCACATGCCTCCATGCAGTGGCTACAGTGTACTGTGGGTGTTGTACCACTCACATCAACCTTCACGCCCTTAAAACAGCCCGCGCGTGTCGAGCTTCACCGCTTTGCACCCAAGTGCTAGGAGCAGCGGCTGACACGGGAGAGTGCATGGGTTAGCAAAATTGGCTCGGAAATTATGCTCAATACTTTTGCATGTTGACCTTTTTTGGTCTCGACTGTAGGTTGACCTCTAATCTTTGAAAACTGTGCCAAACAAGGTCTATTTTTTAATAAATACGTTAGTCAAAGTAGTTCCCTGGCGGCGGTCAATTGAAAGGGCTGCAAATTTTGACACAACTCCAGTTCGAACGCCGCTAAAGTGCAGCGTCACTTTTAAAGCACAGATGTAAATTTCTTTATCGTTTGGGATGGTTGTTTTTCCCGTTTATAAAGTTTGGTGTTTATAAACCTTAGAGGGCGTATTTTTAATGATACATGTTTTAGCAGATATACTTATTTTTGCCGGCCTTTTACAGAAATTATATATACGGGCTAAATTAACCACTGAGTGTAAAAGTGGGTAGGAGAGAGATGCTTTATCTCAACTGAACTGTTGCACTATGCTTAATTTCTCAACTGTTTTTTTTTTTTTTTTAACAACTGTAAATGGAACTTATTCTGACCTGAGCCTTATTTCTAAAAATTATCAGATATGAACTCCTTTAGCGGTGCAACCACATTTTCATTTTTACGTAATGTGATAACAAATGTTGGTGCCTGCTCCAAAAGCATCAGTGGCTGCCCCACGGATCATTTGCCTGCCATAAAACCTGCTACAAAAGGTCCAATACCGCTTCCATCACCGTGAACGTGAAGCGGAACATAAAAGAGGACGTTACGGGGCGAACAATAGACACCACGGTGCGACCAAGCGATTTGTGCAGCGCGTCCACAAGAACGTGCCTGGTGCTAGCTGTTCCAGTGCGATCGGTCGTGGTTTACGCAAGACACTGCACGACGCCACATTGTCAAGATGTCGCACAGCCGACGCCGTCCATTCACACCACGTCCCATGATCGTCTGAACATTTTTATTTGCATGGATCCTGTTTGTGCACCAAAGTAAAGGCCTGCCGGTTGTTGGGCACATAAAAATGAATATCATTGTCATCATTATTAAGGTGAACATTAAGTTGGCACAAAGAGAGTGTCGTACGAAGACGGTCGCTCTTAATTGCCCGTGGTAACGGTGCCAGACACACCAGTGGGAGAAACGTTCCTTGCATCGTATTTGAAGTGAAACGGCGGAGAAAGGGGTCACCTTGAGGATATCCGCGTGGTCGGTGTTGCACGTGAGCTCTTGCTCCACCTCCGACACCTCGAGCAGGCAGTGGGCACCCACGAGGCGCGAGAGTTCGCCCATCAGCGTCACGTGCTTGGCCACAGCTCCTTGGATCTTCTTGAACTGCGGGTAGTGCTCCACAAAGGCCTGCGCGTCGACACGACAACACGTGTAAGGAGGTGGACATCTTGCTTTGCCTTCGAGTGGACTCAATAATTTCTGAAAATTCTCGGCACACCGCAGTTTCCGATTTATAAGTCACACGCCCTTATAAACGGCCCGCTCTCACGTAAGCCGCACCTATATCTCTGTACGGTTGGTGTGGTGAAACCGCGCTGAAAAGCCCACATGTGCGCATTATGATTGTAATATAAGCGCAAGTGAGAGCAAGTTCCAGTGGCGTACCAACTTGCTTTTGAGTGAGGGGGCAAACCAGACCCCCTCCACAACCCCCAACCCACCCCACCCACGGCCGGTGGCGGTGCCCTTGGTATCCTTTGGGCACAGCCGGCCAGTGTTTGCCCTGCTCAGTGGTGGCTGTTTCAGGGGGGGCAAAACCCACGCCTTACTCCCCACTTTGCAAACTGGGGGGGGGGGAAGCGCCCCCCTTGCCCCCCAGTTGGTACGCCTATGGCAAGTTCCAATATTTGCATCGACGAATCAACCGAGAAATGTAACCGCCGTGGCAAATTTCTGCAGTCAAGGTCCATACTTATATAAAAAAAATGTGTTTAAGTAGCACAATTGTATAAAACGCAGCGACAAAAGATTCTGGAGAAAAAAAAAAGTGACATAGAACAATGGAAAAATGTGGCGATCATAATTAGTTACCTTTATTAGTTTGTAATTCAGTCACCATATATTTTGCTGCATTAAAAACTCGATAGCAAGTCAGCAGTTCCAGCATTTTAAAAGTAACTGCAATGTAACCGATTTGTAGACATATCAGCTTGAACTTTAGAATAATACCTGAACACGAATATGCTCGTGTTCTTTGCACCCAACAAAGCCTACTCCATGTGCAGACAAGTTAACGGAAGAACGAAAAAGAAAAAAAACCTGCGACACGGCCCACAGAATGCAGTATGTCCCGTGCACAACAGGGGTGTTGTACCACAATCCCCTTTCACGCGGGAAATGCTACATGCGAAACGGGCCGAAGTATCAACGACAGAGCCTGCAAGCATGCGGCGTCTCTTAAAAGAACAGTGGCAGGACATCTGGCAGCTCATTGCAGGATATTCCACTGCAGTGCAGCTTTTAACACCACAACCATCCTTGCCAGTAACAAAAATCCTCATGCACGTGAGATACTGAAGGCAATCGCTATCGAGGAACACACAGAAGATAGCGTCAGCACCCCATCTATCACCGATCACAAAAAAGAAAGACAATAGCTACGAAATGTCACGCCCCGAACAATAACAGCACGAGCTTGTGGTGGGCTAGTTCAAAAACAGTAACTTTTAGGTATTTCTGTGTAAATGTTTCTGTATAATTTTGTATAGGTGTAATTATCAGAGTAATCTTTATTAGTGCACTAGGTTTATTTATATAATAAGTTTATTGCACTCTACTTTGGACTATGAATGAAGAAGCAAACGCACAAGAAAGAAGTTTACACTAAAACATTGTTGGTAGTCAGCTGTTCATCCTCTTTTGTCCTTTCTTTCTTCGTGTTCAAGTATTATTCTAAAGTTCAAGCTGATATATCTACAAGTATGTACTAACAAGCTCAACTCTTAACCGTAACCTAGGTATTTATTTTTGTAACAGTGACCTCGGTGGATTTATAAAAAATGTGCAACTAAATTACTTTTTAAGAGTGACTCTTACAGCTCTGCACGAATGCCATCTCGGTCGCCACCGAGCAGGCTTTATCTCGAAACAGCTGTGCAATGTGGAGAAGCCCAGTCATTTGGCGACAGATGTCATTTCCAGGGCTGGCAAGAGCGCCATAACAGCTGTCGCTGTAGAAGCTTTCTGGAGAGATGATAGTCACATCATTCCGTTTTTTGTTTGCTAGAAACTAAGCTGACTGAGCAAGAATATAAATGTACAAGTGGCCCTTGCTGGTTTCCTGCAGTCCATCCATGCAGAAGAGGTGGTGAAGTCCAGCTCCCAGGGGGACTTCACCCTCCCCCCCCCCCCTTTTGCCTAGATTGCACTAATTCTAGAGAGAAAGTTTCTAGGCTCAAGCCACCCCATGCACAGATTTACTAATGTTTCAGTGAGACATATAAAAAAAATGACCGCATCTCCACGTGATGAATGATGTTGATTGGGGCGAAGCTCTGGTGGTGCTTGTCTGCGTAGACGCTAAGCCGCAGCATGCCGAGCCTTTCATTCATTTTCATTCATGTCAGAAAAAGAATGTGACGCATTTGAGCACTCGACCGCAGCACCCTCTCATCTATAAACGTCGAACCAATGCGTGCAAAGTTTAACGCGATTATATACGCATTTGACTGCAGTGCCCTCTCCTGTATAGACGTTGAGCGGCTACATGCAACGTTTCATCCATGACATCCCCAGCTCTCGAGTTACTACCACATCTCAGAGCCCCCTACTCGTCCCGCAGTCATGGCCGAGTGGTTAAGGCGATGGACTGGAAATCCATTGGGGTCTCCCCGCAAAGGTTCGAATCCTGTCGACTGCGCAAACATTTTTTCTTTTTGTATCATTTTTTTTTTTTTTATGCTTTACACGAGCACGTGAGCTCACGAGCACGATCATGAGCACCAGCAAGATCGATGTGAGCACGGACGCCGGACGGACAAGGCTAGACCCTAAGGAGCTTCGCCCCCAATAATATAGAAGGTAGCTACAGTAGACTCGCAGTTCAAACTCTGATATTTCATACTTCTAATAAATTCAAGCAAATTTCAAAATTTTGGCTTTCCCACCATGTTTTAATGTATTTATAAGCCTCCTAATTCGAACAGCGTTTTTGTGTAATTCATACTTTTTTTTTTTTTTCGCGGCCCCATTGAGCGCACTTCTTACCGAGCACCAGTGCACTGCAGAGAAGCAACACCCGCAAAGCTCACTTCCGCGGTTGTTGCTTTTCCCCAGTGCACCGGTGTTCGGAAAGAAGCCCGCTCAACGGGCCTAACAGTCCACAATAGGCAAACACATTTTGAGGTGTCATGGGTTGTCTAAACAGTCCACAATACACAACATTTTTGAGAGGTGAATAAACTTATCTTATACATTTCACCAATGTTTCATGATGTTTATGATAAGTAGGCTTGTGTGGAGGAAATTGTCAAATATCTGCTTTGTATGTGTAGCCATCCATATAACAAAATCATGATTTCATCTTGCTTCATATTTCAATGAATTTCGGATAATTCAAACAAAATTTCTTGCATCTAAGCATGACATGTGCCACTTTAACAAAGATACAAATCTGAACTCAAGCAGAGCAGGAAGTGATAAGTATATTACTCAAAAATGGGTAATGGGTACCAGGTTAAACACATGGCTTGCATGTGACGTCCTCACGTTCTGCTGGTGGTCATTGCCACTTATTCTTGTCTAGGAAAACAAAGTTGATAATGCAAAATGTATACCGCAGAAAGGCCACTCCAATGGTCACTGACATGACGCCAGTGTAGGCCATGTATAGCCACTGGCAAAGCTGCTCACAAAGCAACTCCACAAACGAGGGTAAACCCAAGAATGTTCAGACCTTCATATCGGCGATGGATTCGACTTTCTCATGGTTCTTGGTTTTTCTCTGGAACTCTTCCATCAGGTCCTTGATGTTGGAGCCGATTTCACCGAAGTTCCGGTACATGTTCTGCAAAGAATAAAGAAGACCATGACATTGCTGTAACATTAAGTACGAGGTGTCCACCCCCAAAACTTTACAGGGTGTTTTCAACTGCAAAAATAAGCTCTGCATTGCCGAGCGCTCATTCTTTGCTCAAATGTACCGCTAGAGGTTCGAACCAGCGTGCCAAGGTTTCAGCACTAACTCTTAATCTTATTCAAAAGTTACAAGTGATTTTCGGAAATTTTCCATGGGAAAATGGCGGCTGACCGAGCTCTCGAATGCACGAAGCTCTATGGCGCCAGTTACTGAAAACTAATCCCCTTTCTCCCATTGAAAATTTCAGAAAATCACTCATAGCTTTTAAATAAGATATTGGTTCGTGCTGAAACTTTGGCATAGGGTTCAGACATCTATCGTGCCATATTTGGACAGAGAATAAACGTTCAGCAATGCATAGTTTATTTTTGCAATAATAATAAAAAAAAACAACTACATTTTGTTTTGGGGTACGCTCTATAGACATATACCAGTTTTGTAGAAACAAAGCCTAATTTTTTTGCACTCCAAATTGTAAAACCACGGATGTCAAATAAATATTTCTGACATGTTTTAATTTCAACAAAACTAAGTTTCCCAGCAGCAGTAGTAGTAATAATAATAATAATAATAATAATAATAATAATAATAATAATAATAATATCCTTATTCAAACCTGGAGGGTTGCAGCACCACGGAAAGGCCATTGGCTTGTACCTAAGGCCTATGGTGCCACACTGCTACAAAATATGCTTCTTCCAAACTTAAAGAAACAAAAAGACATCTAGCCAGTCTACAAAATATACCTCTTCCGCACTTAAAGAGACAAAAAAACATCCAGCCAGTTTTGCTATTCATAAATAGTTCCATATTTTTGCGGATACTGTGGGCCTCCTGGGGATCCAAAGCGTCGGACCTGGTGTGCCCGCATGCTACATCGTCTCTGCTCATTTTCACCGTGAGGGGGCCAAGTGCAATTGGGTCACACGAGCAGCACTCAACCGCTGATAAAAGACTAACGCCACGTGTGCTAAGGGGCCTTGGGGATGCGGCGCGAGCGATAACAGTCTATGAATGACCACGTGTTGTTCAACTAGCGCGTGGTGTCATTCTCCAAGGCAGGCAGCAGCGAGGGAAGTCCTACGAAATGCAGCTTTCTTTTTCACACACTCCATGTACTATAGTATTGTTTGCGAAACTTAAAATATTTCGTAAGGCTTCTTGCACATTTTAGTTTTGGGCGTTCCAAAAGCCGCAATTCAAATCTGTAACTACTGATCAAGGGAATCCCTAGATTATATATTGCATAGAGCTAACACATTGATAAAATGTGCATGGAGATAGTATAATTCTTTATGTAAGACACATCCAAATATTTGATGGGTTGGCAGGAAACGTTACAGTTAACCTCAAGAGCCGTAAGCAATGACCCAACTATAAACTTAGGCTCTAGCAAAAAGGCATTCAACACCTATCTATGCAAAGTCATGCTTAACTGCACAGTAGTACAAAAAATTGGTCCTTCAATAATTATGAAAAAGGTTTGAAACTATCTTCTCTTGAATATTTTCTGACATACAGAGGATACTTTTCCCTCAGCAGTTGCAAGGTTTCCAGTTTCTGTTCAGTTTCTGGCGTAGTTTGAATGAGACATGATTCCAAAAAGAAAAATTGACCGCATCTCCACGTGGTGAATGATGTTGATTGGGGCGAAGCTCCGGTGGTGCTTGTCTGCGTAGATGCTGAGCCGCAGCATGCCGAACCTTTCGTTCGTTTTCATCCATGTCAGAAAGAGAATGTGTGGTATGGAACGCGGTTATATACGCATTTGAGCATTTGATCGCAGCGCCCTCTAGTCTATAAACGTTGAGCCAATGCATGCAAAGTTTAACGCGATTATATATGCATTTGACCGCAGCACCCTCTCCTGTATAGACGTTGAGCGGCTACAAGCAACGTTTCATCCATGACATCCCCAGCTCTTGAGTTACTACCACATCTTAGAGCGCCCTACTCTTCCCGCAGTCGTGGCCGAGTGGTTAAGGCGATGGACTAGAAATCCATTGGGGACTCCTCGCACACGTTCGAATCCTGTCAACTGTGCAAACATTTTTTTCTTTTTTTTTATCATTATTTTTTTTTTGGCCCTACACGAGCACGTGAGCTCACGAGCACGAGCATGAGCACCAGCACCAGCAAGATCGATGTGAGCACGGACGCCGGACAGACAAGGCTAGACCCTAAGGAGCTTCGCCCCTAAAAAATCTCTGTCAATAACTAGTTCCGATGTCGACGGTTCGGGTTGTTAAAGTCACTGCAGCGGTCCTCGACGTTGCTGCGTTCAGTGAGTGTGCTCCGCATGTGACCGAAATTGGGAATGTCGTTTCGGTGCTGGCAGGTCCCGCTGAATCCCGTCGAATGTTTTCGACAGATTTCTGTCGGATGTTTGTCTTCAAGGTAGGAATAGCATGACGAAATTGACCAATGCAGTGAACGTAAAAAGAAAGAGAAGAAAAGGTGACATACTCCGGCATAGAAGTCGTCGCTGTCCTCGGACAGGACAATATCCTGCAGGTCCTTGGTCAGCCCCGAGACTTGGGACAAGTTGACGCGGTTGTTGTTGATTTTTAGTAGCTCGTGCACCATTGCCTGGTACGTCCACTGCGACGGCAGATGACGACGACCCAAATGAACAAAAAAACTCGCAACTTCATTTTGATCCACGAATCGAACCGCCATTCGCCGGATTGCAACGCAAGAGAAATGGTAGGTTTCACACGCTAATTAATTACATCAGGTAACGTCAAGGTATCGGGTGGTCAAATCGTGCTGTCATGTGATGATCCATGGCACAGCGTCAAGTGACGACCCTGACGTGACAGCGTCAAGTCGTAGCGTCACATTACTCAATGCCTCGCTACATGGTCACGTGACGCAATGTCGCATTGCAACCCGAATTGACACCCAGTGTTACTAGATCCAATACCATCAGGTGATGTGAAGTGCTGCACGCCGCCGACGAACACGAAACCTTAGCTTCTGTTGGAATGCAACTCTGGATCAAGAGATGCTTGTTGATGCTGTGGTTGTCGCATTAAACTTCTATACAAAAATCTCAAGCGGTAAGGTCGCTAGAAAAGGGTGGCTTTAGCAACGCGGGCTAGGCGGCGCAAGCTGCCACCCAATTCAAAAGGTTCAGTTGAATTTGTCTGTCTATCCGTCCTTTGACGTACCTGATTGAGCAGCGGCGTCACTGTGTCACTCCTGCGGTCCATGATGAGCAAGAGGGGGGGTATCTCGGGCCTTCGGAAATCAAACAGCTTGGACTCGCGTGTCATGAGTTGCTGCGTGCCAAGGGACGACACCAACAAATTATATCGCGAGACAAAATGTTTTGGCCAAAATGTCATCCCCGCTTGACAAAATATTGAGATGGTATTGCAAAGTAAGAACTGCAATGTGCCTACAATTGAGGACAATTTTCTGTGGCATTTCTGAAGCAGTGAAGAGTAAATGTGCGTAGCTTTGATCAGAGCTCAGAGTGTGCAAGCACATGGGCACATTTGGCTTTGATCACATTGCCACAGAAAGTTGTCTCCAAATATAGGCATGGCATTATGAGATTTTGTTTTTCCAAGTCATAGTTCAATGATATCAATGACCATAGATCTGGTTCCTGGTTTCCTATATTACACTAGACAGGATCCCACACAATAAATTGCCATTCACTTCACGGAGATAAAATCGGTATTAGGTAATAGGTACATGTTACATATCGTGAAGGGTGTAATTTGGACGACTAGAGAAACTACGACATATCAATTTAGTACATTTCTTTGGAGAGTTTGTCATCCTTGGTAAATAACAAACAAGCATTTAGAAATAGTCAAGTAGTCTTTAGTGGTCCTCCTTACTCTCATACCCTAAAAAAATAAACATTATTACGACAGCCATCTCCAACGTCAACTTAAGAAAAGTGCCGAAGTTCAACGAAACCAAGAACAAAACTAGAACAAGGCACAAAAAAACCAACAAGGTTTTAGCGTTTTCACACAAATCCATCAGAACAACATTTTCTACACGTTGGCGCCTTTTGCAGACATCGAACACCGAGACGCTGCACGACGGGACTGGAAATGGAAACACCACTGCGCTGAGAACATCACGAGCAGCCGACGCCTCGAAGGCAGTGTCATGCCTTTGACTGCGTACAAAAAGACAATTCTGCTGCACGACGGCCAGCAGTGACACCGCCAGAGACTAAGACGTGGCCGTCACGTCGACGGCTGTGTCGGGACCCACCGACACTCCCTCGGCCAGTCGACGTGCTGTCTCGGAGTTGCCCTGGTAACGGACGGCCGGACTCTTGCGAAGGCTCAGCAGCACCGCAACGATGCCGTGGACAGTTCGCTCCAAGGCGCTTCGGTTCCAGTTGCGACCCTGCAAGAAAACAGTTTGTGAGGGACGCCTCTCGGTAAGCAGAGACCGTTGCGGTGTGCTTCCTCCCTTAATTTCCCATAAAAAAAATCTAACTCTTGGACAGAAGTATATTACATTGAAGGTATATTGGTAGCTGTCGTAGAAACAAATTGGGGCAGAACCAACTATGCTGCTGTCGAATTAAGTGATTAGCAGCGGACATAGTTGGAAGAGTCGTGCCAGGTCGCGTGTCGATTTCCCCCACCGAATTCAGTGGGTAAACTATATTTGCATGTAGGTTGCGCGACATCGAGCCATGTGACGTCATTTTCCCTGTAACATTTGGCGGGAAAACTGAATTGGTGTTGAAATCATTGTGATGCCAATTTTTCCAGCAAGCAAAGCGATAATTAGGCCATAGACTTCCCAGTTTGAACCGAAAAACACCGATAAACTCCCCTTGGTGTCAAAAGTACAAAACCGGTTCAAATCGAAGAACACCAATTTTGCAAAATTTTTGCTCCAGCTAGGGCTGTTTATGTTGAAATCCTCCCCACTGGAATGTTTAGTTTCGCAACAGCATTCTTCACAGATAATCACTGTTTGTAGCGTCAGTTCCAAGCGGATCAACGAAATACAGCGACATCTTAAAGCCAACAAACGCCGATTTCCCCTTACAGATAAGCAAAGGGAAAGCTACGGCCTAGCAATGATCCTTTTAAAATACCTCAGCTACCCGTCAGAACTGCAAAATTGCACATATCGGAGACCCTTTTAACCAAATATGACAAGGAGGTCTCCAGCTCACCTGAAAACAGCCCGTGAGGTTGAAAGAGAACAGGTGCGGCGCCAGGGCAACATAGTCCCCATAGAACTCCCTCACCTCGTGCACCGACTCCTGGTCGTCTGCTTCCGCAAGGACCTTCACGTCGCTGCGGTTAACCGTGTTGCTGAAGTCTGAAGGAGGACAAGTAGAAGTCGTTGCAAAAGGAGATCCTCGGAAGTATGCAATGCTGGTACCCAATTACTTCCAAAGAGACTGACAAAAAGCAGGGCTTTCTTCTAGGGGTGTGCAAGTACCGATTCAAATCGAATGCAAAGTGCAAGTTTGTCTGCTTCTTGCACATGGGCTGCGATGATGTCGGAACACCGAGCTCTTACTGGTTGATTTAAAAAAATGGTGGGTAGACCTCAAGGCATCTAGCATTGAGGTTTTCTCACTATCCTTTCAATTAAAGCCAATCGGAGCTCGGCGTAGTTCTGACATCACCACAACTCGTGCGCAAGAAGCAGACGACTTGCTCTCCGCATAGCAATGCGTCATTCATAACCTCCAGAGTAGAAGGGAATGCCACAACAACCGGTTTTCTCAACACTGTTAAAGCTGGGGACGACACAGCACTATTCGCTTCAAGCCAGCATTCACACACATCTTTTTTGTGAAACAGAAACCCAAACTTTCCTGCAAACAACTAAGCATTGCCTCGAAAAAGGAACTGATGATATATTGGAGTGCGTGTGCACAAACTGACTTGCTGGCCACATTGTACCAACGGTACGTCGTGTCCAGATTGCACACATTTACAAGTTGCAAATTCAGATTTTCCTGTACACTTCCTCCACCGCTTGCAGCACTTGTATAATTTATTCCTTTTCTCTATGACTAGCACCGACGTCGAAAATGTTTACACAAGAAATATTGTTTGCACATGCATTATACAAGAAATATTATTTGTGGAGCAGGACAGGCATCTACTATATCCCCCCGCGTCACTGCGACACTGCTGAGATCGCAGGCGGCAACATGACACTTCTATGACTTGACATGACACTTTATAACACCTTTTTATGACAAATGACACAACATGACCACCTGTGACTTGACATGACACTTCATGACACACGACAAAACATGAGACTTCTATGACTTGACTTGGCACTTTGTGACACTTTTTTTTACGACACATGGCACAATGTGACACTATTTTAGGACGAGGTAAACACACTGGCCAAAGACGCGTTCCAGACACCACAGCGATGGTACAAACTGACGACGCAAGGCCGAACAAAGACTCACAGATGTAGTACTGTCCGTATCTCGGGCGCTTGAGCTCTCGCACCAGCAGCTCAATGTTTTCCTTGGTGGGGCGCACGAAGACGATGCACTTGAGGTGCTTCATGGCGTCGCCCCCGGCCAGGTCAATCCGCTCAAAGAGGTACACTTCCTTCAGGAGGATCTCGGACTGAGCGTACACCACGCTCACGATGGTCGTCTGTTTTTAAGAGGTGGAATGACGATGCCGTTACGCAACGAAGGTGTACACCGGAAAAACTAATTAGTTGAAGGAGCCGTGCAATGACGTTCGCTCAGAATTTTTTTCACTTTACACAAGCTTAATGGCACTAGTGGGACCCAAATCTACTCGCACGCAACTCCAATGACCAAGAAACTCCTTTGTTGCAGCGTAATTTCGGAAACAAAAGCGAGCATTCTTTTTCAATCTCTCCTTCGCAAAGCTTGATGACGTAGCACAAAGGTCGCAGTAACCCACCCCCCCCAGTGACGATAATTCAACGCGGCTCATAAATTAGACCAGAGCATTTCGTGAGCGCTCAGTTTGGAGTCGTGATAATCGATGGCTCGTCAAGCATTCGAGTAGTGGCCTGAGTCCAATCGCTGCAATGACGACGATAGCCGAACAATAACATTGTCTGAAACTCGGCGTGTGTCCAGTGCCTTGCCAACCCCAGCGCGGGGCTATGATCAACATTGGCGGCACATGATCGGCCTCCAGATCACGTGGCTGCTTGTTCTGGTTGCGAGGTGAGGGAGTGAACGCTGCTCTTGTTAACTTTTTTCTGTGACTTCTATTGCGTGCGGTGAGAAACAAATGCGCATTTCATAGGTCCTTAACGTCAAGGATTCGTTCTAAGCTGTATTTGTGCAAAGTACAAAAAATTGTTGCATCGCACCTTTAAGGAATGCCGAAGAGCAAGTGCCGGGAATGCAGTTAAGCCAGAAAAAAACAAATTAGATATTAGGTGTTTAAACAGCATGAGTTAGGTCTGCCCAAGTATTACAACAATGTTACATGCTGTAGACGAGAAATTTAGCTAGTGTAGCACTGCTGGCAGCATGGGGTCTTTGACATGTAACACACAGTAGCGATGCAGGAGGGCATGCTGCTACGATGCTCATTCAGATCGAAACGCGGGCAGAGGTGGAGATTGAACTCTGGTATTCCTGGGTTAACGCACCCAGGCAAGCTGACACAAGCTGTGCACCGCATATTCAAAACTGAGAAACGGAAACTAAGAAAACAGTGTCGTGGCGAAAAGTCGTCTGCCACTCCGAGGCTTCCAGTAAGTTCCTTTTCCAGCTTTTGCTATAGACATAGTATACCTTAAAGTGATAGTGCAACAGGAGCTACACACTCGCCGGACCTATCAACTGCCTGCCTTTCATCACCAGACCCCCCCTTCTTCTCGTGGATATGGGTAGGAGCGTGATCACGTGGCAAAAGATAAATGTACAACTGGTTCATCGAGCATATAGCTTCCATTGCACTGTCTGCTTAGGGGGGGGGCACAGTACAGCAGCTTCAACTGCCCTCATGTTTTGTTTGGAGGTGCCATTATAAGTGCATTGGTTAGGATTACTCTAAGGTTAAACTAAGTTACACTCCATGGCAATTAGTCAGTGTTTTGGCTATGCAGAGCGCAAGTTTGTCCGCTTCTTGTACAGGGGTTGCGATGATGTCAGAATGCCAAGCTCTTATTGGCTGGTTGAAAAAAAATAGTGGGTAAACCTCAAGGCATTGGGGTCTCCACTATCCTTCCAATCAGAGCTCGGCGTCGTTCTGACGTCACTGCACTAGAAGAAGAAGCCTTCCTCTTCGCATTGGCCAATGTTTAGCGTACTAGGCAAGAGGAAACAGACTGATTTAGAACAAAACGTTTGATGGTGGGAAACTAACACGAAAGGAGATCGCCGACATGACGTGCAGAGCTTCAGGCCTTGCACCGTTGCTGAGATGGAGCCGAGAGGGCTCCACCTTACCACTACCAAACTTCAGCGCACTACGCAATGTAGAGTCTCGATGCCACTGCAGCAGGGAAAAGCGAGCCTCGCGAAGCACTGGCATCGTCGCAGCCTGGGAGCGGTAGTGTGACGACCCAGTAGTCGCCAACAAGAAATATGGCGAAGTAGAATACCCCAATGCACTTGTAAGTACAGATTGTGCTGCGTGTTTGTTCGTTGTGTCTTAGTCGGCCCCAGTGGGCGTCTGGTGCATTCGCTGTAGATGAGGAACTTAGCCGGTGCAGTACCACTGTTGACCTCAGGTCTGGAACGTGAATCACGCGGTAGTGACATACGACCGCATGCCGGTACGATGCTCATCCAGATCGAAACGGGCAGGGGTGGAGATTAAAGCATACGTTTTTCGAGATGCACCCTATTCATAGAAAAGAGCTCACTTTCGAACCTTAACTCGGAAAATTATAAAAGCAGGCTTTCCAGGGAGGCTTGCCGTAACGCACTCCAACCATCCGTGAAGGCTACATGTCACTAAGCCCCGTGAATAAGTGTCAAAGTGACAGCAATAAAAAATCGCTTCCTACTCACAGTTTCGCGATCCATCATAAGGACTTTCATCCCTGGACCACTTTCCTCGATCATCTTGTCGATGTAAAGCCGCACTGCGGCGACGCAACTCATCCTGAAAGTTTTGGCAACGTTCCCGCCCGACAAGATGGTTTACGCAGCGAGCGGCTGGCTAGCTGGATGGATTCCGGCTACGACTAAGACTAGCAGACGACAAACCAAAGCCGTATTATTTCTCAAAATAAGTTTGACGCGCTTTGTTCTGATTTATAAAAAAATGAATGTAATTTTTTGTGCCCTCTTACAGTTTTCTTTAGGAGTATGCAATAACAAAGAAGGATTTATGATTATTGGTACTATTTGTTTTTGGCGAAGCGCGAAAAAAAGAAATCAATGAGCGTGCCGATAGTCATCGCGGTCAATCGCCATGCCGACGATTCCGAAAATGCAATGAAAATGCAGAGCGTGATGCCACACCGCCGGCGACTATAATAAGGTTTTTGCAGTGTCATTTTGATGTTTAGTTATGCAAAATCGCTCCGAAACCCTCCGTCGTCAATTGAGAGGCCATTTTTAAAGTGCCCTGTTCATTATAAGACGCGTCGCAGCTCACGGAATGGAGTTGAACATCTGGAAAGGTGACTGGGGCCTCCCGAGCATCGATACTGCGTGTCTCGAAGCGCTGGTGAGTCTCTTGTAGACGTAATTACCTCGATTACTCAAATTTTGTTTCTCAATGATATCTATCCATGCATATGTCAATGGGTAGACGGGAGCCAAAGACGCTTATGATCATTAGATCATGAAAGACGACTCAACACGCATGCGATCCAGCCACCCAGCTTCATAAACGTCCCTAAAAAACGAGAAGCACGCAGTGAGCTTTTACCACAATGCCCTTCCCCTTTCCACTTTAACGGAGCAAACGCTGGAAACGAGGCGATTGGAGAGGAGGAAATCGCCAATCATGGCGAGCCGAAAGCTTTGTGGGCGGGGCATGCCGTGCGTTTCTGCACCTGGAACGAACTATAGTACTTAGTAAAATGTATTTATTAAGATGTAATGACATGTCCTAGTTCTGGAAAACTAAACAGAAGCTGTTTGAAATCTAACCTTGACCCGTATAGAATTGATTTCGGCCAAGACACCTGTTGGTGTGCAGCGAGGACCAAGAAATGCTAAACTGCTCTCTTTCTCTTTCAAGGCATACGCAAAGTTTTCCGGGGCACCTCTGATAGTCAACGAGGTCAGAAGACCGTGGTTTGGTAAGCTACAAACTTTACTCATGAGCATTGGTAGCGACAATAGACTCCTTTAAAAAAGAAGGCGCTTCTCCTCAGAGCTTTGAAAACACTGCAATGCGACAGATGAAGCAACTCCGTAAAACAGGCACTTTTATAATCATATATAGTCGCCCAGAATTTGCGAACATTATGTAATTCAGTTCGATGTCATTTGTGCACGCTGTTTTGCGCTATTTTCTGCTCTTCCAGTGACGGCATAATTCTGAAAGAAGGTCTACACAGAAGATAGGAGTAAATCACCTCGTACTTCAGTGGTGCCCGCCCTTTCCCCTGCAAAATAATAAAAAGATATAGTAAAGGCCACAGTTTCTTGGATTTACCGTACTATTTTTTAACAGAGCATGAGCATGTTCTATGAATAATGTCGGACATCTTCAGTTTAAGACGGGAGCGCAATCTCAGCTTTACGGATCCCCCACCAGCAATTTTGGATTCCGGCATAACTGTCTGTAGTCGAATGAGAGCATGTTGCAGTGTAGGTGCCGTAGAACTGAGATTTCAGTTGCACGTCAGAGGCCGACCTGCAAAATATTTTTCAACCAGGGTGAAAATCCTCCTCACCACGATTCCGGTTCCCCCTCTCCCACTCTTAATTTGACTGCAGGGGGGGGGGGCAGGGGACACCTTTTGTTGCTGCATTTTTTGGAGGGCTGAATGAGCCGAGATAAGCTCCCGGCTTATCCGGCCCAAGATGCAGTAACAAAGGGAGCCCCCCCCCCTTCCCCCCCCCCCTTCCCCCCCCCCCCCCCCCCCCCCCCCCCCCGCCGTCAAAATAGTGGTGGGAGAGGGAAATAGAAAGGCAGGCGAGGAGGATTTTCACCCTGGTTAAAAAATATTTTTCAGGTCGGCCTTTAAGGATTCTTAGGTGATCCTTAATCCCGAATCCTTCACAAGGTGCGTCAGATGCCCTCCATTGGTTTGGCACGTGAAACTCTCCCGCCAATTTCTTTACTCTATCGTTGGACACCCATGTTTTAGTGTTTTTGTTTTATTGCGTCTTGTGCTAGGTTAGAGCCCTCTTCAAGTTAGAAACTGTATCGCCAATATTCATGTGGGAGAAGTTATGCGCCACTAAAGCCAGTCACATGGTGACCCGAAACAAAAATAAATGCAAAGAGATGTTGGGAACCTGTGGCAAGTTAACATATGTAAATTTTTTTTTGGTATACTCATGGAGTTAGACAAAGAGTATAATTTAATACCTGTTGATGTGTCTGAAACGTTGGATGCTTGTTCACTTTGCAGCAACACTACCCGTAATGAGGCACGGCCCGTCCACGAGGATTACAAAATTTGAAGACATGGTGTCTCATTTTAGAAAACAAGTAAGTTTGCTCTCTTCTTTTTTTTTTTTGGCAGTCGAGTGCGAATGGGATGACCTTCGGGAATTCAACTCTTCACATTTGTAGAAAGAAAAACTGCTACCATGACAGTACGCTATTATTAAAGACTTACTTTTTGCGAGTGCTTTGTTTTTGCAACTCAGAAAATAGTGGAAAAAGAATTGATCACGCAAATATATATCTCCCCATGGCAACAAATACATAGCATATCACTGCAAATTGCATATTGTTCCCACAAAATCACACTCGCACTTCCAAAACTTATTGAAATAGTCTGGGAAAAATAATGTCTTTCACAGTAGCTATCTTTAATCTCAGAAATGATGGCAAGGTTGTTTGTTTTTATTTGAAGCTATAGTATTTATTCATTTTTTATTTAAATAGATAAATAAATGTTACTACTGCCACTAAAAACTAACCCTTGGAAAATCAAATCCCTCTAATTTGGTGGATCTGATGTTGTCACTGCAACTGCCAGTATACTTATGTCTCACAGATGAATAAAGGGTGCTAGCTCTCGTCGAAGTTTTAATCAGCTTGCACTGCAGCTGAAAATGTCAATTGGGTATTTATTTATTTTTTAAACAAATAAATATCACAACTGCAACTGGCAGCGAATTTGTAGAAAATCAAATAACTCATGTAGCTGCGAGCATCCTTTCGTTTAAACAGTTGTTCCCCTTTTCTAGTCCCTGTCTGAAACGCCTTCTCAAAGTTTATTTTATTTATTTGTTTCATCTTTTTCCCCTGGCAGAATTACAGCGCGGACATTCAGCTTACCGCTCAGCAATCGTCTGACGTCAGGGCATACACAGCCATGCTGAGGCAGAAGCTGAAACCTGCATTGGTGGGTATCAGCTCATCCAGCAGCTGGCATCTTTTGCCAGGAAGCTCTGGTTCTAGACGAGTGCCCAAGTCTGACAGCAACCAGAAGTATATCTCTGAGCTTGTTTAGAGTGAAATTGTGACTTCTGCTTTCTGTATGGTTCCCTGAATTGTGAGCTATCTCAATGTACTGCTGACCGAAGTAGCTGATATCCTGTACGAAGCGCGGGAAGTGTTTTTGCACCATCCTGGTCTGGACGGCTCGAGCCCATCCATCGAGCATTTCAGGAGGGTGGCTTTGAGTGATTTTTAGTGCCTCTATTTTTGAGAGCTTGACTCTAAGACAGTGGTAATGATAATATATTGCTTTCTTTGATACAACCCATACTTTTTATATTAAATGTTTTAGTCTTGCAAACTGTCTGTTTACAGACTTGTGACGTCATACACTGATAATTGCCCCATGTCACCCCCTTTTTAAACAAGAAGTGGTTGAAGTAGCCGGGTCTTTGTGGTGTGGTGCTTCTCGGCATCTTTACATCTCCTAAGGTATTTCTTCTGCTCCAGTCGGTGCGCTATTGGGGTCAATTAAAGACCTTGGGTTAGCAGTCGTGTACTGCTCTGGCCGTCTCAGAACAAAACATCCTGCGTAGAGCGTGACACGGTTAGCACGAATAAACGATTGCTGGTTTTTCCTTCGTTGTCTCTTAGAACTGGAAGGCCCGAAAACTACTATTAGTGTGGTGGGAAGTGCTCAGTCAGAGCTCCAACTTGAGTGTTGAATTGTGTTGTTCGTCGGCACACTGTTTGAGTAAAACGTGTTGTCGGGTTTATGCTGTGTTGCACAGTGCTGCATCGCAGGTTTGTGCCGTGTTGCGCCTCAAGGCAAACTGACCTCTCGCTACGCATGCTTTCGTTATCAATTTGTTTTTAAAAAATGACATTCAGAGGAGCTTTAGCCATTTCTTAAATTGTCTTTTTATGGTGCAAACCCAATTTATCTGGTCTAAGCATCCAGAGAACCCAAAAATACGGCGATGCATGACCACTGATTTTTCTCGTGTGGCATTGCACCAGCAGCTGCCGCGGTGGCTTCGAAGCAACGCGCCGGCCTACGGATCTTCAGCCCATAATTTGACGTAAGCTTATTGCAGAGAAGGCGCTGTGTAATCAAGATTAGACCTCCAGGTGGTCAGAATTAGTCCTCCGCTGTGGCCCAACACCCTTCGTTGGCTTGGCCCAGAATACCTCCAACTTTGACTTCGATTTGAGGCACCAGTCGAGCGAGACCTCTGTCTCTTTTCCTAGCTGTACCTGTGGTGGGTGGATGCCAAGAACTACGTGGAGCTGACGCGGCCCTGGTACGCCAGGGCTCTCGCGTTTCCCCTCAACTACGTTCTGCCAGGGCAGATGCAGAGGGACGCCATGGCCGCCCTTCAGTGCAAGCTGGAACTCCTGGACCTGGAGGGGAAACAGGCTGAGACAGCGGTGCGTGGCAACCTTTCCCGTCTTGTTTTTTCACGGTAGCTGTTATTGGCGAGGCTTCTCAGTGAGGTTTTGTTGCGAAACCTTGCTGTGAAACCTTGGCGAGAGAGAGAGAGAGAAACTTCTTTATTGTGCCAAGTTTAGCCAAGGTTTCGCATGGCTCCATGTGACAGTCCAACCCTACACGAAACATCCCTGGGCGAAACCTCGCCAAGGTTTCGCGTGGAGGTGTTTTGTGTGGGGTCGACATGTCACGTGACGTCGTGGTTTCACATAATGGCACAGTATCACGTGACACAGTGAAGTTTAGTGGAGAAGCTTTGGCTACATTTAGGAAGCAAATTTTCCCTCTGAATTTAGCAGGCCCAATCGCTTCGGGTAATTCCCTGTTACAATGCTAAATTTGGCGGGAAAATGCCTTTGTGCGGTGTGATCGTGTGTAGTTTGTGTGCAACAGTGTGTGCAGCACCTCAGTTGTCGCCGCAGCTTGTTTGCAAGAGACAGCAAGGAGACTGGAATTTTCTTGTGTTTGAGAAGGGGATGTCTTTTGCTAGGAGTTTTGTGTTCTTTCTGACAGGCTATTATGAGAATTATGTTATTTTTTGAGGACTGGACATTTGCAGTGCGCAATGAAACATCCTTTAATTGAGACGTGAGCGGGATCGTAGCAAACAGCCTGGTTGAACCGGTTCCACTTATCAGTGCCTCGTGTAGCCTGCGAGCTAGGTAATTTACTTTTTAAATCTAATTTAATTATAATTAGATAGCTTTTAAAGTAAGTATTCACATTAGTTAGGGTTGTTAGTGCACAAAGCATAATGCATTACATTCATTCGTCCTTGCAATTACTTCTTAACCACTTGTGCTATCCGGTTTCAATTACATTGATTTTGCAGCATTTTTTTTGTGGTAAAATGTATTTGTCCGTTTTTCTTTTTTTCTCTTGTTGTTCGAGGACTCACCGTGTAGAGTTTTACATTCTTCACATCTCGTTCCTGTGTTTCACCAAGTCTATTAATCATGCAATATGGAATGATGTGAAGCCAAGCTCCGAGTGCCACAGATGTCTTTTTGTTATTTTGCTTCATCACTGGGATTGTTCGTATTGTCTTTTATAGCAACAATTAAAAGTAAAAGTGGAGCTCAGTGAGAGCCAACACCTCATACATGGCTTTCGTTGAAGTTGTCCGTGAAAGTCACATACTATTAGGCACTGGGCAGTTCGGGGCTTGTCCATGCCTGTTTTTGTTCCTACCTGTATCACGCTCGGTTTTGAGCCATGCATGATCTTGCTTTGAGTATTCAATGGGATAGCTTTGTTGCATCACAGCTATGCATTCCTTCAGAGCCACTATTCCAACATGACTTTGAAGGTTCTACAAGTTGTACTGTAATATCTCTCGCCCAAACAGGGTTACTGCTTTGAATACTTTGATGCGGTGATTGAGCCTGTGCTGCTAAGCATTTCCATTTGATTTCTTTTCAGTTGCTGAAGGAGGCACAGGAGTGCCTGACAACGCTCTCGCAACGGCTAGGGAAGGATACCTTTTTCTTCGGCAAGCGGTGGGTTTTTTTACCAAATGGCGCTTGTGTCATGTGCATGGTGGCAAGCGTGACAGGAATGCTTGTAATCTACGGATGGACGAGTACAGTCAAACCGTTCTGAGTCGGGTGGTAGCTTGTGCCACCTTCCAGTGTGGCATACGACCCCAGTGGCAAACATGCAAAGTAGAGTAACCGAGACCGCACATTTATTTGAATTTATGACAGAGCCTAGCGTGGCCATGCAGCTAAGGTATGAAACAAGATCTGTAAGCAATAATGGTATGCCCTGGTGCAGGCAGCTGAATTTCATGTGTGCTTTCTTCACCCAAAGGCGAAACTGGTGCATGTAGCGAGCACCTTAAATTTGTGCTGTTAATTGCACTGGCATTTCCCCTTTTCATGTGGTTAATTTTGCAACAGCGTCGCCTTAGTGCATCAAACTGCTGTTTTTGAAGGACTGTTGCCAGGTAGCCTGCTTTCTAACCTTTTTACAGTAATTTCGAGGCCCCTGCTGTTTGAGCATCTATCCTCGTGGCCGAAATTGAAGCTTCTGGAGCTTGTACATATCAGTTATGCTGGGAGCTTTCAATTGTTAAGTCAGTTTATTTCTTTAAAAAAAGGCCTTCACTGCGTGTAAGGTTTTCCTTTGCATCTCTAGCTCAATTACTTTAAGCAGTATTACAAGCCTGCCTGAAATTTGCTCTGTTGAATTTTTTATTTTTGCTTTATTAGTTTACTGCAGGGGTTTTGAAATTCTTTGACCTTGAATTCCCGGTCTCGGCTTCGGTGCAAGAAATCAGTGAAGCTCTTTGGCCGTGCAAGCAATAATGCACATATACTAAGAAGTGTTTGGCTCATAGTTATGTACCAATGAGTGGTTCAGATCTGCTAAGGTAGTGCTTAAACTTGAAAAAACACTTTACTTAGGGGCAAGAACGAATAGGGAAGTCACGTAATACATAGGATGTCCCAAGCGGATCTCCCGCTGTACAACGAGCTGGAAAAATCGACGCCATCACATGGGAAGATCTAACTTTTTCTGAATGGGCCCTGAGCAGGTCAGTCTTACCATCCGAAATTTCAAGGTGCCGTTTTTTTCCTTTAAAAAATGAGAGCAAAAAACTTGCCAAAATGAACATTGGGCACGTTTTGAGACGACCGAGCCAGCAATGCTAATTAGGGTACTTGTGGCGCCATTTCCCCGATAGAAACAGTGGGCAGACGATGCGCCCTGTTGTCTGCTCGCTGCACCATTCTGGAGAAGGCACCACAAGTTAATAGCATTGGTAACTCTGTCGTCTGCGAAGGCACCCAGTGTTGACTTTGACAAGTTTTTTGCTTGATTTTTTACAGGAAGAGAACTATGCCTTTGTTGAAAGTTTGAGCTTTCTATGGGCAGAGCAGGTTTTTTGGCTCGTTTTAGAGCAGATGGTGTGCTTGGGTCACACCATACATTCACAGCGCGGGATCGGCTGGGGTGGGTCGTAGCGTCTGCTGCGGAACTTCTAAGGCGAAACAGAGCATAGCAGAAGCAGACAACAGGGTGCGTCGTCTGCCCACTCTGCCTATCAGGGAGATGGCACCCTTGCTCCAACTGACGAGCGGCGGATTTTTTTACGCTTTGCAGACCGACGTCGCTGGATGCCGTGGTGTTTGCGCACCTTGCTCCTCTCCTGAAGGCCCCCTTCCCCAATGCGGCCCTACAGAACCACCTGAAGGCCTGCGAAAACTTGGCAGCGTTTGTGGGTCGCATACTGCAGCAGTACTTCCCGCCTGCCAGCGCAGGTGTGTGAAGTCCACTTTATGTGCATCAATTCGCACATGTTTAGATCTATTCTAGAGCGCAATTGATACCACACATGCTATTTTGCGTTGAAGTCACTGGAAGGTCGGCACTTTTCCCATAAGTCTGTTTCGATTTACTTGGTACGTGTTTTATGATATATGATGAGGCTTTTAACAGTGCTAAAAGTTGTAACCACCTTGCAGAATTTCATTTCGTGGCTTTATGGGCTCAAAAATGCAACTCAATTGTTTTCTTCTTTACTATTCTGTAAGTTTTTAAGTTATTTTATCTCACAAAGTATCATTAGTCTGCCATACACTCCAGCTTTTATAATGAAACTTAGAAGATGTGTGCAAAGAAGCAGAAATTAAATGAGTAAAAGCTCTGGAACAAGTGTGTCGAAGGTCGCCGTGTGCCATGCGAAGTTCTAAGGCAGTGATTCTCAAATAATGTTGTCTTTGTCTTTGATGGTACTTTGTCTAGTACCATCAGGGGCAGACAGCCAAGGTTCATTCCCTTACCATTCTCTCAATAACACAGTTAAAACTTACAAATTGGTTAAAAATACTGCACATACTGCTCTGAAACATGGGATTGGTTGGCTCATAGTCATAGTCATGCATCAATGCGTGGCCCAGCTGTGGTTAGATTATGCCTAAAGTGCCAAATTACAACTTCAGCCGCAATTCCTCATGCCCAAACTTAGGGACAAGAAGTTTTTTTACATTCAGGGACTGTCGCTATTCCTAAACATTGCTCGGAGATAGGGACAATCCAGAAAATGTTGGTGCATGAGGAACTTCTGGGGGTACTTTGGGGAAGTTAGAACCATGCTTAAGAACCAAGTTTCTCCGTTCCACGAGTACACATTACTGCCAGATCACACAGCCAATAGGCACTTGCCGCGTTTTTCTTTCAGACCTACGGCCCTGTTACCTTTCCACAGCACTGCCCTCGTGGAAAGCACCGATTCAATTTATGTCAAGATTTTGTGATCCAGTGTCCATCTGGTAGATACATTTAGATGTGATGGGGCATTTTAGTCATCCCAAAAAGAAGTAATCGAAAATATGCAGGTGTCTGAACCGCACTGATGAGCTAGAATAATTGAATCTCTGGCATACCGAGGTTTTGCATTTCGGCGGCTTTGTAATGGTCATTTCATTCGATCAGTACTGTTCATTCATGTGCATGTCATTTAGATGCTAGTAATTGCTTGTCTCGCTCTCAAAGCATGCGGTATGTGTTTCAGTGGTTCTAAACATATTTTCAAGACGGTGCTCGTTGTTCTTCTCCATGTGCAGATTCCGAAAAAGGGGACCGACCTGGTGGGGGCTCGCCAGGCTCTTCAGACACAGACTTCAACTTCTCCTGGCTCAACACGACTCTTTCCGTCGCATTTGCAGCAGGAGCGATGTTGATCTATGCGGTCACGTCGGGACTAATACAGGCAAGTCGGGCTTGTCGTACCCTAACAACTCGTCGGCGGTACTTGCAGAACTCTTTTCAGTCTTTCTGAAAAACGTGGCTTTGGTCGATCGAGTGAAATTGGGAATCAGATGGGGCGTCTCGCAACAGCATTGGACATTTCGGCGCGAGCCAGGTTTTTTTCGTGAAGTGTGGACTACATGTGTGAGGTATCCAGAAGGTCACCTTTTTTATTTCTTCCCATTATACCGACCTTTGCGGCTTCGCGCCTTGCGCGAAGCCGCAAAAACCCAGCGTGCTCTGCAAGCTGGCTTTCCCCCAATGCGGCCGCTCGCGTTGGTTGAAAGCCAGCTTGCAGAGCGAAACGGCAATCTTGGCAGTTAGATATATCGGTTGCGGCTGCTATTCTTGATCGATATAATCTTAGTTTTTGCTATATATTATCACTGTAACATTACTGTGCACAAAACTTGTTCGATATAAGGAATAATTCAATGTAAACGGGTTCGATATTAGTCGGGTTTGACTGTATTTAGAAAGGTCGAATAATTCAATACTATTGTTAAATTCTTAAATTCGATTCGAAGCGAATGCCGATTAGAACAGAATTCAATTGGCTATTCGTAATAACTGAATATTCGCCCATGCCTACTTTCGACGAGTCGCACCCCTTCGTACGGTTGGCACTGCGAAACTGCACCAGTAGGCCCGCACGCGTGTATTGTGATCACGACACGTGCGCAAGAGGGAGCAGCCAGTTTCATTGTTCTCGTCCAACAAACCGAACGAGAAACGTAACCCCCGTGGTTGTATTAAGTCGCAGCTTCTCTCGCAGCTATGAAAAAAGCCCGTACAAATTGTGCCGTCGTATAGGACACGACGGCAAAATTCCTCCTAATCGCCGACGTTTTAGATGGCGTAACACGGTTTGCAGTAGCGGTAGTGACGAAGTCGCATCTTTGCACTCGTTTCGGGAAAGCCTCGCGGGACTATTGCTGTACGGTTTATGCAACGACATTCTATTTTACAGATTGAGTATCAAGAGGCCGAGAAGGAAGCACAAGACGAAGATTAAAGCTCGGAAGTACACGCTGTAAATTTCTTTCTTTCTTTACACAGGTTTTGGCTTTTGTACGATATAGTAGTTCACTGTGCAATGAGGGTGATAGACGCTTGTAGATAAAAGAATGGTTGTAACTCTTTGTTGAATGTCTCGTTGGTCTGAAAGGAACTGAGAAAACTGGCAAAACAAGCAGTTCACTGGCACACAGAATATCCTGTAGCATTGGCAGCTTCAAGAGTTCAGCATATAATGGGGAAAACAGTGCGAAAATGACACAAGCTGGCAAAGTGCCATGATGTTGTCATTTTCACACTCTTTTCTTCGTTCATTCGAAAATATGTTACTAGGTAGTAGAGCCCTGAAGAGATTTTGATATCTGCATGTGACCTGCAACCTGCTTTCATCATGATTTTACACTTCAGGCTTGAACTCGGCTTTTGACGCATGTATGTTTGTGCAAGCGGAACATTTCCTTAATGCTTTCACCTTTCACACTCTAACAAAAAGCTCAGCAAATTCCCAGGGGTTTTTGTGCAAGAGGGGATAACAGGACCTTCAGAGCACCTATTTTGCGGCTACCTACTAGAAAAATATCTTTTGGGGCACTGTCTACACAGACAACTTTGAACAGTGTCAACAATGTTGAAAAACTGAGCTCTGCCAATAAAACGTCCACTGGTTAAGTCATCAGCATACCCTTCCGTCAGAACAGCTAAACTTTATCAGATTAAAGAGCAAAATGATATTGATACGTCCCAGAGATGGGAGCTGCTCTCCGTTATGGTGCACCGTTAGCATGTCAAGAAAGCAGGTTGCATATGCAGTCAACGAACCACACCAGAACCATTTTCTGGCAATGCTTTCGTGAACTGTCCTTTTAATTACAGCAAACTCCTCCTACAGGAAATTGAACCGTTTTCAGGATCTCCGCAACACCGAACGAAATGCCAGTCAAGCATACTTCCCCTTTGCTTCGCTCATATTCACGGTTTTGCTACAGATCAGTCTTCACGATAGTGGAGTTCTACTCTACTACCACCACCAGGGTTTTAGCATGCCCCGGCTCATTTCGTACAGTATGTTTCCTCACCGCTTGGTGCCTGGAGCGAGTCTCTGGTTTTATACTACGGCAACTTAAATCAAACCTTTTTCGCAGAAGCAATCCCCAAAAAATACTTTCCGTCTACTATTTGTCTATCATTTAACGCTTCCAATGTGCACGCAATTCTAACTGGAGACGACGGACTACACCGGGGACGGGTCCAACGCACACCTCAACTGAGACGTGCGTGTTTGTCCCTCGCCCCGTCTGATAACCTTGTCTTCTTTCAATGTGCACTTGTTTCATATCTAAAGTAAAGAAACGAGCGAAACGAAATATAAAGCGGGTTGAACGCGAACAACTCTGCTGCGCAAACCAGAGCGTCTAGCTTTTTTTTTCTACGATCCATTTCATTTGTCAGTTATGCAACGTCCGACTGCAAGCAAGTCAAAGTGCAGTGCAAAAGAAAACCAAAATGGGAAAAGTGATGTTCTATTGCAAGAAGCTGCTTTTGTTCTAGTATGGTGGGTTTACATCAATATAAAGCCTGTACTCAGAAAAGCCGAGTGTATGCATGCTTTGCATTGACGTCACGTCGTCCACTTCGCGCCACCACGGAAGAGAGAGGGGAAAGCTGCTTCTGTACGAATTTTGAGTTACGGGTTAATCTTTTCTTTAATATCTATTGTTACTGCATTCAAGTATTTTTATTTTCAACTATTTTTGTTGTATTTTTGTTATGCATTTTTGTTTGTTTTAGTCACTATTTTTACCCAAAACCCGCTGCTCTCACTGACGTTTGCATTCAAATAGAAATCATTTATCATTCTAGTCCAGGAGTCTTCAAACTTTTTGGCCAAGGGGTCGAATGAGGCATCTGTCGCATTCTCGAGGGCCAGGAAAGCAAATAGTGATTATAAACGAGGAAAAACTAAAAAAATGACTCTAGGTAAAAAGTTTGAATGCAGAAATGAATTTAAGGGGGAACGCTGGTCTTGGAGCTTCTTTTCTTATTCTATGACCAAACCCATTGAAACTGCACAAGCGTGTACAGCTTTTTGTGCTGATTTCATATATGTGGTCGTTTTCTCAGTCAGGAGAATTATCCTCAAGGTAATTAAAACTTGCCTGCCTTCGTTTGGAAGAACGATAGGAAAAAACTGCTCAACAAAAAAAATCCTTTTTAACACATGGCTAGATACTACAAAGTGTATAGCATACAATGTTGGAAGTACTTTTAAGATAAACCCACTATTAGTGATTTTACCACACATTGAAGTTCAGTGCTCAATGCATGGCTGACAAGAAATAAAACAAAAGATTGAATAGAAAATTTTCTAGACTTGTATTAGAAAATCTGCTCAACATTGTGTGCTTCACACATTTAGCTACTCATTTCAGGAAAGGTTATATTTCTATCTGCTCTGGATGCCGAGATATCCCTCCTGCAAATTTTTCACGAGTCCAAAAATTTTGTCTTGTGAAAACAATGTTTTAGAGTCAACTTCAACTCACATTCAGCCCGCATAGACATTATTAGTTGATTTATAGCCCAGATATTCATCCACGAAATTAGAAGCCTGGTAAATTCGGAAGAACAACAGCCATTGCCATTTTCAAAAGAATACAGCTTTGGGACGTTTTTGGCTCCAAAGACCCATGTCCCCCCTTAAAAAGAAAAAAAGACACCTAATTTAGCTAATTATGATGTTACACAACAATTGTGACTGCAAAAACTCTCCAGGCAAAAATCAAAGTGCATGGCAATTGCAGAGTGCAAAAGACTAATGAGAATTATAAAACTAATGCTGACACAAGTACATGAGAACATCAAAAGAATTTTAACATAATTACACGGACGCGTTGCACACCTTTAGACGCACTCCCCATTTCAAGGTCAAAATAGGTGCACCGCCCAACTGAGGGGTTAAAGGGCAGCTCTGGTCGAAAACGAAACCAAAATAAACTACCGGTATCACTTTAGTGGCACAAAATATGATCCCAGCCGAAATATTACGTTTAAGGGAAACCGCATACTTCACTGATGCCGATATTAAAGATGCGACTAGCTGCCCTTTAGTGGGTGGCAAGCGGGTTAGCCTTTAGTCGAGGAACGCCGTCGCGGCACCCTCGTGACGCGACGCCGCGGTGGAGCTGCGGTCGATTGGTTGTACCGCGTACTGCAGCCCCACGATGATCAGCGTTGCCATCCCTCCAGCAGGCAGTTTCTGTTTCACCATAGACTCCCGAAACCAAACTTCGAGCCTTGATATTTATAAAAAAAAATTATACCTCGTAATTCAGGGACACTGTCTTAGCTAAAAACAGTCGTAATCCTAAATTTGAAAAACAGACCATTTAATTAAAAGAAAGACTGCAAGTTCCGTGAGGCACGTTTATTGGATTTCGTCCCGCACGTAATGAAAAAAAACAAAAACAAAATGCTTGAGTTACGTGCCACATGTCACGCGTTTCCGCTCGCTTTGACCTTCTTGAGGAACGCCATGCCGTGCGTCCGTGTGTGGCTTTTGAGTTCCCGCTCCGTGTCGAACGTCGCCAGGCACACGCTGCAGCGGTGCCCCGCGCAGGCGCCCCCCGCGTTGTTCCCCGCGACCGCCGTGGAAGACGCGTCCTCTGCCGCGTTCTCGACGATGCGGTGCACTCCACGGAGGTGCTTGCGCAGCGACGGCTCCACCACGTAGCACAGGCCGCACTCGGGGCACTGGAACGTCTCGTGGTTGGCCGGCCGGTGGGTTGCGATGTGTTTGCGGAAGACGGCGGGGTCGTCGGACTCGAACGCGCACTTCGCGCATGTGCGCGCGTTGCTGTTGTTGTTGTTGTTGTTTGGAGCGGCATTCTTGGTGTGCCCCTGCGGAGGAGAAGACAAATCTGTCATGCTTTGCAGATTCGTTCTGAGCTGAACGGAGGCCGGCGTTGGCGCCGGCCACGAGCCGATGGCGCCGATCAAAGGTGCAATGTCGTGATGTCCGTCGTTTTTAAGTTGGTTAACGTATTCAAATACGTTGACCTCGTAAGCACTCGCCCGCGACTGCTTACGAGGAGAGAACGCACTCTGGATCTGCCCTGCCTATCAGGCAGCCTGGAACACTTCCGATCGAAAAATTGACTATCGTACATAAATATTAATACGTAGTTAGATAAAAAAAAACTATTGATGGTAAATTACCGGTAGTATATAGATAGTGGACTACCAATATTCCCGTTAATAGTGCTACCAATAGTCAACTTTTGATTGCTTGACTATCAATACTATCGAAAGTCAACTTTCAGAAAAGTGTGGTGTTACGAAAATGAAAGCACACCCAAAAGGGAGACGACGAAGGATGTGTACAGGCAGACAACGCGGGGCATGGGGCAAGACATAAAATGAAAAGGAAACTGAACATAAAAGTTGCATTTGCATACAATAAATTTAGAGATGGAACAGACATGGCGTTTTTTGTACTTTTTCTGCGCACATATTTTGTGTATTCCTAGGGTTATTAATAAATTTTAATAAATACATTACAATATTCATTCTAATATAAGTCGACCATGAATATAGGTGGATGCCTTTATATTACACTCGCAGAAAATAATTAAAAAAATATCTGAATATAGGCCGACCTTATTTTTTAAAAGAATGGAGGAAAGTTTGGGCAGAAGACAGAAAGAAACAAACCTTTATTTACAGCGCTCTCAGCCAAATCACGGCGCGATGCCAAAGACTTTGTCGTCTCCGGACATGTCATCGTCATCGGAACCTTCGTCATCCTCACAAACTCGCAAGAATACCTCACTGATAGTACCACCGATAGGTTTTTTTTTACTGTCAATACTTTGATTTGGCTTCCACAATAGACAGTACTACAGATACCGTAAAATCCCGAGAGATAGCCCACCTAACCTCAAGAGAAAATCGGCTGAAAATATGGAGTGGGCTAACTTTCGGTGTACAATCAAGAAAAGTTTAAAAAACTTGCTATTTTTAGGTCATGTCCCTTCCAAGCTTGTTATGGTGGCGAGGGGCAACGAAGCAAAGATGACTGTACTTCCCAGCTAGCAACGTTCGCTTATATCCCGCCAAAGCGAACTAGCCGCATTTACGCCATCACTGATCTTAGCACTACAGTAGACTCCCTTTAAAACAAACACAAAGGGACCCTGAAAATTTGTTCGACTTATCAGATGTTCGCCTTAACAGAAGTGCCCTAATTATCATGCTGGGCATGTCTAAATTACTGTTGACCATTAAACACAGAATGAAAAGGCCTACAATGAAGAGATACTTAAAAAGGGACATTTATTTGGCTTACCATGCCAAAAGAAGAAGAAAAAAAAAAGAATGCTTCACACACCACTTGAGGCGGAACCGATCCATTCGGTGATTTACGGCCTCATTTACGGTGAATTGTCGTCTGGCAGCACTGTTACCGATGTCTTCCGCAACCGAAAGAACTTTTCTTTTGTAGGCGACCAATGATTGTTTTCGCGCTGACGCCATTGCCGAGCCCGACTTTGTACGAATGGTGGCACCTCGGACATTGGGATTTTAATAATGATGATAGCTGTTCTGAGTGCCATATTGCTTTGAACCCAAAACTATGTCAAACAGCGTTAGATCGCGCCTCATCGAAGCTGAAAATTTAAAAAAAAAATAAACCTCGTATTATATGCGGGTTTTTGCGGTACATCTGGCATACACCTCGGCCGGCGCAATGCGCGGCGTCGCCGTCGGTGCAGTGCCATCGCGAAGGGGACCTATGAAAGTTCGAGTTAACCAAAATGCGCGCGCAAAGCGGTTCGTGTTAAACAAATTTTTTTTGCATTGCGTCTGGGAGACCAACCAAATATTCTTACTTTGTTCGGCACGTCTGAGAATTCCGCTTAAGCGAGTTCGCCTTATGGGGAGTCTACTGTACTATTACTAGGAGTGGACAATCTTTCGGTGTTAAGAAACATATAGCGAATCGAGCCAAAAATAGGGGTGGGCTATCTTTCGGGGGTGGGGCTTCTCAAGATTTTACGGTTATTCTGCATCATTACTTCCAACCTGCGTACTATAACTAGGCTGAAGGTTCTGCAGTATTAGCGATATCAAGTCTAGGCATAGTCTATCAGAAATGGTCACTCAAAACATCGTCAGAATCATCTCAAGCCCACAGTGATAAGAATAATGCTTAAAAAAATGGGAAATATATATATGCAGATGTCCCAGGGCTGCCCGAGAGACGGCACCAGCTTGCCAATGTGTTCATTTGGCGATCACGACTAGGCACAATGCACTCCGTTACAATTAAATGCAAATGTGTGAGCCGGCCCCTTATAGTTTGCTTCATCATTACAAACAGACTAAAATGATTAAGGTGGCGAGGAGTGGTTGTGCACAGTGCGGAAGCCAAGCCCAAGCTTGCTTTTGCTGCATTGGTAGCAGACGGCATTCGGAAGATGGTGCGGCTGAAGCTGGCTTCAGGCGCTGCATTCGCGTCTATTGACATTCAGTCTTCTTAATGGGCTGAACGTGAACAAAGAGTTCAAAATAAGTACTTACCGCGGATAACCTATTTTCTCCAGCGCTGAATATTTTTATCAGCCTTACACGAAAAGCGTGTACTTTTGGCCATCCCAACGGTTTGTTTTTTTCCCACGGGAATGCGGGGCTAAGGTATCGAACTAGCGAAAACTCAATCCCAAAAGCATGAAACTTCACTAAGACATTTAACAATTGGCCTTAACCTTAACAATTGGGGCTCCCGTCCGTTTGTTAGATGCATCCAATAACAATAAGAGAAGGCAAGAAAGGCATAATGACACCGCATTCACCTCCCCATGAGGAAGACTGGCAACATGGGAGGAGGAGGGGAGGGAGGGGTCAGAAAACCGTCGACTCACCGCTTCTGGCTGTTGCTGCTCCTCGGCAGACATGCTGTTCTGGCTGCTGTTTTGGCTGTTGCTTCTTGCCTTCTTCTTGGGGCTGTACGTTTTAGTGACTGCCTGCCGCTTTGCCTCTCTGGCCAAGCGAACTGCTTCCTCGTCTATCACCTCCTCTCTGTCCTGGTCCTCGCCGTCGTCGTCGTCATCGAGTTCAATCACTTCCTGTTCGGAGACCAAACGGGAGAGAAAGGAGAACAGTTAGGGACAGAAGGAACTGGGACTCATTCAAACTGTACCCGATTTCACCATTAAAGGGTAACTCCCGCATGTTTTCTTGACTCCAGGGTTACTACGGTTTTCAGTGAAGAAAGCGTCCCTGAATTCTGAGGTGTTCATTTTCTTTCTTATGCCTTATACAGTTTTGTGGATAACCTATTTCGAAAGTTTTGTTTCGGGGGCCTACGACGAAACAAAGTACCGGCTCGAGCATGATGGCAACCCTTGTGATTAGCTGCATGGCCATTGTGCGACGCCAAGTTCCTACTACGGTACCGCAAAACATACGACTGGCCTCGTCGCAAGAGCGGTTCCGGTCAGTCGGGTAAGATGCTGTTTTACTTTGTTTCGCAGATACGGACTAAACTATGGATGCCAGTGAATGCCACCTTCGGCACCACGACGCACTTGAGCGAGCAGGGAGTCGATCATCTTTGTGTGCGATCGCCAAAAAGCACTTGCAAACTACGGCCACTAAAACATAGAATAGCAAGCAGGAAGGGTCCGCTTGGACGGTTCATAACATGCAGCAGAAAAACATGGCGAAAGAAGTGAAAGTACGAACAAGAAACCTTAAAAACAAAGATGACATCAGGGCACAAGGTTGCTCGACGAACAGCCAACCACCACTTTTAGTATTGGTTTTAGAGTGAACCGTGGTTTCCCATTGCGTAATATTTTGGCAGTGCTCGTATTTAATCTCCATAAATCAATGTCAGGCATTTACCATATTATCCCGAGATAGTCCACCTAAAATCGATAGCAAGTCGGATGAAAATCAGATGAAAAGTGTGCCATAGAAAAAAGTTCAATTTTGTGACCCTCGAAACTTAAATGATCGCAGGAATGAACTTAAGGCGACTGTCCTTCCCAATCAGCAAAGTTTGCTTGTCTCCCACCGTGGTTAAGTAATGCCTTTCTGCCAAGGTCACCATTGGCCAGGACCCTGCAATTACTAGAAGTGGGCTACCTTTCGATGTTTCAGAAAAAATAGCAAATCACGCCCAAAATAGGGGCGGGCCATCTTTCGGGGGTGGGCCATCTCTCGGGATACTACGCTAATTTGGTCACGCTTCAGAGTGGCGAGACTTCGGCTCTCGTGTTGCTTAAACCATTGTTTCCAGTTATCCGAAGCTCTCCAGGAAACATTTTTCCGTCATCTGGAAACGTTGGAACAGTCTGTGGCGGAGCTGAACGACGTCCCCTGAGCTCCGAAAGTCGCATTTTCGAACCGTAAATGTCGCCAGTTGCACTTGCTCGGCGTTGGGCAACAGAAAGGCGGCGCTTACGAGACAGTCGGGTACTAAAGATGCGTCGCTACTCTGCTAATGCGTTGCCGCCAGTCGTAACTGCATCGCAAGAAAACACGCTGGAGCCGTCTATAGGGTACTCTGGAACGATTGTGATCCGCATTATAACTAGACTGAAGCTTCCGCAGTATTTGTGAGACCAGATCTATGCACAATCTATGAGAAATGGCACTCGTAAGCAAACGTGTGAACCAGCTTTGGAGCATAGCCTATTTAGTAGCTTGAAGCGGACCACAAGATCTTTCGTTTCCCACCTTACGACTTGTATTTTTCCGAAAATATGCGGTGTATGTTAACGTAAATTTCAAAATTTCAATGAGGAAGTTTTCTTATGTGGCACATTTAGACACATTTAGCGGATGCCCGTTAAGCGCCTGGCCACAATGGTACCAGTCCCGTTGGTTCCGGATCTGGTTTCGCCCGTCCGCAATCTTGCGATCTTGCCCGTCATTCTCCTTATTCTCTTTCATACTGTCTGCTTCTGCTAGCAATGTTTGCTTGTTCCACGTCTGTTTTATGCTGCACATGGTGGACACAGTTTGAGTTGAGCGCGCTGCCCGGGAGGTGAAACTACAGACACCGAGAAAGCAGAAGCAACAGGTGACATCACCTACATTGTCAAGCCAAACAGCCCAAGGAAAACGGCGAAAACAAACTTATAAATGTCGACAATCGAGGAAAAGCTACAGTAGCCCTGCTGAACCCTTTACTAGCACTTCCTTGGCAAATGCACCTTTTCCTAGGTATCCTGCAATAAAGAATTTTTGCACTGCATATAAAAAACATGTTATATTATAAATTTACTAGATAGAGTACTGGAAGGGCTCCTTGAAAATATCTTTACATTACCTTAAAAGTCCTTGAATCGTTCCTTCTTTGAAGCCTGTACGAACCCTGATATAGTTATATCCAAATCAACTGTCTAGAAGTGGACAAGTGGAAGGTTAGGAACGACCTTGACGAATTCAGCTGAATTTTCGTTTCAGCATGGTGCATGCTAGTATAAGTATTTAGCCGAAAGCACCGTTTACTTTGAACCCAAAATCTGCTCTTCGCATGCGACTAGAATAATTGTCACAAAGCTGCCGAAAGACAAAATCTTTGATGGTGCAGGGATTTAAACCCTGGGTCTCCTGCACCACACCGCCTCCTCTTTTTAGGGGTTTCCTATCTGTCTTGCAAATGCGTAAAAACAGAATGTACCCAATCGGAGGTGTTCTGAAGGCACGCGTCGTCGTGTGGATCACGCCATGACGCTTGCCGGCCCGTGCTCGTTATGCTCCAGAAGTCCTTCACCAAATGTCCCGCTACGTGTTCCCCCAGCGGACAACACGAACTGAATCGGCCAATTTGGCCTTTTTCTGCATCTGCGGTCCCCACGGGTTCAATCCTCTTTCAATCTGTCAAAGGGTTCGAAGTATGGGATCTCAACTTCGCACTTTGTTACTAGTTGGGACCACAGCCCTCTCAAAAACTGTCTGGCACGCCAAAGAAGCACGAGGGACTGTTTCTGCTCGTGCTGTCCGCGATGGTACATCCGTGCGTTTTTGTTTACAAGCCATAGAAACACGTTATCGTAATCTGCGAGAGCCAAGGGCCGCATTGAATATAGATGTCCCTGCGGACATCTTCATCGACCGACATTTGTATACGTATCTGCATTTTTATCCCATTCCCGCAAAAATTCCCTCTGGGCAATGGGGGTTACACCATAACAAAAATTTGTGGCGGATTGCTGGGCAATTGTGTTGCATACAGGAAACGTACTAGCATCACAAACGTTTTAGCGATACTCTCATGGCACTCTTCATCAGACAGTCTAACGTGCACAGTGTGCACACTTGACAGCTGTTCCTAGAATGAAGCGATGCTACTGCTTGTCGGGCTGATAAACCTGGCAATCTTCCAGAGCCTTCCATACCCTTGAGCACCTTCTCGCCTTCCCCTCTGGTCACACAACCTCCTCGTTAACCAATCAGCGTCGAGCACCGCACTCCTCCTCTCCCACCAAACAACCAATCGGTATCAAGCCTCGCGGCCACACTTTTATCCGGGCTTCACAAAATGTCGAACGCCTAGCCACAAAGAACATTGCGTTAATAAATAACTGAATCGGCGTCACGCCCGATGGTTTCACTTGCCTCCTTCTTGACGCCGGCCGAGTACGGCGCCCCTGCGACACCCTCCGACGACGCCACCACCGCCACCGCGAAGCCCCGCTCCTCCGCGACGAGCGACGACGGCTCGTGCAATCCAGGATGCAGCTTCTCTAAGTGCGCGATGAGGTCGGCGCGCGTGGGCTGGAGCGAGTCGCATGCCGTGCACTTGAAGAGGGAGCGTCCGCACCGCTCCAGGTGGTTCCCCACGTGGGAGGTGAGCAGCTCGGACGAGGCGAAGACGGCCTCGCACAGCGGGCACTTGAGGATGAGCCAACAGGTGGAGCGGAGCTTCGGGTGCACCGACTTGCGGTGCTGGTGGAAGTTGTCCAAGCTCACGAAGGCCATCGGGCACGCCTGGCACTTGTGCAGGGCGCTGCTGTGCGTGTCCACGATGTGCGCCGCTAGTTCGTCTGCGAGCGAAGACGGATTGGGGGACGAGAACAACGCGGCATAGACGTTAGTTTTTTTTAAACTCACATTTTTCCTCTTGCTAATTTGTTTTTGAACACTGTAAACAAATTGATTTTTCGTGGGCTCAACGTTTCACCAAGTTCACGGGGTGCGGGTCTCGGGGAATATTTTTCAGACGAAATTTTGCGATCTAGGATGACATACGAATGGTGATCAATAGAATTTGCCTCGTAGGCTTTAACTTTTTTTTATTCGGGATGGAACGGAAAGATGTCACAATCAAAGGAAAGTTTGGAATCTCCTCTTTCCCAGGAGCACATCGCTTCTCGATATAGTCCCCAGCGGCGGCGATGCACTTCTGCAACCGGCGCACTGCTCTGAACGTGCCGTTGTAGATGATCGAGGGTGGCTGTTGACGAGATAAACGCCGCGCTGGAGGAGCTGCACTTCCAAGATGTTTTGCCTCATTCACCTTACAGCCCGGACTTTGCGCCAACGGCGTTGACCCTGGTTTCGTGCCTCAACGGTGGCAGTAGCGGTCTTATCAAAGCGTTAAAACGGGGAGGTCTCTGGTGCGATGTTCAAGCCGGCGTCCGTCAAGGTCAGAGGAGACGCTCCAAGCGAAAAAAAATGCGCGCCTAAAACAATACTTTCTTTTTTCTTTCAGGTGTGCTTTTTGGACGGCGAGACGCCCTTGGCTGAGGCAACTCGGGCACGCGCCAATAGAACTTTATCTGGTCTATCGCATCGCAGCATCCGCCGTGCTGTGTGTCCTCACCTATCGAAAGGTTATGGGTTTGAATTACGTCCAGGTCACCAATGTAGGAGCTGGAGACAAAGACGACCAGCTCAGACGGCGGTAGGATTGAAACTGATTTTTATTTGCTCACGCTGCTGAGCCATTGCTGCTTTCTTCCTTGTCTTTAGTAGTTCGCTGCCCGAGCTGACTATGAGGGTCACTACATATATATCTTATACCCTGGCCAGGACTCGAGACATCCACCCCCGAGGCCGAACGAACACAAGTCCTAGCCAAACACCGAAGCAGCGCTCGTGTACCGTTTATGCCTCATGCCGGCCTCCGGTGGTGGACGTACAAAACCAAACACTAGGGCCTTGCCACATCCACTAAATAAGCTATGCTCCAGAGTAACGACCCGTCGGCCATCTTGTTGCCTGAAATCATTGTTGCCGATAGTCCAAAGCTTTAGCGGAAATCGCAGCGAGCGCCATTCCGGAAACGGAAAAAATAGTCCGTGATGGGCAAAACAAAAGCTAGAGAAGTCACATTTTAGAATCATAACTATCGCCATTTGCACCCACCCTGCACTAGTCACTTAGCTTTTTCCCCTGACAAACAGCAAATGCTCGCAGATTTGGGACTCTGAGCGTCCGGACTCGGGGGTGGAGTGGCCGAGCAACGGCTCTCAGGGGCCCACAGTGCAGCAGGCTTTGCTCGCCGGCATTTCTGCTGCACGGCCACCGCTGGTACGGTGTGGCCGTTCTCTCCACCGCCACCACCCTCCAATGCCTCGTCATCCCCATGTGTGGCACGAAAGTCGTTGTGTTGGACGAGCGCGTCTCGTATTTACTGCCTTAGCTTATACCCTTCCCGTGGAATAAGCGTACCCCCGAGTAAGAGTGACTTTTTACGTGTCTTGGTCCTAAATCCGGCCGTTCAATGGGAACGTCGATACCTCGTCGTATCGCTTTGCCGACATTTGAACAGCTCGTTATGTGGCTTGTAACAGCATCGCATCCCAAATTTTATCTTCGAGCGCTACTGGTGCAATCGCTTTTGTCGCTTAAGCAAATTTAAAAACCGAAATGTCGCAAGTGACAATGGATCGAGCTTCTCCGGAAAAGTCTGCACAGAAAACTCCTCCGGATCGCTCAACGTGCTCCGCCACATTGCAAATGGATCGGTCGGAGCCGCTCGGCGAAAGCTCGCCATTTGCCACGGTATCCGGAAAGCAATTCGTCTGCTCTTGTGCAGGTGTTGCGGTGATGTCAGAATGACGCCGAGCTCAGATTGAAAGAATAGAGGGTACAATCAATGCTGGATGCCACGAGGTCTACCCACCATTTTTTTTTTTCAATCAGTCAATACAGTGAAACTTGTTTATAACGAACAGCAGGAAACGCTACGATCAGTTCGATATAGCAAGTAGTTCGATATAGCAAATCCCAGCTACGACTTTCCCGACGATTAAATATCGATCTTTAAATCGCTGCAGCCACCCAGATCCAGCGGTGAAGCCCTCGACGTTCAGGAGGGATGCAAAATCTCTAGCATTGCTTTGCAACATCGGTCCGGAGACCGGCAGGTTCCGCGCACGAATGTCAAAAAACCATTACTACAGCGCTTTTTCCACCTTGTCGTACGCCGGCTTGCAGATGCGCCTGCTGTCCGCGTTTGGTCGTTCGCGAGTCTGATTTCTTTTCGCCGTGCTCCACACGACTGATTATGTCGATCCGTCCGAAAGCGGCAGAGCCTGCCGCTGCTTTGTCGTCATTTCGGGCGGGAACTAGCTGGCCCACACAGTGAACAGAAAGTACAATGGGGACAAGAAAGACGACAACAAACGACGACTAAATTAACGAGAAGAAAGGAGGGAGGGAGAGAGAGAGAGAGAGCTTTGCCTGGGGGTGGTTGACGCTTTCAACGGCATGTGACAATGCTATGGAATCTGAAATGCGATAGGCATATTGCCTCTTGGGGCATGCCGTGTCAAGCCCCAAGTGAATGCGCAAGGTGAGGAGGGTCAAACTAGAGTGCCTTCAAGTTCTCTTCGGCGGGACATGACAGGTCAAACTAAAGTGACTTTAGGTGAAACAGCGTGCGAAGGGAGAGGAGGCGAGAACTTCTCTTTCTTTCTCATCTCTTCGCTTCCGCCTTGTAGCAACGCGCTAAAAGATTTTTTTTAGCTTATCTCCGTTTTTTAATTGCTTTTCTTCGTAAGCAACCGCTTTGCATTTAAAAGATTTTTTTTTTTCTGTGCCAATTTGGAATCACTTTTCTTCACTTATTTTTGTTTGCAGCTCGAGCTTTTGGAATTGCTTTTCTTTCCTACACTTTCTCCGGCGAAGGCATTGGCTGAAAGACGATTGTTTGCAAGTTTTTGGAAGCCTTCCAGGGGAAAAAAGTTTGATATAGCCAATATGTTGTTCGTTATAAAAAGTACTTTTTACATACATTTTGATTTAAATTTTTCGTGAGTTCGATATCAACAATAATTCGCTGTATGTGGGTTCGTTCTAAGCAGGTTTCACCGTAAGAGCTCAGCTTTCCAACATCATCGCAAACCCTCTGCAAGAAGCGGACAACCTTGTGCTCCGCATACACGCGGCTCATTTTGCGATTCCACAGCTTGCTCGTAAGTATCTAGGGGGCGATCCACGGGACGATCCGGCGAGGCTCACTCTGATCGAGCAGCAGGGCGGGGCACAGCTGGCAGTGGTAGCCCACGATGCGGTCGAAGTGGTGGCAGTGGAGACAGACGTGGCGGTGGAACGCCGCCCAGGGCTCCTCCGTCCGCAGGCCACACTCGGGGCAGACGAAGGGCCGCCGCTGGAGGTGCAGCCGCCGGTGGGCGCGCAAGGCGCATTCCGAGGTGCACAGCATCGGGCAGCTGGCGCAGCGGAGCAGGTTGCCCCGCGACGGGTGGAAGTGGTCCTCGCGGGCGGAGGCATCACGTAGCTCCACGAAGCACTCGGAGCACACCACGTTCTGGAGGACCTGTGGAAGGGACGCGGAGCGCATTGTGCGAGCAGCGCGACCAGCACGTCCGGCGGCAGACTCGTACCGGGCACTATGGTGCCCGAGACGGGTTCGGATCCCTTAACAGGCGTATTTACCGCATCCCAAAAAGTGGTTCCTCGATTTCCGCCCAACGGTGTTGTAGCAGTGTCCTGCTCTCGCCTCCAACCAATTTTGCGGTGTCGCGGCGGTGCCGGTAGATATGGCAGACGTCTTTTCTGTCGCAAGTTTCCCTCCAGCTTGACGGTCTGCGGATTCCAAAGTAGTTGCGAGAAGGGACGCCCCGACGCCGGCTGTAGCTCTTACTTTTCGCCGGGCCTTCTAGTAACAACCGCCAAGATAGAAACGTCCAATAACGTGATGCGACGGCTTCTGCACTGTCATTCGCTGCACCTTCGGGATTGTTTTTAACGCTCGGGCGGGAAGGGACGGCAGACGCGCCGGTCAAATATGTGCTTGAGACGTTGTAGCGGAATGCATCCGACTAGCCGGCTACGAGCCGTGGCGTCCTCTCTAGCTTCTGACATGGCAAAAAAGGACCGTTACTTCACGGGTTTCCCTGGCACTTAGAGGGCTACAAACAACGCACGGCTATTCGATTCGAACTACTATTCACACACCGCGAGTCTAGGGTGACCACCTTCCTGCTAGCGAAATGCGAAACACGTGGGGCCAGGGGGGGGGGGGGGGGGGTAGAGGGAATTTATTAAAGGGCAACTCCGCTTCTTTTCCAATAGTGCAAAACTATACAGTTCTCTTTGTTATCATCTACAAACCCCCCATGGCAAATATTACGACGGAATTCCGCCTAGAAGTTCATTAAAATCGCTGTCAAAGTTTGACAAGCACGAATCCGCTGGTTTTGGATGAGACGTGCGGGCCAGACAACACTGCCCGGCTGCATTTCCGCTTCCTCCAAATTCCTTCTACTGACACGTCCGTGACGTCATCAAGCATGTACAGCTTCTTTTTTTTCAATTTTGTTTTCTTTCCTGGGGAGAGCACGGGTGGCGCCAGCGCCGTGCTCTCCCCGGAGAGGGAAGCTGCTTTTGTAAGAATTTTGAGTGACAGGTTAACCTTCTATAATCTTCTGGGGGGAAAATAGCGACGCCTGTGCTAATCCAGGAGGCACAAAGGAGGATCCTGATAAGAGGGGAGCTCCTTCTTCCCATTGTATATCACGTGGGTGTACATGCTTAGTGATGCCGAATATACAATGTTTTCCGGCTTTGCCACCGTTTCGGTTTTGGTTTGTGATCATGGCTAGAGTAAAATTACACGAAAAATATTTTATTTTTCGCGAAACAAAGGATTGGGGACTGTTTTTGAGTGCTTCGAAAAGCAAAATCGGCCACTATCTCAAAATTTTTGAAATTAAGCGGAGTTGCCCTTTAACACGCACACCCCAAACCGTGGCTCTGGTAACACGTTTAATATCCCGTGCTGCTTATACACCTGCAAATTGTATAGAAGCAATTAAGTTCAAATAATTTTCACTCCCAATGATATATATTTTTTAATGCTAAATATGTTACTAAATGTGTCAAAGTTGAAAACATAAAAATCAACTGCAGCAGAACTGAATGCATCAAATGGAAATAAGAAACAGTAAATCTTTTTCGAGTTATTGCTTCCTTTTTTGAGTTATTGTACTTTTATCAACATGGTCCCACACAAATTTTAAACATTATGTTCTTTCCAACCTTTGTCAGTCGCAGGCCTTTTGCCTTTCGTGGCCAACTTCACTAACAAAAGATTCCATAGCAACCCTTTTGCATTCACACAGTGATTTGAAAATAATTACAATAATTTATATTTAAACTTTTGGCAAACAATTTTCCCTTACAATATTTTACCACCAAAGAGAGGCACAATGGAGCATGTGCGTAGGTTCTCTTGCAAGAACGACAATCACTTTTGCAATTCTTGTATATAAAATGGCGTACCATTGCGATTCACGCAATTACCAGCAACCTACGCACTTCCTCATGTCCTGTTGTTCGACAACATCATGAGTTGCAGAGTGAATTTTACGACAGTGTGAAATGCGGGACAATTTGAAGATTCGGGAATTTCTCGTGGGACGCAGGACACGAGCCCTTTATGCGGGACAGTCCCGCAAGTCGCGGGACGCGTGGTCACCCTACGCGAGTCGGTGTTTGTCAGCTCATACCGACGCTCCTCCTTGCCGAGCGGCAGAAACATACGACCGCATGGTCGTCGCCAGAAGTATGCCGCTTGGAATGCGTTTTCGACCGGTTTGTTTACGGTCCTTCCCGCCCGGGAGTCGAAAGTCGTTCCAACGTGGCACCGAATTGTGCGTATGATTGCGGCAGATGACACATCTACGACGTTGTTGCGGGGAAATCAAGGGACCGCATCCGAGGACGCGAAAAACGCCATTCGGAGAGGGACCACGCGAGCGGAAAGCCACGGACCTTCTCGAGCACCGTCATGGGCACGTCATCCTGCGCCACGCCCGGTGTCCCGCCGCCGTCCTGCGACAGCTCGACGGGCACCAGGGTCTCCCCGGGGCCGAGCGCCGACAGTGTCGCGCCGCTTGCCCTGATGTGGCAGCCCTGTGCCCTCATGATGAGGGTGCAGCGGTTGAACGCCAGGTGGCACGAGCGGCACTTGCAGCACGGCAGCCGCGCCAGGAACGAGCGCCGGGAGAGGTGGCGCCGCAGGCTTCGGGAGCAGCCATACTTGTCGCCGCACACGGGGCACTCGAAGCCCTTGCGGTCAGCGGCCTCCTTCGACTCACCGCCGCCGCCCTTGCCATTGCCCGCGAGGCGCGGTGCAACAAACTTTGGGAAGGGATCCGTGGACCACTCACGGAGGAAGTCGTCGAGCGTGACGGTTCCGAGGTCGCCGTCGACTGACGCCGGCTTGCAAACTGTCTTCTGGGGAGGCTACAGAAACAAACAAAAAAAGAAAACGGCAAAGAATTTTAGAGGGAGACTGTCGGTAACTGTTTGGCTGAATATTAAAGATTGCAAGGGTAGAACTGGAAGCAGCCATGGTCATTGAGAGGATGAGTAAAAGCGGGCCATGCCCTTCGAGTGCCCAGCCTTCAGTGTGCGCTCCGAGCCTTCCGCTGTGCTTTGGCTGTGCATGAGCGGCGCTCGAGAGACACAAGACATTGAAGCATCGTTGAAGGTACGAAGTTTTCACTGGGGGCGGGACAACTAACTGAAGCTCCTCCCTGTCATTGCCACCTCGTCAGTGATGATACAGAAATTTGGGTGCCACACAGTCGTACATTCGAGGAAAAATAAGATGCTATAAAGAAGACGAAGGCGCGCTGCTGAGCGTCACGTTTACTGTCCCAGGCCCAGAGCTCGACTGCCCTGGGCATGGAGCACACACTCCCCCTGGGGCAGTGCACACTGTAATAATGAGGATGATTATGGCTCCACGTCCAGAAATGCCCTTACAATACGATTACTTTGATACTGTCTGTGTATCAATCTACACAAAGCGCATCAGAGTTACAATTCGATTGTCTTCATTTTGTTCTCTTTGGATGGCTCTGTGAGCCTGTACCCCTGCTTTCTGGTGTTCATCGAGAGTTGAGCGAGGCACTACTTTCAATAACATTGGTCACATTGAGTAAAGTTGTGCCTGGCTTCTTTGGAACAGAGTGAAACATTTCAAAGCCATTTTTCGGTTCCACTAGAAAGCGCATTTCTCTCTAATTATAAAGGCGTTAGATAATCCCGACATTAAAATAGCCGGCGTAGTAGTGATGAATCGAAAAGGACCGACAAACGGTGTTTTTCGATGGCGAGTTCTTTTTTTTGTTTTGCTTCGGGGGACAAATAGAGCCTGTTTAAGAATAGTGATCGTGAACCACGTTCAGCTACGACTGATTACGCTCATCGTTCTAAAAATAAAATGAAAACAAAACAAAGAAAAAACGTTTTGCCGACTTGTCGCTCACCTCAACGAACCGCATTGGTGAGGACGGACGCTACGTTGCCGTCGAATGCACTCGTCAATCACACGGTCGTTAGCGGTCGTTGAAAGAGTAAATCGGTGGCAGTAGGTCAATGACAAGTTGAGACTTTGCCTGGGCAAAGTTGGGATTCTAGTTTCCAGTTATCACGCCGATGCAATAACTTGGACCACATGCCTGGTACGGACAACGTTCGTCTCGCACACATTTGGCACTCCGCGTGATCATCATCATCGATGCGGATACGAAAATCCATGCCAATCCAAAGCCATTGACCATTCCACAAAACAAATAAACAATGAAGAAAAAAAAATCCCGCAACGCCATTTTTGCTCATATTTTTCACGGGTGGGGGTATGCGTTTCTGTTCCCTCTTACTTGCGAGTTTGACGCTACAGATTATAGGAGCTTTAAAGGAAGGCACTAAAGCATTCCATTAGATGCTAGTGGCAGCCATGCTGACCCCGAGATCCGAGAAACAAGCCTGTAAATAAATCTAACCTGTGTCACCGCGGTTGTAGCAGTTGTGCGAGCTACTGAGGACAGCATCTTTTTCACGGTCGTTTGCGTAGCCGAGTTGTTAGTGTCCTTCGATGCCTGGTGAGAAAAAGAAATGCCAAACGTCAAAAGACTGTACGCCGCGTGTATCAGCTAACTGGTTCCAAAATATGACGAACCTTTTTCGAGGGTCTCTTGCGAGTTGAACCTGCTGCTGCGTTCTTCGAACCTCCCTTAGTGTAAAAGCTGTGTGGAAAACAGCGACTTCATTTATTCCAGCACCTCACCCGAGTTGATTCGGCACAGCGGACACTGAAAGATAAACTTACGCGTAGAGCTTCTGGTGTAACGCTTGTTCCTTGCTTATCGGCTCGAAGATGGTCGGATTGTAGTTGACCTCCCTTGGATCTTCGCCCTTTTCATGGCCAACAAAGTGCTTGGAGCAGATCCTCGAGTTTTTTGTCGGTGACCAAGTGCCGTCTGTGTCTCCCCTTGAAGCACAAGACAAAGGCTCTTACCAGAAGGAGAGAGTGTGCCAGAACACCCGAGGTTCCAGCGCGATAGTACGGTTAGTGTTTTCGCTTACCGGGCTCGCCTGACCAGTTCTATCCAGTCGTTACGTCGTTTAGCGTGGTACGCCTTGGCAGGAAAGCTGAAGAAGCGTAGCCTTTGACCCGAGTCCGAGACGGTGCGGTAGGTGCTCTTACAGCCGGTTACACAACAGTTCACATTGCTGCGCGGCCTCCACATTGACTATGTGTACTGTGGTACACATGAGGCGATAGCGGGCACAGTGTGATACGAGCCGCACGAAGCCGATCGGAAGGAACAGGCGTCGCATCAACAACGCCCGAACTCGAACGTCCTACGGAAAGTACGGCATCTTGCCGCTAGACGGCGCAGCGGTCTGTCTACTCGTTTTTCATTTGTTGCTTCACGCCGCATCACGCCGTCGTAGAGCGGAGAGAGACGCCGGAAAGATATCGCGAATTCGAAAATGGTCTTTGTCGGCTCTTGTAAACCTCGAGTTTCGTCAGTAAGATAACCTTGAATTGTAAGAAACGCGTTGTTAGGTTTAGAGCAAGTATACCTGGGTCTGGGTTACTTGGTAGGTCTAGAGGAGCTTCGGCGAGTTCGTGGGTGAGAGCGAAGTTTTAAGTTTCTTTATAAGCTATATAGTTATTTGTTCTCTTTTCCAGATTGGTGACAATGGCAGATGAGAGTGAGATTGTTCCAGAGCTCACAGATGTGCAGAGGAAACGAATCGCCGCCAATCGCGAGCGAGCGCTGCAGATCAAGAAGGCCAAGCTAGCAGTCAAGAGCATTGCCGAAAAGTGAGTAGACCCGCGATTCGAAGGCGGAAATAAAAGGTACCACTGCACATAAAACCTTGTGGTAGCCTTGCCTGTAGGGCTTATAACTATAAATAGGATCACTGTGCTCTGCAGAGCTACAGTCCAATATCTTGCTGCTCACTTAGTGTACACTGGTGGGAAATTCCAAGCAAAAAATAGAAAGTCTTAATGCCTGCTGTACACTATGAAGCATGCAACGCGCTGCTCTATGTAGTACATGCCAAGATCCAGTTTTCTGCATGCTTCACAAAGTGGCTGCATGTTGTCACATATTCATAGAAATAGTTTGTAATATATACTGCCTGAACATACCTCTGAATAACAGATGCACATGTTATATTACAGATCTGACTAGCTGATATGCACAGATATGTTATTGTATATGTGGCTAGCAAATATATGTGCATACAGGGTCATGCCTCTCACTCTCGTGCAAGTTATGAAAGTAGGGGAGTAAGTGTAGGGTGTTTGCACATGACATCAATCCACCATTTTGTTATTAGTTTGTTTGTTTTTCGAACAAATTTACTAATTTGATAGGTTACATCGCAACCTGTTGAGGAGATGTCAGCCTGGTAAGACATAAGCTGATATAAAGATCCGTCACTAAACACCAGCAGCCGTCGGATATCTTGATTTCGCGCTGGTATGTACACACAACTGAAGTGTCCTTTTCTTTAATTTTGTAAATATAAAGATGGTGTCTTATTGAGAGTACCCCCTATACGGTCCAAATACAGTTCAAACCGGTATTGCAACAAGTATAATATGGAGGTAGAATACTAATAAACATAGGAGTTGGTACTTCGTTTCAAATAATCTTTGGCACACTGGCCTCCAAAGCACTTTAGTCTGGAGTGTTGGCTTTCCGCCCTGTTGGATGGATAGCTACTTTGCTCACCTTGTGAGAAAATATTGTTGAGATGTTTTCCAACAAGATGTGATCAGTGCAGCGCATTACATTGTTGTTTTCCCTGCCCCCTCTGTTGTCATTTGGTTCTCTATAGACCATTCCAGAAACCAAGTTCTGGCCAGTGACGCTTTAAGTGTTTGAGCATCGCACGCTTCGCTTGCTTTCTGAAGTGATGAACACGCGCATGCCGGGCTGTGATTTTCACACGCCAAGCTGTGTCAAAGTTTATTTTTCTAGCGCATACAATGCTGTGGTCTCACTGGCAAAAATAAATTTGCGAAGATGGCTTGACTAGGCTCCCTGACCTCATCAAGCTGTGATTTTGTAAACATTGGAACAGTGTATGTGGCCTTTGTAGCTTTCGCTCCAGGAAAACCTTACCAGTCAGACTCATAGGCGTGCACAGTGGTGTGGTGGGCAAGCACGTTATGGCTCCCCCTTACACCTCTTGTGTTACACAACAAAAATAGAACCTTACTGAATTTGCACCCCTCTCAAACAATTTGGGGAGGGGGGGGGGGGTGCATAGCATGCTATGCCCTCCCCCCTAATGAATGGCTCCAGGGGGGTGCAAATAAAAATATAGGGTGGTCCAAGTCACCAGGCTTGGTCTAAGATGGACCGTAAAAATCTACACCTGCACGTAGCAATCAAAACTTTTCATCAAAGGTGTATTTCACAGGTCGGTTTTTTCTTGTAAAATTACAAAGTGTAGCTCTTTTTCTGTAAAAAAATAGGGCCAAGAAACTTGCCAGGGTCTACAGCTGGCAGCGACGCAGACGACGGGTGTCCGCTAGCGGGGTGTGTTTGGCGTTTGTATTGATAGATGGCGCCACCTCCTTTTCGCGACGGCTCGCGACCACCCTGGTGTATTGAAATGACCATAACCTTTCTGGAATGTTCCTTCGGGTAAAAAATAAATGCGGACAATAAAAGCAAAACTTGAAAGCAAAAAAAAAATGTGTGTGCATAACGACGGCACTTTTGCTGCCAACGGATTTCGTCTGCGTGCCGTCTGCTTTCTTTCGCTGGTCAACCGCACCTTCGGACGCTGCTCCTGACGCCGTCTATCAATACGAACGCCAAACACACCCCGCTACTGGACTTGGTCGTCTGGGTCATCGCCTGCCGTAAACCCTGGCAAGTTTCTTGGCCCTACTTTTTACAGAAAAAGAACTATGCTTTGTAATTTTACAAGCAAAAACCGACCCATGAAATACACCTTTGACGAAAAGCTTTGATTGCTACGTGCAGGTTATGATCCATTTTAGATGGAACCTGGTGACTTGGACCACCCTATATAGCTCCAGTCTGTTGGCTATCGTTATATGCTCCTAATGGCTCTGGAGTAGCGTAATAAAAATTGAGCCTTGCTGAATTCGCACCCTTCTCAAGCCATTAGGGGTTGAGGCATAGCGTGCTTGTCCCCACACCCCCCTTGCTGTGCATGCCTATGATCTGACTATCTTTGTTGTCAGTAATGCGGCAGGCAGGAGGGCTGTGGACACCGGTGGCGGCTTCCTGCTTGACCAGGAGACAATGGCCGCCGCGTCGCAGGGCTCTCCTGTCAAGACAGTGCAGATGCCATCGGAGCACTCGACTTGCGATTCCTGCGGCAAGGCCTTTCTCCTCTCCTTCCTCCTCGAGAACTTCGCCCTAGAAGTGTGCGACAACTGCAGGTGTGTGCGTGCCTCCTATTGGTTACGAGTTGTTTCGGTGGCTCTTATGGTTCCCATCTGTGACGTCACAGCTAGGGTTATTGATTGCCAGCAACGATGGGCTTAAAAAGAATGAGATAAAAAGACAACCCCAAAAACCACCTTAGTGTGCCCTTTTATCCCTTTGACGGTCTAGCTTTTTTTTTAGTTTATTAACAATGGCTGTTTTTTAATGGTTAGGTTTTGTTTCCTAAGGAATAATATAGAGAAAGGGTCAATGAACCCATTTTTTCTTGTCGCTTTCTCACTCCACCAGGCGGGCACTTCCTAACGTGCATTCGCCGCCGTAAATGTACGGCTGCGACCGTCAAAGCGTTAAAGAGGTGCCAAAAATGAACTTCAAACTTATAAACTTGAAACGTATAGGAGAGGTACTCTTGGCAGTGCCCACTTACCAAGTTCTAGTCCAAATGTCTGGTTTTTTTAGTCACGCTATTTGGTTCGGATGGCGAGTGAACCAGTCTCTGTAGTGACACCCCGTGCGGAAGTGGAAAAAAAACGAAACAACCAAGGTTCGCTCAGTTGTCGCGAGTTGAAAAGGGTCCCCCCCCCCATCAATTTCTCTGCAGCTGTTTTACCGGTGCACAGCTCTGCAGTAATCACAACTGTCTGGCGCACATTACAGGTGGGCGGGTGTGCCGCACTGGACAAACTGCGTTTCTTACGTGGCGTCTGGAATGTGCCTTCGACCGACGAATCTGTGGCGTTTTTTAGTCCATCCCTTCGACTTCCAACGAACGTCAACGGGACAAATTTGGTTTTGACGAGCTTGGGATGCCTGTTCAGAGCTCGGTCCTTTGTCCTTGCGTTGGTGTATACCCCGCTTTACCTTATGACAAACTGCAGTTGATGCTGCGGTTCGTCGTAGTAGGGGGGCATAAAGTGAACCCCATGCCGTCCTCATAAAACTCACTCGACGCTCACACTGCATTAAATTAGCTCCGATGGGTCATAGCGCCTGCGGTTCGTTGTAAGGTAAAGCGAAGTGGAGTCGAGTTTCTCGTCAGTAATAGACACGTCTGTTGCCCCAAAAAGTCATCCGTAATGTTAATTTCCTATTATGACTAGCCAAAAATGAACATATTTACTCAGTTCCCCAAAAATATTGCCTGTATAGCGAGGTATCCTTGTTAACTGGGTTTGTATCAAAGAGACGGGAGTGTATAGCGGTTCCATCTTCCGTGCCGTCTCTCGCATGCCGTCTCTCGCAATATACGCCGCTTTTTCTGGCAGGGACAAAGAGGACAAGCACAAGCTGATAACGCGCACGGAATCCAAGGCCGAGTATCTGCTGAAGGACTGCGACTTCGACAGGCGCGAGCCACCGCTCAAGTTCATTGTCAAGAAGAACCCGCACTACACCCTGGGGAGCATGAAACTGTACCTCAAGTGCCAGGTACGACCCTCGCCGATGTGGTCGCCATATTTGGTTTCAGCTTAAGTCCAGATGCAGCCGATGCTACGACTAATCGAGCAGCGTAAAAAGCACAGGTCACTAGGCCCTTTCCATTTATGGTTGGTTCAGCGATGATGGAACACGTACAGAAACACGACACGTATGAACACCACGTCTGCCACCGCCAGGAATACTGGAGGCAACAGCATGGCACTTCCTTGACATCGTCGGCTTTTGAAGATGCGTGTGTTTGGCAGAGTCATTCGAACACTCTGCCTACGGTATTGGTACTTTTGTGTCGCCGTCCAAAGCCGCCATGGTGCTCGTTCGTCGGTTTACGTTGCACGAAGCTTGTGTGTGTGCCGAAAACTCGTAGGTGCCGCCATTCTTTTGCGCAAAGCTTCGTGCACGCTTTCACCGACCAGTGTCGTCCTGGAGTACCACCTCCTGCATTTTTGTTTTATTTTGAATTGGGTAACGTTGGCGATTCTGCTCGGCTTTGTTGCAGGCTGTTTTAAAATGCGATAGGACGGCACTTCTTTTTCGTGCCAGCCGTCCGCAACAGCGCGGAACCTCTGGAACAGTATGGCTTCATTGACAGTACTCTAGGGTTAACTTGGTTAGTGACTTTAATTTGTGTGAGGCAGAACGGTAAGTATGTACGTTCGGCTCATGGTGTGATAAAGGCTGCGGACATTGCGGCTGTATGGTCAGCATCAGCTGGATGGTCAGCATCACTTCCCGGCAGGGGCAGAGTTAGTACCAAGTTTCCCTATGTCAACTTTATTTTATTGAAAAAATGTATTATACACCAGCCAAAAATCCGTTTTTAGTGACAGCAATTATTGGGTCAACAAAAAAGATCTAGACAATGTTTCGGCCTTAGCGTCACATCTCAGCAGATTCCCCCCCCCCCCCCCCCCCCCCCCCCCCCGCCATCCAAATGCCTCTACCGCTGTCCCCACAAGCCTGACCCTATAAATCCGCCACCCCTGCTTCCCTACGAAAATATTTGAACTATATATAACGCACCATTTGTTGCTGTTGATTATGTTTTGGTATCAACCGTTCGAAACAGCAGAGCTGATCAGGTCAACATTCATGTCGGTACCATTTTGGCAGTGTAGATCAGACTTTACATTGCAACGAACTGGGCACTTTTAACTTTTGCTTACTTCTTTGTCTTTCATTTCCCTTTGAATTTAAAAAAATAAAGGGTAGTATAAAACACGGAACAAAGTCAGATCTGCTTTGCCTCAAATTGTACTGAAGTCGGCACCTACTCTAGTCGTTAAAATATCACTCCTTGGATGTGATGCAAGAATCACACTCACATTCAGCGGGTGATTGTAGCTCAGTTTTCTGCCCATAGGAGTCGCCACAAGCTTTCGACGGTAACCACGCCCATGGTTGGGTTGTAACTGTTGTATTGGGAGGTTTTACTGATGTTTACAGGTCAGTTTGCTTTTAGTTTTTTGAGTCGCCTATGTTGGTGAAATGCTGTATACTTGCAATGTCAAACTGTTTTTAATCTGTGGCTGAAAGAGCAGGATTGCTGGAAATGACAAAACAATTCTGGAAACATTAGTCAGTCTTTCTAGCTTCGAAGGTTCATCATTAAAGGAAATCTGGCTGCTCTCCATGGAGTAGCCTAGTGGTAACTGTACCTTTTAAGGGAAGTGCTGCTCGTCATATGGTTTTAATTTTTTACTCTCGCAGTATGGCCAGAGATGATGCCATGCATTTACAAGACTATATCATGCTTTATCACACTCCCAGTATTGTGCATACCTGATGTCCAGCAGGATAGATGAATGCCAAAAAATTTAGACTTTTATTTACCAGAACCAATTCTAATAGGCTCGTGAAAACCTGCCCCCTTCACATAAAAGGGATATATGAAACAAAGAAAAACGACGGAGAATAGCACTGGTGGATCGTATAATTCTGTTGCATCAAAAGGTGAAGAAGCCCTTTTCAAAAAGCTTTCGACTCTCCAAGCTTGGCAGATTCCTCCTCTCCGGCGTTCGCTCTGCTGAAGTGGAAAAGGTGGAGGGCCTGCTGGGAAGAGCTTTTCCAGCTATTCTTACCTACAACAGACTATAAGTGGTATGACTAACAATATAATGTATTAATGAATGAGGCGGCTAATAGCTCTGCTCTATGGTTTTCCAGGTCGAAGAGAGGGCAATCGAAGTTTGGGGTTCGCTGGAAGAACTCGACAGGGAGCTTGAGAAGAAAGATGGCGAGAGGGCCAAAAGAAAACAGAAAGCATTCAACAAGAGAGTCAAAGGTGAGGGCGTTGCATTGCACGCCAGGCACCAACTTTGCTCAAAGTGCACATTCCACCGTAGTCAGTGACACGACGAGAATGGCGGGGAGGTACTTCATTTGTCTCGTGGATAGACCTCGAGGCAGCTAGCATTGAGGTCCACCCGCTATCCTTCCAATCGGAGCCAATGGAAGCTCGGTGTTCTGACGTCGCCGCAACCCCTGTGCAAGAAGCGGACGAACTTGCACTCTGCATGGTCTTAAGGGGACAGTGACAGGGTATTTATGGTGGCCGAGGTTTTTATTTGTATATGACGTACGAGAGCTCAACTACCCAGAACACAATTTGCAGCTCGAAATTTGTTTTCTTTGCACACGGAGACGGCCGATCGAGAACTGCTCTGTTTGAGTCGCGCTCACTCTCTTCTTCGTGGTCACGTGACGTTTTCTGTGGTCTTACTGAACCACCAAAAGATAATCAAAGTCATCGGTCATTGAAGGCTCACGCTCAATACTAGAGATAGAGATAGAAAAAATAATGATATCCAATTTTTGTGGCTTTTAAAAAAGCTGACAATACTTTGATTGAAAAAAAAGGTACACAGCCGCATGGCTTTTGGTAACTTTCTCCTCCTCTATATTTCTTCTTCCTCCCCAGTCCGGTTTTGGTTTCGAGCAGTTACGTATTTTGACTTTATTAAAAAATATATGTGACGCTGTAGCAAAATATTGATTGGGTAGTCTTCAAACACCATAATAAACTGCCTAGCAAAAAAAAAATAATAATAATAAAAAAAATTGTGGTGGTGTCAGTGTCTCTTTAGCAACTCACACAGATCCGAGAGGTGAGGTCAAAAAACCTTGCATGGTTTTCACAAGTGGCATCCTCTGAAATTTCTATCCTTCCGAAGGTGTCACGTGGAAAAAATATTATGATTTTTAAGCTTGAAAGCAGCATATTTGGGAAGGGAAGGAATTATAAATGAAAACATAGCACGATCAATGTTGCAGTTTCTTGGAAGTGTTGCATATATATACATTTTTCTGGAGTTCCTTCTTTTTACTGCATTTTGTTTTTTTTCACTATTGATTCACTTTGGGCACATTTCCCAGATTTATTTATGTATGTTACAGGAACAATTAAAATGCTCTAGGCCGGTTCTGCTGTGCGAGCGTCATTTGTGTTTTGTTAAAGCCCCGCATAACGTCTTTCATGGGGCCTTGAGGTCTCCGATTTAAAACTCTGGGATCTAGGTGACTTCTCCTGTGGGAAATGGTTTACTGTCAACCTTGCTTACTAACATCCTTTTTTTTTATGTTTTTAATTTGCAGAGTTGCGCATGACGGTGAGAAGCAGTTTGTACAGACCTCCCGGAACAAACCACGTCCATTCTTATGGCGACGAAGAGCACGACGCAGACAACGACGAATACTTCAAAATCTGCGACAGCTGCGGCCACCGGATGAGCTACGAAAAAATGTGACGACTTTGTTCACGCACATTGTCTCTGTGAACGTATTTTATAGGAGCCCGCTCCCACATTTTATTGACGTGGGTGGGGTGTGTAACTTAAGCTTTGCATGAGAATGTAAATACAAGTCGATGTTAATAAATGCCTCGGAAATGTCGGTCGGCGTGTTTTGTTTGCGATCTGAAGACGCCCAAACGTGGGCAATTCGTAAAGCGACGGCTCCACGGAAGCAGTCACGAATTGTTGATAGACATAGGGCATGACACAGTTTCTTGCAGAACCTTGCAATGGTGGCACTTGTTTAAGGTTATGGACTCTAAATTGTCTTTTGTCGAATGTACCTCTTGCAAACTTACTTGAGCACCAGGGAGCATGCTGCGAGTGTCTGTTCCAGAGAAAAATCATAAAACAAATGCCACTCTACAGATGTACTCATCAAAACATAATTTTCGTCATTAAAATTGTGTTACGCAGTTCATAGTTATTATAATGTACGCTAGAGGTGCTGCTGCAAATTGAAGCAGACAGCAACCAGTCGGAAATTGACTTCCGGTAATGCTTTTCTATGGGAAAAAGTGAAAAAGCTAGGCACATTGGAACATTTCTCAGTCGCGCAGACAAAATAATTGGTCGGTTACGGCGTTTTTATTTGAAATTCGTGGCATGAAAAACGGTGTTAAAACCGCTTCGACATGTATTTATGTGCACTGTCGGACACTGTTAGCGCGAACACGGCGTCGGCGCTTTCCACCATGGGGGATATACATGTCAAACGAAAGAAGGACATGTGGAAAACCAAGAGACGGCAAAAACTACGCAGCAACACTGGGTAAATAACTCCTTGTGCATGCAGGCGATCAAACTAAATTGAAAGCCACGTAATATAGTCCAATTTGCAATAAACAAGTACTGCTTTATTTTTTCTGCTCATGAATATATGTGCAAAGATGCATATTCTGGGTTCTAATCATCAACCGCACGCTCCAAATTTTTACAAATAGGGAGAAGTCAAAGAACAGGGGCCCGACAAAAACTGCCCGACATAGGAAATAATAAAAAAGACGCACCTTTCGTAGCCCGCATACTTCATTTTTTACATTCGAATGTTCTTTAACTGATTGTAAAGATGCATGACAGTCATATTCATGGAGTGAAAGCATGGGCATATTAGCAATATATAAGCACCACCAGAATGCTAGCGAACCTTGAACACGCTCTACATTCCTTTCGATCGTCGCTCGTTTTTACATACCTGCCATGGAATAGAGGTTTGGGCCTGAAATATAGCGAAGCGTAACATCGGTCAGTGGTAAAAAAAATGCTTTAATTAAAGCAATTACCCTTTTACAATAATAATAAAGGTACATACTATCTGGTACAACCTAAATAAATAGTTATTCATGTTATTTTCCGGCAGAGACAAAATTCACGCCAGTTTTCCGGAGCACCACAAAAGTGGACTGGTTGCTGTCTGCTTCCAATTTGCCTCTCGGAAGTTGCATACACCAGCACCAGCTGAACCTCTAGCGTACATTATAACAACTCTGACGCAGTTATCTGCAGTCATCTTCGGCAAGTTTTGGAAAACTTCCAAATTAAAAGAAATAGCAAAAACCATACTTCTGCTAACTTAGCATCACTTCTGTTAGCAACAGAACAATGTTCAGTGGTTACTTTGAGGCAATCTCCAGAGACCTTGAACCTGTTACTGAAATACCCAATGCTAGGCACTTGACGCTATCGCTTTGCTTTTTTTTTTTTTTCAGAATAAGATCAGAAGCATATGCAATGAATCACCAAACAGACCAAATGAAGCCATGTTGCTTCATACTATTGCAAAAACTGTTCAACTTTCTTTATGCAAAGCCTATGAATTGGTTGGAACTATCACTCAAAATGAGGTGGAAAATGCCCTTGGCTAAAGCATTCTTTGCAGCTTCTAACCAAATACAGAACACAAAACAGTTCAGTCACGAATTTTGCTAGAACAGTTGCATACCCTGAACCATCTGCAGTAAAATGTCGTGGATAACTCCACAAAGCCAGACCATGCCAAGGAGCAACACCAATGTTTACTGCAAATGCCACAACAAATAAAGAAATCATGCACAACAAAGCATCTGGTGCACTGAACCTGAACAAAATTTATTTGCTCGTCACATCAAAGAAGCCTAACAAAATAAAAAGCAGTTAGCTTCTTCAGGGTACTGAGATATAGTTCTTTGCTCCTCTCTCGAAAAAAAAAAAAAACCTCGGACACTAAAATTAAAAAAAAAAAAGTTCTTTCACTGGCCACCACGGAGACGCAGGACAAGGTGGAGGGTGGACTCCTTTTGGATGTTGTAATCGGACAGGGTTCGGCCATCTTCCAACTGCTTTCCAGCAAAGATGAGACGCTGCTGGTCCGGGGGAATGCCTTCCTTGTCCTGGATCTTAGCCTTTACGTTCTCGATGGTGTCGCTGGGCTCGACCTCCAGGGTGATGGTCTTCCCCGTCAGGGTCTTCACGAAGATTTGCATTCCACCGCGGAGCCGCAGAACCAGGTGGAGGGTGGATTCTTTCTGGATGTTGTAGTCCGACAGGGTACGACCGTCCTCAAGCTGCTTGCCGGCAAAGATGAGACGCTGTTGGTCCGGAGGAATCCCTTCCTTGTCCTGGATCTTGGCTTTCACGTTTTCGATGGTGTCACTGGGCTCGACCTCGAGAGTAATGGTCTTGCCGGTCAGAGTTTTTACAAAAATTTGCATGCCACCACGAAGTCGCAGCACAAGATGAAGGGTGGACTCTTTCTGGATGTTGTAGTCTGACAGCGTGCGGCCGTCCTCGAGTTGTTTGCCGGCGAAGATGAGACGCTGCTGGTCAGGTGGAATGCCCTCCTTGTCTTGGATCTTTGCCTTGACGTTTTCGATGGTATCACTGGGCTCAACTTCGAGGGTGATGGTCTTGCCGGTCAGAGTCTTTACAAAGATTTGCATGCCACCACGCAGTCGCAGCACCAGATGGAGGGTAGACTCTTTCTGGATGTTGTAGTCCGACAGGGTACGACCATCTTCGAGCTGCTTGCCAGCAAAGATCAGACGCTGCTGATCGGGAGGAATACCTTCCTTGTCCTGAATTTTCGCCTTCACGTTCTCGATCGTGTCACTGGGCTCCACCTCCAGTGTGATCGTCTTGCCGGTCAGAGTCTTAACGAAGATCTGCATGCCACCGCGGAGCCGGAGAACCAAGTGTAGGGTGGACTCCTTCTGGATGTTGTAGTCCGACAGGGTGCGGCCATCTTCGAGTTGCTTGCCGGCGAAGATCAAACGCTGCTGATCCGGGGGGATCCCTTCCTTGTCCTGGATTTTGGCTTTGACATTTTCAATTGTGTCACTGGGCTCGACTTCCAGCGTGATGGTTTTGCCGGTGAGGGTTTTGACGAAGATCTGCATGCCACCGCGCAGACGCAGGACCAGGTGAAGGGTGGACTCTTTCTGGATATTGTAATCCGACAGGGTTCGGCCATCTTCGAGCTGCTTGCCGGCAAAGATCAGACGCTGCTGATCGGGAGGAATGCCTTCCTTGTCCTGAATTTTGGCTTTCACGTTCTCGATTGTGTCGCTGGGCTCCACCTCCAGTGTGATTGTCTTGCCGGTGAGGGTTTTGACGAAGATCTGCATGCCACCGCGCAGACGCAGGACCAGGTGAAGGGTGGACTCTTTCTGGATGTTGTAGTCAGAGAGGGTACGGCCGTCCTCGAGTTGCTTGCCGGCGAAGATCAGACGCTGCTGATCCGGGGGGATTCCCTCCTTGTCCTGGATTTTCGCCTTCACGTTTTCGATCGTGTCGCTCGGCTCAACCTCGAGCGTGATCGTCTTGCCAGTGAGGGTCTTGACGAAAATCTGCATGCCTCCGCGCAGCCGCAGGACCAGGTGGAGGGTGGACTCCTTCTGAATGTTGTAGTCGGACAAGGTGCGTCCGTCTTCAAGCTGCTTGCCGGCGAAGATCAGACGTTGCTGGTCGGGCGGGATCCCCTCCTTGTCTTGAATCTTAGCCTTCACGTTTTCAATCGTGTCGCTCGGCTCCACCTCGAGCGTGATGGTTTTCCCGGTCAGGGTTTTGACGAAGATCTGCATGACTGTTCAGCTCTGCCGGGAGAGAATAAAAACACGTCATGAGTAATCGGGCGAGGCGGGCGAGGCAGGCGACGAACAAAGGGCGGAAACGCTGTTCCGCAAAGATGGCGGTTAGTCCTAGCGATGAACCGCGTACCTCGTCTGCTAAATTTCTCGGGATTGAAACCGGACTGCAAGAGAACCAGAGTTCCGAGCGCGAAGGTACGCAGAAGCTAGCCGCTAAACAGCTTACACAATTAACGATAGCTCTGTTCGGACTGAAGGAAAGGGGCCACCTCGACGGTTGGAAAATGGCGATTACGTGGCGAAACGTTACGATGACGCAGTGCGGCTAGCTTTTGAAAACGGCCATCTAAACAGAAGAAACGGATTGGTAATAGCTACAAACCAAGTGAGAACAAAGCAGACTAACGAAGGAATTTTTACGAGCTAGTCGAACAGGGCTGTGCGAATAAGCCTACCGCCACCAAACCTGGCTGTTCTTGTGCGCACCCGACGGGAACTGACCGTGCAAAATTTTGGAACGCTCGCGCTGCCAGCACGTAGTTCACGAGCTCGTACAACGAGCCACCAACACACCAAACGCCAAAAAGCTCGAACTTACCTTTTAGCAGTCCAGAAAATATACCACTCGTGTCACACTACCAGCGTAAAAGCGGTAAGTCTAGATTTTTCCTTTGTCACACCGCCTATATAGCCACCGCAAATCGACCGCGGCACGCGATTGGTTGAGAGCAACCCGGCAACAATACCCGTCCAATCGGAACTCGAGAGCCTGACGCAAGTTTCGAGAACTCTCTGGAAATTTGAGTGACGTCATTATTGCTTGCGCCCTCTCTAGGGGGTCAGTCACACTAGAATTGAGTATCAGGAGAAAAAATGCGAATGTTTTTCCAATTTTGATTCCGAATTATCTTTAGTTTTGATGTTTCTCTTGCACGGAGTACGCTTGACGTTAATTTCAATAACCAACTCGTTTGTTCGCTGCATTTAATTCTGCGGTTTGCTTGTTTTTGACGGTTTTTCTTCTAATTTTTTTTCATGATGACATAAAGGCACGAGATGTCTGGGAGGACGTCGACGTCATCAAGGGACGTCAGCCGTTTTTCACGCGGGGCCTGGCGCCGTCGTGCGTTCTTGGGGTTGGAGATCCGTTCAGGAGTTGCGATCGCGAAAGGGCTTAAAATACCGCAAATGTCGGAAACTCAACCTCAACAACGGTGCTCACCACCCCACCCGGCCCAGCCGTGAAACAAAACATAAAAAACTCGATATGTGGCAACGCTCTTGGCGGGGCATGTTCAGCTTTGTTTCCCGATTCGGAAGGCCATATATTTTAGCTCGGCCGTTGGCCTTACCTCTGTGCTTGTGGCGGAATTAGAAGAATCAGATATTTTCGCCATTCGGCAGACATCAAGACACTTTGTGCGTTTCTTTCTAGTCTGTCTTTCTGACATTCTACTACCTGCCATGGTAATGAATTCAGGAATTTCAGATCAGTGTTAATTCTGATATGATATTATTATACTATTTTTTTAGGGTAGCAGTTTGTATATTTGTGCGCTAAAAACAAACAAACAGTTTCTACGTAGTCGGTTGGCCGGATGCCACAACTTCCTGACCTCCCCAGTTTCTCGCAACTTTATATATATATATATATATATAAAAGTGTCAACACTCAGTTGGGATCCCGAGATCGCTGTCGAAACACGCAAACGCTCGTGTCACTGTTTCTTAGTATTTCACTGATGAAACATCGCCTCGAGCGAGCGTTCAGGGAACGACAATGAAAACATGTGATGGTGAGTGTGCGCGTGCGCAGTGTCTTGTCATTTGCGATCAGGACCTAGCAAAAACACACACGTGAGTCATGCATTGCTCGTACTCGACTACTCGGTGTAACGTTCGTACAAATCGATAATCTCTAAAATGCCGGAGATGTTACATGACAAATATCAGTGCCAGTGCGCGTGACGCACCACGCATGTAAAAAAGAAAAAAAGAAAAACCTTTAGATTTTCAACTTTTTTATCAGGGAATCTTCAGTTAGAGTCGGTACTTGTAGCCAGAGTTTGTAGTAAACACAGTACTTACTAATTCGTAATTTACAAAACAACAAATAAAAAAATAGCGTTGGACGTTTCTGGTTTGAGAGTGCGTCTCTCCTACCCTCGACACCTGACGAACTGTTTCGTCTGCTACGCATGTTCCTGTCGAAGCAAGTTCGAATGGAATGCTTCGGTGTGGCAATTAACGTTCTCTCGATGCATACTAATCCAAAAGTCGCTCTCCTAACGCGCGAGACCACCGTCAACCGCATGCGTCAGCACTCCAACGAGGTGAGATACTTTTTAACTTCGAGTAGCGGCACTCTTGCCGAGGCCTATTTCACGTAGTACCATGACCATGGCTGCAGTGGATCGAGATCACCTACTCAAATCTGAACAAAACAACGGCCTCATGTATAATCGTGTATTCGGGTATCTTCTTTGGTGGTTTTCGTGAGTGTGTTCTTTGATGCGGCTGCTTCGGCGTGGGTTCGGAGACGACAGAGCCCTTTGATTTCCTCCTTTGAATGGCCGGCCTACTTTCCAACTTTGGGGGGCGTATTACGGTGAACCCGTGGCGATTGGGAAATCCATGAACTTGGCAGCGGTGTAGCGGATTGCGTAAGCGGCAACCTCACAGGACTTCCGTGGAACGGAAAGCCTTGAAAGGTTCCTCGAAACGGCGTTTGGCTGGCATTCTCACACACACCGCTTTGGACATTTAGTTGCAATCCTGATTTTTAGAAGAGTAAAAGCAAGCACGCGCATATATTATAAGAGTAATACACTACGCACGACAAAAATAACTGAGTAGCGATGTTCTGTGGCGTTAAACAACATATGCCCTCCAATTTCTTCAGATTCTCTTCTTGATCATAGCAGATACAGGTTTTCCTAATAGATGCAAAGTTGCAGAAACTTTCGGACCTCTCCGACAGTATGGCATACTTCTTCATTTCTGGCTAACGAGAAGGGTCGGAAGCCTTTCATCCAATTGCCAGTAAGACAGTCAAAGGCTGGTCTTACTGCGTTACAGACAACGTAAAATCAATATAAGTTGGCCATTTCGGACGACTCCATAGCGCTGTCTACAACTGAGCATTATGGAGGTCTGCAGTTTTCTGCCAGGCAGGTATTATGGCATGACATTTGAATTCTTTGTTGTCCCTAAAAAAAAATACCAACCTTTCTTTATGGCACTCTTGCTTCAATTAAGCCAAAAGGTTCAAGTTTAATAACTGTTCATAAACATGACAGAGTCCTGCTTGCTTATGCATAAAGGGTCCTGTCTTCTTGTTACTGCGTTAATCGCAGTTGGCGGGAGCACATGGCATAGGGTACCGTCCGAGTACATTCTCGGCTTCCCGTGTTTCCGCTAACTGCGATTGAGGAAGTGTGTGCTGATAAACCCTGTTTTTATTCTGTTCTTGAATGAGAATGCAAAGCAAAAGAAAGCTGCAGTATACATGCAAAGGGATCTTTATATCCACAGCTTTATTTTTGTTGCCCGAAACGCTGCTCACAATGGACCGTCCATGAGGCCGATTTTGTTTCTTTGAGAACTATGGCCTGGTCTTGTCGCGTCTCCACTTGTTACCGGTGTCTGGACGTTTTTCAAGCATATTTGGTTTGGGCATGTATATCCCCCGGCCCGAGATTGGGAAATTCGAACGCCGTGTCTGTCCTGTGGTGTTCGATATAACCCCTAACAAATGCCGATTTCTTGCCGACGCCAAAGAAAGGGCCCCAAGAGATACCACGGGAAATGTGGGAAAAAATAAATGATAAGAATCACTCCCAAACTTTAAAAACAAAAGTCAAAAACACCAAATCCTAGTTATGCACAGTGTCGGCGGTAATGCGTTACAAGTAACGCCGTTACCGCTAACACATTACTTCTCTCAGTAACATAGTCCCATGCTCGTTACATTCTTAAAACGGTAACAGACAACATACTTACGTTACTTATTTTGAGTAATCGGTACCATAGTTGCATTACTTGTCGCTTCTTTCCAAAACTTATAAAGAAAATTCATCTTAAATTTTTTTGTTTCTAGGCTTCCCTTGTGGGCATTCGGGTGCCACCATAAAAAGATAACATAATTATGTTAGGTTTCTGTGTGGACATAACGCTGCTTGAAATATGGCGCTTATGCTTACCCGTAACGTCAAAGGCTTTAAATAATAAATAGAAAAGTAATGCAAAAGTAACATGCATTACTTTACAGTAATGCACTCCATCTATTTGCAAGTAATGAGTAACATATTTCGTTACTTTTTTTACGGTAACAGCTACAATACTACTTATGCGTTACGAACCCAGCCTGTTAGGCAGCAATTCTCCACTTTCCCACGGCTGAGGCACTACGATTCCCCCATTGGAATTGGACTTGCTCACTGCTTCCTATCTCGACGAATGGTATCAGAGGAGTTCCTGGACCCTATGATAAGCAGATACACTTCAAGAACAAATGTCAGATCATCATCGCTTTCAGCCTTGTGGTAATCAATGGCCGTTGTCTTCGGAGGAGATAACGAAATTCGCACAAACGACCTCAAGTATCGGATGATACCGGCGCCGACAACGTCCTTACCGCGTGCTTTTTCACGTGGCATTACCTCAGTCGGCGGGATCAGTGTAACCCCGACTCAGTAGAGCGTTTCCAGTTACGTGGAATGAGAGAAAAATAGCCAGAGGCCAGTGTTGCTCAACCAGGGGTGAGTTATTGCACCATCATTTCGCATTGTTTCTTTTCAGAACTGAATTGACTGGGTGATGATTCGGAACTACTGCGATATTAGCTCACAGATTAAGCTTCTTCGCGCCTTGAGCTATAGGCCATTTGGGAAAAGGACTACTGGCTGCTGCCATTTTCGGCTTTTGTGCACGTGGAATGCGTTTCGCTTGCGCTATCGAAGCCACGAACATACACGTGCCGGACTGTAGATTTAGAAACAATGGCATGTAGTCAATAGGGGAGAGGTTAAAAGGAGCGCGCTCTTGTTGCCTCCCGCCGGGCTTTGGCTACGCGTGCGCCAAAGTATCACAGTCTTTATATGAATTACTTGATGGTTTGGGAAGTTTGGCTGTTTCTGTCGGAGTTAGTGTTGTCGCCACAAATAACGCAAAACACGTGATAAAAAAAAAAATTAAGAAATGTTTATAATTTTTTTTTTTAAGCAGATGTTGCACTCTTTACAAGGTGTAACAATTATTTCGAAATATCATCCCTATAGGTTTCAAGTGTAGGTGGTGTTTCCAGTCATCTGGTTCGAAGGATCTGTGGGGTTTTATGAAAGAGGAGACGCATGTCCAACAACTTCTCTGTGGTAGCTTCTTTGAATGCACGTCCATTCGTTAGGTTCTTCGAGGATCTGACTGGTTGATTCTTAACGATGGCCAGAGCCGTAGGTGTAGAGAGTTTGGCCATTTGTTGGGAAGTATAGGAGACAAATGAGGAGGCGCCATTGGCCGAAAGCGGGCTGGACGTGTTCCAGGGTGTCTTCACAAATTCGAATCTGGCCGACCAGAAGCCGGAAATAATACCCTGACGGTAGTCGCGAGAAACAAACTTAACAAGTGCTTTGCAGTAACTCTCGGTGACTGAAAATATGGTGCACGTGATGTTTCAATCATGGTGGAAGTGTGCGACTACCAGAACAATCGACATAATCCGTACGCCAAGTGCCGAGGGCCGGGAATCTGCTATCGAGCGGTCGCACTCTGTCCGAGCAAAACAGAGTTGAGCGGTGCATTAGTTTCTTACATCTTTCTGCATGATCATGATTGAAACATCACGTGCACCCTATTTTCAACCATAAAGGGTTACTGCATTTCACTCTTACATGCTTAACATATACCTATGATTAAAACTGTTTGTAACTACCATCGCTAGGGAATTCTTTTTGGCTTCCAATTGGCCAAGAGAGCATGTCAAGCCCTCTTTCTGCGATGCACGCCCTGGCTCTGCCCGTGCCTCCCATTGACCAAACTCTCTCTATACACGACTCTGACAATGGCAGTATGCCTCTAGTGCTTCAAATTGTCCCTGGGAAAACCGTTTTTGTTGCGTGACGGAAAGATTCCAGAGCAGATAGTCCAAGGACCGCAGTATTATCAAAGACAGAAAGCTCACACAGTAGATAGAGCATCTACTGCTTTCTTTGCCTGCCACCGACGGTAGGTGTACCGGTGTTGTCTGACCTGTACCGAGATTTTGCTAGCTGCACTTGAATGTGCAAAAAATAAAAATAACCGGTATGGCAGAGAGAAGCGTACCTTCCCTCGTGGAGGGGGCTTTTTCTTGATGACCCCTACGGTTTGCCGCGGTGTGGGAAGTTTAGTGATCAAAGAGAAGGAGCGTTGGAAAAGAGAAAACTCCGTAGTCGTGCTTTTGTAGGCAGTGTAGCTGCACCGGATTTCTTGGAAATTCCTTCACAATCCCAAATGGGAACTAGTAATCAACTTGTTCAGTTAGTACACTTGAGCGGTCTAAAGCCCAATTCCTACATTTGTATCGGTTGCATTCACTATGACTGAAACGATGGCCATGACAGAATCACTAAGACAACTGAGTGCCATCCATTAAGTGGCAACCGTTCCCAAGTAGTAGTTGCAAAAAACTTTCAAGAGTCCAAAAGATCCGTGCCCCTATACCTGTATGGCGTGTACATGTGGTGAGGCCATGAGGATCAGCCCATTTGGCCAAGCCTTGCAAAGTCCGAATTCTAATCGTACGTACCTGAAACTGGGCACGCCAACGCCGTTTTATAAAAAAAAGTTTTATGTCTATAATTTTTAGAGCTCAATTCGGGGGTGGTGAAATAATAGTGCAAAAACGGCAGTCGTCGTGCATTTTCAATGCCTTATAGTGGTTGTTCGTCGCCTGCACACTGGTTTGCAAGCTTATTTCGTTAAAATTATCACTTATTGTGATTACACTGCTCGTCACCAGCCTCTACAAGGTGTTCTCGGCATATTTGCGTTCAGCAAGCCATCCGAGAGCGAGCTTGTAAACCAGTGAGCAGACGACAGACAGGCTGGTAAAGGGCATAGAAAATGCAGGCCGCGCCATTTTTGCTTTTTAATATTGCACCAACTTCGAGTAAATATTAGCTCTGAAACCTCTTGCGAAATGACTTTTGCGTGCCCGGTTTCAGGTATGTTTCTGTTCGGCATTAGAATTTTGCAATGCGTGTCAAATGTGCTGGTCCTTAATGACTCGCCCTGTAGCTGTACATGACGTCATTGGCTGATGGTCGTTTCTGCTTGTTCTTGCCGAGAGCGAATTCAGCGGTACGGAACATATGCTGCGGAAGGTATGCGCTCGGCAGCAAGACCACCACAATGGCAGCAGATGTGACGCCAATGCCAGCAACGCACTCTTCTCCGTGTGCGATCGGTCAGACACAGGTGACACAAACGACCCGTCCATGGGGCATACGAAGCACGGTTCTCCCAGTGACGCGTTTGTTGCTGTGACTCGGTAGCTGGGAGCACAACCGACGGAAATATATGAACCAGCCTTCGTTTTCGCAGACCCAGAACGCAGCAACTTGTCGGTACTTCACGAAGAGGAAACAGGTTTCTGTTTTTCGATTTTTCGTCTTGATTTGAACTAATCTTCCATATCTTGAGTGCCACGTTGTTATGAGCCAATTGTGCCAGGCGACCTCGGACACCGGATAGGAATAAGATTGTACCGGCTAATGTGCCCCATTGTATTTTTGTCAGTAATACAAAGTGCGAGTCCAGATAAAATAGACAATATGTTATCAGTGGTTGCACAAGCGCTGTCTTGTCGAGTAACTTTTCATCAGCAAAGTTTTCATGCAGAATGCGAAAGCTTTTGTGAATAATACTTTATAACCGAATAAACCCTGAAACTATGAAACCTCAAGGTCAGCGAAGCAAACGTCGTAGTGCATGTTTTAGCCATTGAACTGGCTGGAATATGCCCACACTTCTCCCAGTTGTGATGGTTGCATAGCAATGCCTTAAAAATATGTTACATAAAAAAAAAAATCTTGAAATTGTTATTTTTTTTATAAAAAGCAATGTTTATTCTGATGACGGTTTCTCAGTCTACGGCCGTTGTTTAGTAATGAAGGAAAATAATGTAAGAGGGACCACCAGTACTGACTTCTCGTTCTATGGCTGCAAGCCACTCACGGCATTCCAGATGTGATGTTGTCTTAATTAAAGGGGCGGTGTAACGCAACGCCATTGGCCAAGACACTCCTTTGTTGCGGTGTAATTTCAAAGACAAAAGCGAGCGTTTTCATTCAATCTCTCCTTTGCAAAACTTGACGGCGTAGCTGGGCGGTCGCAGTAGTGCTCAGCGACAATATTTGGCCGTGGCTCATAGATTGGACCCAAGCATAGCATGGGCACTCGATTCGGGCTCATAATAATCAATCGCTCGAGGAGCATTCAAGTAGTGGCCCGTGTCTAATCGCTGCAGTGGCGATAATAGCCGAGCCATAACAATGTCTGGAACTCAGCGCGTGTCCTGTGCCTGGCCAACCCCAGCACCTGGCTGCGATCAACATTGGCGGCATAAAATCGGCTCTAGACCACGTGGCCACTTGTTCTGGCTGCGAGTTGAGGGAATAAATGCTGCTAGTTTTTTTTCTTTAAAATTTTCTGAGACTTTGATTGCGTGTGGTGAAAAACGAATGGGTGTTTCACAGGTCATTATTGTCAGAGATCCATTCTAAGCGGTATTTGTGCAAAGTACAAAAATCATTGCATAACCCCTTTAGCTAATAAGCAGCCGAGACTTGCAAGTAGCGTTTTGCACTATGCCACAGTGCTCCGAAATTGCTTTTGTATTGCTTCATTTGGGAGCTGTCCAAGAAGGCTACTATAAGAAGGCAACTAGCTACCTAGCACTATTCATTTGCACTGAGCAGAAGTCAACACAGGGCTTGCATTATTATGTTTACGATCGTGATTTGCTCACCAACATTCTTATCGGCTAATGCTACAGTCTTAAGGCCCGCTCACACACTTGCAACCGAGTACGACCAAGAGAGCGAGACCTGTTGAAACCTCTTAAATTTTCTTAAGACGAGAGAACACACTGGGATGCTCGTGCCATCTATGCAGTGACCCTGGAACTGCATTTCACAAGAGCGAAGGTTTTGTGGGATTTCCGAGGTCAAATGTGCGTAGTACCAATGAGAAAGGCTCGTTTATAACGTTGACAGAAGTTTTTCGAGCCAAGAACGGATAATGCGCAAGAGAAATAGGAAATATGCCGAGCCGCCAAGTTTACACTGCTACCCAATAGATGGCGCCAGTGTGTCCTCTCGTTGTAAGGGCCTTTATTGGCCGAGCTAGAGTCACTAAATGAGCTGCGCTTAGAGTATCGGCACTCCGTTCCCCAACATTGTTGTAGGCGCCGCGATTTTGGCTCGTATGCAGAGCAGACCAAACTGCCGATCGTCATGATTCAAAAGTGTGACTTCCTCAGCATTAGATTCGGTGTTAGGAAGCTCATGTAATATTGTCTTGCTCTGTTGCGAACTGTTTAAATATTTGTGGAGGGCGGAAATGCGTTTCCTGTGATTTCAGATAAAGCTTCAGATAACTGGCAACCATGATTTTAAGACACAATATGGCCAAGTGTCGTTACTCTGAAGCGTAGCTTATTTAGTGGCACTAGGCCGAGCAGTGACAAATGCCCGAGGCTTGCCAAGCCCCGTGTTTTTTTAACTATCAGTGCAGTGACATTCTGGTGCAAGACGTGACCAAGGTGATTAAAAGGTGCGAAGAAACGGGAAGGAAAAAGGCACACGTACAACACGGACAGGCTCCTGTCCGTGTCGTACGTGTTTTTTTCCGTCCCGTTTGTTCGTGCCTTTTAACCTTTCAATCGATATGAACCAACTAGCCCCAACCAAAGTTTTATTGACCAAGGTGGTTCATTGAAAACCACAGTGTACAGAAGGATTGCAAGCAAGGTTAACCAGCGTTCTTCCTCGGTCAGCTTAAATTAATGTGAAGAGAGGGGTAAACCTCCTTCTCTCTTTAGCGTTCCTTTTGCTTCCTCCTCCCTGGCTTGTCTACCGTCGATCTTCGTTCTTAGGTTGCAACGGACTATAGTAACCTTCAAGATAAACCTGATTTGTGTAGAACATGGATGAAATGTCCACCTACATCATAACAGTTGCTTTTATATTTCGCATTGTTCCCAACGTTCCAGTTGCAGATGTATCGAACGTAGAAAAGCGTGTTGATCTTGTAGATTTTTTGATGAGAAATAATATAAATAAAATGTAAAAGAAAAGGGTAGACACGTTTATGTTACTAGATATTTTTTTTTTTTTCGTAGCTTCTCAAGTTTTCTTTATTTTATTATTATTGCTTGTATCACAATTTACTTTTCCAATTTCATGCTGACCAGTGCCTTGACAAGTTTGCTGTTCATACATCGACCCACCTTGTTATATGAACGTTTTACAACTTGCACATAAACTGATGCATAAATAACAAACTTCAGAGAAAAGCTTCATCATATTGCTATTTTTATACCAAGTCTGCAGAAGGTTTCTACTGCCTGCAAAGGAAGCAGTGCTGCCGTTACACACCAAAGACACTGCGCAAAAACAGAACCGTTGAGTTGAGCATTAAACCGTGTCTTATGTTCAAACATTTTATGAGCATGAAGTACTGGACAGAAACCAAGAGGCAGCTTGTGAATACTGCATTTGGCAAAACAATGATCCCTGTCTCTAGAAATAAGCACGGAAGGACCGGGCAGGGGCAACGCGTCTTCGGCCGAAGTTGTTTTGGCACCCTGCATCAAAAGACGAACAAGAAGTCGGAATTAGAGCCACTAAATATGCTACGCTTCGTGTATCGCCACTCCAATCTCGAATTTTTCGTGGGCGCGGCCATTTTGGTGTGAAATGCAAAGGGGGCCCCAACCGGCGATAGTCACGACTAAACAATTTGTCTCTCTAAGGTTTAGGTGTGGTAGCTCAGGCGACTCGGAAACTTGACATGGCAACAGATGGTTTTGGACCCCAGCGCCAGCTCCTACTCTTCTATCTTGAGCTATCTACTCGGAATGCTTGCAAAGAAAACGTTGACCAAGGACTGAGAATTGAGTAAACACACTGGTTTGGGCGCCGAAATTCTTTGTCAAGTATAGAGATAAGATTCTAGTTGTAATTCTTAAGTACATGATATGGCACTCCAAGGTGAAGCCTCCGATTATGGTATAAGTTACTTGTTGAGAGCCATTGTGCTGCCCAGTGCCGTCACCCCCCCCCCCCCCCCCCCTTCCTTTCACTGCCCAGCTGCACCCCCATTGGGAAGTCTCTGGTGCTGCGGGAGTTTAACGATTTGTTAAATATAGATCCGGGCATTCTAGCAATTGGGGAATTAAACAATCATATGGTGCTATCATTGCTACAAGTATTGTTGGCATCCTTCAAAAAAAAAATATTCAGCAGCATTTTGTGTTTTGATGTACCAATCTAGATGGTAGGGCATCCAAACTGTTCAATGGCCACTCCTAATAAGCATAGTTTGGGCGCTCAGACTGCAGTAATTGTTCTTTTTGGGAAAATGCCTACAAATATGGGAGGAGACATTAATGAGCAGCATTTGTGTCTTTTCTGTTATAACCTGCATCAAACTAAAAGTATGGCAGTGTAGAATAAGCACGGCGGAAGATCGTTACCGCAAGCTCGTGCTCGACTATGGCTGGCCTAATGGCAGTAGGTCCAGGACAATGCCTTGCAGAAATGCTGGAACTACAAGTCGTGCGCAAGAAGGGAATATACTGACGACCATACCATATAAGCCATCATGTTTTGTTCAAGATTGCATCTAACACGTTACATTAACTCCCAAGCCGAAGGAATCTTCTATCCTTCTCAAAATACCCTCTTAGCGCGACGAGGGCGAGAGTGGGCGCACCTCCGGTCAGCGAATTGCCGAGGGCCAGTCCTGGACGAGCCGCGACACCTCCTCCCTGATCTCGCTGATGCGCAACCCTGTGAGCCCGCCATTTTGAGTCCGCAGCGTCTCCAGGCAGGCCACCAGACGCTCCTCCGGCACCTCTGGCATCCGCCTGTGAAGGGTCCGGGCTAGCCTCAGATATCCGGTCTTCCTGAACCTCACGAAAGAGCCGTTGGCGCCTCCGCACACGGTGCTCGTCGGCGAGTCCGTCGAGGGCATATACTCGAAGTCCGCCAGGCTCTCGGAGCGTGACATCGGGGACAACCGTACGCGGACCAGGTCTAAGATCCGGTCGAACCCGTGGTCCGGCTCCTGGAGCCCCACGGATGCGGGAAGCTCGTCCAGGCTGATCCGCTTGTTCCGGCTCGCGCGGTCCAGGCAGTGGGCGAACACGCGGTCCATCCGGTCGCGCTGACACGCCAGAAGTTCGGCCCACCGCCGCCAGGGGTCGGTAAGCTCGCTGAGGAGCTGCACGTTGCCGTTGGTCTCGCCGAACAGGTCGAAGTAGAGCTTGGACACGGCCGAGTTGCGCCTGTCGGCTAACTCGATTGCGCCCTCGAGGTTCTCGAGCACGGCGGACCTGCAGAAGTGGAGCAGCTTGAAGGTCTCCTCGCGGTTGTGACCGTACAGGTCGGCGACGTCTTCAAGCTCCGCCATGGACCTGATGCTCTTCTGCAGAGAAGCGACAGCGCGTTCCAGTTTGGACACGTCGTCACAGCGGTGCCGTAGTGTCTCTTCGAGACGGTTTGAGCGGTCGCGTTCGATTTCAAGGTCACGGCTCACCTGGGCTAAACCGTCGCGGGAGGTCGCGACGTCGTCGAGCAGCCTGGACTCGCTCTTGCAGGCGCGCGTCCTGAAATCGGACAGCTGCCGCTTGAGCTTTCGCTTCTGGTTCTCGAGGCTGTTGAGCTTGCGCTCGAGTTGCTCGATGATGCCCAGTTCGGCCATCGGAGCGGCAGCGCGCCGCAGCGCCAGCCCCAGCAGCAGGGAGATGAGGAAGAGGACCACGTCGTAGCTGGTCATCATTGTTGATTGATTGATTGGGATGATGAATAGTACTATGGCTGCGTAGGTAGGCGCGCTCGCTGCTGGCGTCTTGTCGGGAGTGGACGTTGACGTGTTGGAGTGACACGTTTGGGCCTGGGATTCGAGTCGAACGGGAGCTCGCGCGGCGCGCTCACATGCTGCTCTAGTGGATGATGCGGCCGATGCTGTTGTGTTACCATGGCTACCGTGGTATCAGGTCGACGTGATGATCCGTCGCAGTTTCGTTTTTCGTACTTGGCTACCGTCCCCACCGTCCGGAACGTCGTGTGTTCTTGTTCGTTTTCCGTGACCGGGCCAATAATAGCAATATTAGTCTGAATATCGCGGTGAGGGATGCTATCGTGCTTTTAGTCAGCAGGGTTTTCGCGATCTAGCAGTGTTGCTTTCATGCGTTGGTGTGTTTATGCCAATGTGTCGCTTGTGAAACCACAATAACAAAATAATAAAAATGTGTCGCATTTTTTTTTGTTTTTGTTTAAAGAAAAAAAAATTAATATAAACGCGGTAAATTTTGAAGGATATGAAATCACGGCGAGGTCGTTCCGAAAAAGGCGCCAGTTGCGTCGTCTGCTTTTGGGGCGTCTGCAAGTGAATCGTCTGCTTTCGAAAGGAACTTCGAGCGACCTAACAATAATTTTCAACTTTGGCGCGCCTTTAATTATAATTCAGCTTTCGCCATAATTGCCTACGGAACGAAAATAATGAAGACCTGCATACATTCTGACGTCTGGGTTGTCCGAGTTGAGTATTGAACACCTGTTCAAGAACGCATGACGACTCCGTGAGCTTGGTTTATTGCGCTTTCCTTTGTGTGCACTTTGGAGCAGCTGCTTTCTTTTTCAGCCTGGCAATCTGGTTAGAGAAATTGCTCTCTGTTGTGATTTTTACGTGGCGCGACCTTTCATTGCTAGCTTTGCAAAAATGTTTTTTTTTGTTTTTGTTTTTTTTTCCTTTTCAGAAGAGAGCTAGTGGATAACACTCGAAGATGTCTCCAAGTGCGCTACGTCTGGAGCAGTCTGTCAGTAGTCTACAGCCTACTTTTGAAGGAGTTAGGTGAATTGGAACGCTCTAAGAATCTCCAAGGGATTCTCGGGTAATTATACCTCCATTTAATTATATTGGGGGGGCCTGGGGTCTGTGCTAACGCTCATACACGGACTCTTTTCCACGTTGTCTTGTGTAGATATAAATTCAACTTTATTTGTTACACATTCAGGGTGTAATCCCTTTTGCCATATCTCATGTCGAAGACATGAGAGGGGGGGGGGGGGGTATGTGAATGGGCCATAAAATGGAAGGTTTGGTTGATGTAAAACTTTGATAAAATATATCTACAAAGACAACTTTTTTTTCTTTTTTTTTATGAAATTGCATATGGGAATTGCTTAATTGTATTTCTTTCGAGCTCCGTCTCGACATGTGGTCCTATCAATGTGGATCTGCAGGTTCAAATTTCGGCTGAAAGATAAAGCTTTCGCTTAGGCAGTCTTCACCTGGTCCATATTCTGCAGCCGAAATTTGACTTTTAAGCATGTAGAGCCTTCAGATAGTAATCCGGAACATACGGCACTTTTGGTTCATCCTAATGTGTAGCGGCTTAATTGAACAACACACATTTGTTGTTTGCGCGTCAGGTGCGTGGTAATCCAACAGTGTCGTCGTACGTAGTGCCAGAGAGTCAGCTGTCCTTAAAGTTAAAGGCAGTAATTGGGGTCTAATTGTTTCAATTATTTAATTGTTCAATTACTATTTAAAAGCGAACATACAAAATTGCTAGCAGCCTGGCTGTAAGCATCCATTGTCTCACTGTTCCTCCTTGGCTCTCTCCTCCTTTTTGCACAGATGTCGAGAGTCAGGGGAGCTATAATTTCTGCACAATAAAATGAAAATACTTTTCTTGCAACCAGTATGATATTTGATAGAGGCAGGGAGTGAGAGTCACTGACCGAAGTACTTCCTTTGTGTTGGTCCTTGGCTTCAACTTTTCTTGACTTCAGCTTAAAGTGCGTAGAGTAAGGTCCCCTTTCTATTTCAATATAGATGAGTGTCATTCGGGCATGTGGTCATGTATCACTACCACGTGGTGCATGGCTAGGACTGGTGCTGCCAGGCTTGTAGTGGTAATGCCAGGCTAGCAGTTGTATTGCACTGGCTAAATTTCTCACCTACAGCAGAAATACCAGCTGGCCACTGGGGCTGGCTAACTTCCTGTTGTCTAAACATGTACAGCACAATTATAATTACTCTTTAACTAAGTCCAGGACTATTGGAAAAGCTTAATTATCGTTTGTCTGGCTCAACATGCTTAGGTAGAAAGCACATGCTGAAACTTTGTCATGAGATATATATGCTCATCAAACATATGGGAGCACCCTGTACTAAAGGGGCTGTCGTACCGATTAATGAGTCGAGTCGTAGTTATGACTCACCCTTTGCATTGCAAAGTTTTACAGCACAAAATTTTGAAGCAGCTGCAGCTGTGGCAAAGCTTGAGGTTTTATGACTAATGGCGTGTAGCTGCGGTGGTTGCGACTTTGTTGCATATAGTGTAGTGGAATGGAAAGGCTGTGGAAAGGGCAGGCACGTCAACCTATGAGTATTCGCACACTTTTTGGAATCTGAATTGCTATCTGGTGAAAGTCAATCCACAGCTGTTCATCTCTAGCTCTGCTGTATTTCTTCCTTTTTTTTTTTTGTCGTTGACATCACAAAGATTGCTGGCAGTGATGCAACTGCTGCCACATGTTTATTGCGTACCGACGTAAAGTATCATTGATACTCTCTGCTCTAGCTTCCACTTGCTACCACACTTATAGTTGCTTGGGGGTGACTACGCAGTTCTGGCTTCTGCAGCAGTGACAATAGTCCTAGTTTCCAGACAAGGCTTCGAAAAGGGCCCTGGCGTGAGATCTCTTCCAGTCGAAACGTTTTGTTTTTCTCTTTTACGTCCAGCATTATTGAGAGCTTCTGGTGAAAGCCGCGTACGCTGTAGCTATGCTAGTGGTCCGATTTCTTTTTGCGCTACACACTGCTCACTCATAAAGGCAAACAAAACTGAAACTTTGGGGCTTGATAAAAAAAATTAAAGACGTTTCCAAATCTCCATAATGCGAAATTAGAGTGCAGCTCTTGAGGTATTTTGATTCTGTGATATACCATGCCAAACAATTTGAGAAAGAAATGTATATATATAGTATATGTATGTACAAATATAGATCACTCTCCTCACATACTGGTTCTGCACCCTCCTTCTCCTCAGTGTACTCTTCCTTCATCATACCCTCCTCCTCCGTATCCTCCCCTCCTCCTTTTTCGTACCCTCCCCTCCACCTCCATGCCCTTTACTTCTCCCAAAGTTTCCCCGCTAAATTTAGCTGGAAAATTTATTCCATGTGACTTCAACACCAATTCAGTTTCCCCGCTAAATTTAGAGGAAAAAATGATGTCACATGACTTTGTGTCACGTCACCTATGAACAAATTCAGTTTCTCCACTAGGTTTAGCGGGAAAATTGATGTCACGTGTCCTCAACACCAATTCAATTCTTCGCTAAATTTAGCGGGGAAACTGAATTGGGGTTTAGGTCATGTGATGTCAGTTTTACTGCTAAATTTAGCGGGGAAACTGAATGCGCAGTTTTGCATTATGGGACATCACAAACCTACCCTCGAATTCAGTTTCTTCACTACATTTAGCGGGAAATTGAATTGGTGTATAGGTCTGTGACGTCCCATAATGCAACGCGCGTAGTTACGCTGACGGCGACGCTGACGCCGCGAAGCTTGGGATTGAGCACTTAAGAGCTGCACTCTAAAACAGCTGCAAGTGTGCTCTTGGAGCACACAACTGCCGAGAACACTAACTAAATTTGTTCATTTAAAAACAAATAGTTATATATAAAAAAAAAGTGATGTATATTTTTTTTGGTCCCCTTTTATACTCTGCGTTTAACTGGTTAACTCATCTTTCTCATATTCACCCTTTCCACCTCTCTCTCGAACATCCACTGTAAAGGGTAGGCCTTGCCTTTTTGCGGAGGGTAATAATGTCATGGTGAAGCTGCACTCTGGATGCAGCCTGTAAGTTTTATTTAAGGTTTTAACATTGTCTGTGAAGTGTTATTGCCTAAAGCTTCAGGACATGTGGCACTTGCTTGCATTATATGGGCCATTACAGCTGCTAACTTTGACCTTAAATTTTCGATTCGGTATCATTCTAGCGAGTTGGTATCCCCTGTTTACGACCAGAAGCGTGTGACGTATGTAGCCAGCGTTTGTCTTCGGTATTATTTCACGAACTGTTGTCGACATAGTTTCGTTTTTTCTTACTTCGTGTAACTCACTAATTTTGTTACACTTAATGTTTTAAAATGAAGGATTCATATTTGGCACAAAAATGAAAAGAAGCTGAGTTTGACTCCTGGGCTCAGGATGCTTCTGACAACTTGACTCGTAGAGCAAGTCCGAAACCAAGTTTTCTGCCCATTATGCAAAACTTGCTTCATATATTGCTACTATGATAAGAAGCACACATCTCTTGTATGCCATGTTGGCAATGGATAAGTAGGCATGTATCTAAGGCATCTGCAATTATGTTTAAATTGTTTTGTCTCTGCACCAATCTTTTTAAGAGCCCATTTGCGTTTTTTTGCCGGTGTAATTGAATTCAGTGTGCCGGGATTATTAGCGAACTCTCGCGTTTTTTCAGACAAGAAAGTAGATGATCATGACTGGGGCATCAGGTGTCGATGAGCACGTAAAGTTAGTGTATGAATGAATGAATGAATGTAGAAAGAAAGCTAAGGAGGCAGACCAGTGGTGATCATCCAAATAAAACTAAAAAAGTTACTCTTGTCCCCTCCCCCCTTTTTTTTTCTTTGTGGTTTCCCTTTATCTTGTATTTTCAAGCGTCCAAATTTATTATAAGGTGAATAGTATTGCAGCCACAGCATCAGGAGGAAGTGGTTTTCCTAATAAAACTCCTCTGAAATCTGAAATCTTTCCTAAAACTTTTCCCAAACTCCCCTCTCCTTTTCCTAAAATACCTCTCACTGAAAATATTCTCGAAAACAGAGACATTTGTGTAAAGCCTGGAATAAACAACAGTGTGTGTTCTGTCTTTCTTCACATCTTGGGATATCTACTGTACAAATAGGGGTGCAGCCGCAGTTTCAGGGTTGAGTTGCACCTCCCAGGGAAATTGTACAGTTGTGAAAGTTTGGGGAAAAGTTCCTTAAAATAAGAGATGTTTGTGAAATGTCTACGATGAGTTGCACTGGATATTCTGACTTCCTTCATGTCTTGTGTTTTCTACAAGGTAGATGGTATCACGTATGTAGTTCCTGGTACAACTGTTTTTCCTTGAAATCTTTCCCGAAAATGAGGATATTTGCTTAACATCTGGAGCAAGCGAGACTGCGTGTTCTCTCTGCCTCCAGGTCTCTGGACTGAACGGGGAGGGAGGCCGAAATCTCGTCTGCTAGAAAATGGACGGCACGGCGTCTGGATCTTCCGACAAAGAGGCCCTGGTCCGAACAATAGACGACATGGTTCCAAGAACGCACGTGCTTCCCCTGAGGTGGGTCTATGCAGCTGTTACGGCCACGTCTATTCAATATAGGCACTTCTGTTTCCCCAAACAATCATCCGTAATGCGGGTCCTCCAGGACGAGACAATAACGCATAGGTATGTTTATCCAGCTCGTCCCCGAAAAGGGGCGTTCATATTAATGGCGTCTCAATATACGAGACTTTGCAGTAGTGTTACATGTTTTGCTTTTGATCGCGTCCCCATTTGTCACGGCAGATAGGGAGGGGATGGAATGACAGACAGAATGAAGCACCTTTTCATGTGGCTGCCATGCCATATATTATAATGTATATAGTTAGTGCCACATTTTTTTTTGTTTATTTGTAAAATTTGAGTTTACCCAATGAATACTACATTCCGAATATAGATGGCGGAATTCAGACTGAATATGCGACCTCATAGAATTACAAATCAGGTGAACATGGGATGAAACTGCCGTTCGTAATTGCTGCTCTCCATTTCACTTTATGAATGGGGTTCTGTGTTTTCCGAGTTTATTTCTTGTGAAATTCGGAGGGTGTTTTTCGCTGTTAATTTTTATCCGAAAATTCAGAGTTTATCGCAGTTCATTTTCATTCGATTTTTTAAGCTTGCTTTTTTGTGTGCCCAGTTTTTTTAAAATTCAGTATAAAAACTAATTTTATCCGAACCAAACCTATCCTAAATGCACAAGGACTCGCCTGTATCGTGTTATATTTTTTTCAGCTGCATTGAGCATTTGCACCCTTGCCATTGATAATAGTAACTGTCCCACAACCATACAACTAACAAGTGTTGCTCTAATTAATGTTAATATTGTAGAATCATTGAACTCCTTGACAATCTCTGGCAAGCTTGTTTTCTTCCCATCCCATTCCATTGCTGCACCCTGTGGCCATGCAGGGTGGATTGCTGAAACAGAACATTTAGCTGCTCCCTTCCCTCCTTTGATGATAGCTATCACTGTTATAAAAACACAACCACACTTTCCTCTAAGACTCTCAAACCGGAGACAAGGACAGTAGCTTTTGTTGTGACCTGACATTACAGTGAGCCGTTTTCCTGAACAAAACTTGTTGAGATAAACGGTGACCTCTCATTTGTCTATAGTCTGATATTCAAAAAGAAACTGGAGAGGCCTTTCCTCAGGACCATTGACCCTGTCTCCTGACCAATTATACTTGTAGAATAACTTGTTCTTCTGTTGTTGTTTTTTCGCAATCGTGACATTGAAATGCTGAGTTCTTTGGATAAATCCGATTGACGAAAAATTTTACCGGCGGGCGTTTTTTTTTTTTTTTTTGATCTTACCGGATTTTTTTAAAAACACAGAACCCTACTATTTCCGATGGACCGTGGCATCTGAATTGCATGGGATGACTCTAAAAACCATCCCGTGCAGTGCAGTGCAGTGATCACATCACATAACTGCGTGCCCCACACATCGCTAAATCATTAAGGCAAAAAATGCAGAGTCACCAGGCCGTAGACGGATACGTGCCGTCTGATATTCGGCAGGAGAGTGCCACTGCGCAAGCTAAGGGCACCCTCTAAAGCCCAGCGAACAAAGATGGCTGTGTGCAGAAGGCAATTACCGAAACGGTTTATCCGACGGTCGGCTTCTGTGCGCCGCTCTTCTGCCGAATATCGGCCCCTGCGCCTGCGCGCCCACACCACATGTGACTCGTCATTTTTCGGCGACGATTTATACCATGAGTTCTCACACTGGGTACTTAGCGTTCCCCAGAGCACCGTCAGAGGTTTCCTAAGTTCGAAATTTCCTTGTTTTCTCATTTCAAGCGCTATTTCAGAAGATCTGAGCCATCCGCTGATGCATAACTGTGAGTCAGTCACCCCCTAGTAGGTGAATTATTGTCCAGAGGGCAGGTAGGCTTCTAAACTACTTTATTGTACCAGTGCCAAGGCTGGGAAGAGCTCCTCTGCCATCAATCGAGAGGGATAGTGCTTCCTTGAAATCAGAGTTTGAGAACCCAAGCTCTATAGACCAGTGTCTGAAATCCTAGCCCCCAGTGATAAAAATGGGAAATAATGATCTCAAACACGAGCTCTTGTGAAGAGAGGGGCTGTGCATAAAACAAGATTTTTTGCTTTTTATAGAACATTGGTGTTGTTCTTGGAGCTTCGTGACTGCATTTCTAACGTTTTTGCACTACCATATGTGTGAAGGTTTCCAAGAAAACGGAGTCTGGCAAAGAGCGCAGCCCCCCTACTATGTAATGGCTTTTGTATAAACAAACTTTGTGGCGCCCATGGAACAGAGCAGACTCTGGTGTATACAAGGAGTCGACCGCCTCTCTCGTTCTGTTCTGCAGGGCCAGGCTAGCCTACAGCGTCGGGCATGTGCTCAACGACCTGTGTGCCTCCATGTGGTTCACGTACCTGCTGGTCTACCTCACCTTTGTGCGCCAGTTCAGGAGCACCCTCGCGGGGGCCTTGCTCCTGGTGGGGCAGGTGGCGGATGCCCTGGCCACTCCCTTCGTGGGCATAGAGTCCGACCGGGACGACGACTTCTGGCTGTGCCGCTACGGCCGACGCAAGACCTGGCATCTTGTTGGTGCGTGGACGCCCGGCATTTTCTGCATGCCCCCGTTGTGGGGTGGGCCTTTTTAGGGAAAGACCCCGAAGGAGCTTTCCTAGAATGATCTTAGAAGCACGTTCCGCCTTTTCCTAAAAGGCATGGGAAGGCCTGGAATAGGCTATTTTTAGGGAACAAACTAGAAGCAGCTTCTCTAAGGATTAGAGAGCCCATCCCACTTTCCCTTAAAAGGACTAAAGAGGCCCGTTGTGAGGTGGGCCCTTTTTAGGGGAAGACCCGGAAGTAGCTTTCCTAGAAAGATTTAAAAAGAACATCCCACATTTGCCTAAAAGCTATGGAAAGGCCTGGCATGCAGGGGCGGATCCAGAACTCCGTTTTTGGGGGGGGGTGGGGGGGGGGGGGTGGAAAATTTGTAAGGATACTATTCTCCCATTTTTTCTTGTGCACCGGGGGGGGTCCACCCATGGCAAATTGCCCTCTGAGAAGGGGGGAGGGTGGGGGGTCGACTTTGTTTGGGTGGGGCAGCTGCCCCCGTCGCCCCCCCCCCCCTTGGATCCGCCCCTGCTGACATGGGCCTTTTCAGGAAACAAAACAGAAGAAACTTCCCTAAAGGCTAAAATGCCTATACTGATTTTCCCTCTAAGGCACAAGGAAGCCCATTGGGAGATAGCCTTTTTTTAGGGTGGGGCTTTCTTATTTCAAGGGAATGACCTTAAAAAAGATTTCCTAGAATGACCTTGCAAGTACATCCCACTTTTCTCAAAAAGGCCTGGATTTGGCCTTTTTTACTGAACGAACTGGGGAACTCCCTAAGGACTAGAAGGCCCATCTTGCTTTTTACTGAAAGGCATAAAAAGGCCCTTTGTGAGATGGTCCTTTCCTGGAATGGTCTTTACAAGAATGTCCTAGAAAGTACTTCCCACTTTTCCTAAAAAGCCTGGAATGGTTTTTTTTAGGGAATAAACCAAAAGGAACTTCTGTGAGGGCCAAAAACCTATCCCATTTTTTCCTGAAAAGCATAAAGAGGAATGGTGTGAAATGAGCCCCTTTTTTACGGGTAAGACCTGGAAAGAACTTTCCTTAAATAACCTGGCCAGAAAGCACATCCCTCATCTCCCTGAAAATATGAAAAGGTCCATTCTGGAATGGACCTTTTCATATTTTCATAGGAAAAGATCCAGAAGAAACTTCCCTTGAAAGATTGGTCACATCTCCACTTCACCTAAATGGCCTAAAAGAGCCTATCATAGGTGTCCTTAAATGGTCTGTCCAACGCGAGGGTAAGGTTCTGAAAGGAACCTTTTGCTAAGGGGCCAGATCGGGGATCTGTTGCTGTCCCAAGGGCCGGAAAATAAGTATAAATAAGGAAAAACTAAAGAAATAATTCTAAATAAGCAATTATTAAATACAAAGTTGATAGAGCAAAAAGTAACAAAAGAAGAATGTAAGGTGGATGTATACACCTACTTTATTTTTAAATCTAGTATTTAGCTAAAAAACCAAAACATTATACAATATGCATAGACCCAGAAAACTCGCCAGGCATAAATCAAAGCGCATAGAAACTTGGTCATGTTCTAACGGGGTAGAAGACTAATTAGAATAGTACAACCGATGCTGACAATATGCAATGGTTACGACACAGGACACTACTAGTATGCGCAATATACATAGGAACACACAGGAATTTTAACATACGACATTACACAGGTATGAAACAGGGGGCTAAGAATGGTGATGGTGGTGAGGACAATGTTCAGTGAATACTTAATATTAGAGGGGACACGCTTACGGTAGGCAGTTTTCTTTCGTTTTGACAGCATACCTTTGCCTGTGAAGTTGGTGCGCGTTGTGGCACCATTTCTTTTAAACGCATTTATTTTTGTGCCAGTAGCAGCGGGCCATCTGGAAGCGGGCCTTCGGGCCGGATCCGGCTCCTGGGCCGGAGTTTAGAGACCCCCGCTCTAAGGTCTGACCTTATACTTTCTTTCTGAACGACCTAGAAAGGCTCACCATAAACTTCCGCAAATGGCGCACCCTACTTTGTGTAAAGTTCTGATACGCTCGCCCCACTTTTTTTCGAAATGGCCGAGAAAGGCTCATCGAGACTTTTCTAAAAGGCCCATTCTACTTTTGAGTAAAATTCGGAAATGCTTGCCCCACTCTCCTTGATGCGGACTAAAAAGGGCTCGTCTTAAACTTTCCTAGAAGGTGGATCCTACCTTTGTGTAAAATTCTTAAACACTTGCCCCACTTTTTTCTGAACGGCCCAAAAACAAAAGGTTTCTCGCAGACCTGCCTTAAAGGCACATCCTAGTATTGGGGGGTTCCAGGCACTGATAGACCTTTTAGGAAGATCCCGCAAGGCATCTTGTCAATTCCACATTGCACCTTACAACGCGTGGGGTTGTAGGGCTGTTTCAACGCATGCCCGGCCCAGCTCACATGTCCCGTGCATCCTTGAAGCTGCTCATTTCCTTCTCTCTTGCCTCTTTGAGTTGGAGAAACGGAGTGAACCCACCGCAGAGTCGATAGGTGCCCAGTTTGGTTATCGTCCTGCCTTTTTTACGTTCTGAAACTATGCTAAACAAACTTGAACTGCTCCCTTTATTTACGGACGCTCCTTTGCGCCCCGGACTGTCGTAGTGCATTGAAAAGACAGTGGCGTCATATATGTCCCAATTGATCTACAGCATGTCCCCAAAAAACATTTACGGTGTTTTTTTTTTGCAGCAAACATAAAGTATGCATCGCCGAACGCTCATTCCCTGCCCTAAGGTGGCGCTACGGTCTCAAACCAGACGCCAAAGTTTCTGCACAAAGCGTTATCTTATCCAAAAGTTATAAGTGATTTTGTGAAAATTTTTGTAAGAAAATGGTGCCCATTCTTGCTCGTTTTCGCTAACTGGCGCCAAAGAGCTCCGTGTTTTTGGGAACTCTGTCGGCCGCCTTTTTCCCATTGAAAATTTCAGAAAATCACTTTCAACTTTTGAATAAAAAATATTTAAAGGGGGGGGGGGGGGGGGAATATCCTGTATTTCTAGGAGTTTGAATCTGAAATGTCGTCCGACGTCCGTCTGTTCATCCGCAGGCACGCTGTGCGTGATGGGCACGTTCCCGTTCCTCTTCTCCAAGCCGCTCGGAGGAGAAGGCAGCACCCAGGAGGCAGAGTTTGTGTACTTTGCGGCCCTCATTGTCATCTTCCAGCTGGGCTGGGCCGCCACCCAGGTCTCTCACCTCTCCCTCATTCCGGACCTCACCCCCATACCGCACGAGCGCGTGGAGCTCAACGCACTCAGGCAGGTCCCCCCTTCTTGCATTTTTAACGCGGAACGGACCGTTTTTAAAAGTCTGTCCAGCTACCCTGTGCAAAGTTGAACCTGACGCTCAAACGGCCAACGTTTTCATGCCTGTCGGTTGACAAGCTCCACAGAGGAGCACCGTTTGAAAATGGTTCTTCTCTGTTGCCCGCACGTGATTCGGCACGGGCAGAAGGCGTTCCTAGCACCATTGGCAGCAGTGCCTTTTCAAGCCATGGAGAAAGACCATTTCTGAACGACGCCCTTTGTGCGTAAACTTCGTTTACCATAAAAACCGAAATAGAATCACTTTCCGTTGCAGAAAATGTGCGTCCAACGTTGCGCCAGTTCCACCGCTTTCGTCCACGAATGGGCTGACGGTGTAGTGGGCACCACCGCGCAGACCCGCCACGAGAGGGCTCCAGGCATTTTAGGGAAGTGGCTAGGTGGCGTAAGCTACCGCCCGATTTAAAGGGCTCAGTCGGATTCATATCCATCCATCCATTCAAGTTTGTCAACTGACTTTGATCTAGAAACGTTGTTAACGACGGCATTACGCATCTTCGCGCCAGGAAGAGTGAATGTCTTCGAAAGCACCGAGACGAGAACGGGGAATCGATCCCAACACGTTGGTCCTTGTCCATCGCCCTTGATTTATGAAGTCGAGGGTGCTTGATTTGGGGGGCCCGAGGTTGTTCTCCTAGCATCGCCGTTAGCGCATAAACGGTGGAGTTTTCGGAACTGCCACTGGATTGCTCTTGCTTTTGAAAAGGGTGTATATTCCGTCGTAACGGAAGCCATAGGTTGGTTCACACACTTGCATTTGGTTGCAATTGATTGCCCTACATGCTCTTGTAACTGCTTAGGACGAGAGAAGACGCTGGCGCCATCCATTGGGTAGCGCTGGAACATTTCCGGTGTGCACATATTTCGTGATTTTTTTCACACGTCACGGGCTTGGAACGATTCCGAGAACGTTACAAACGACCGTTCGTCCTAGATAGTGCATAGATTTGACCTCGCAAGGGCAGCAAAACATTGTCTAGTTCGGGACCAGAAGTGTTCCAAGTGCTACATGGACACTCTGCACATCGCGTCGCGGTGGAATGCAAGGAGTCGTGCAGCCGGTCGCAGTCAGACAGAAGCGTGTGAAACAGCCTCAGCTCAGACTTGGTGTTTCTTCGCCGTGTGCACATCACGTTACGTGACCTGACGTCGCGTGGCTCCCGGTGAAGTTGTGGTGTCGCGGCGCTTCCCGGTGTTGACGGTGTCAAGTGCCAAGTAGCGGTGTAATGTGACCTATGGCTTGACGCCGTGATGTCACATGACCGCGTCGCGTTATGCCACATGCTCCCCTCTGCCATTCCTCACCTTGTCAGGAAAGGTGCGGGCGTTGTCTTTTGGGTGGTGTTGCTTCGAGCAAGGATGGGCAAAATTCTTTCAAAAGTGCATTAAATTTACACTGTTAAGAAGGGTATTTAAATACGAGGTACAACGAGTGTATTTGATAATTTTCAGATGCTTTTTCAAATACATTTTGCTCTCAAAGATTGACATCCTAGATTTAAATTTATCCCAGGTAAAAAAAGACAGTGCCCAAACAAAGGGCGAAGTTTAAATGAATCAAGTGCTTAAAAAGAAAGTTGCAGCTTTAGAGATAAAAAAAAAAGTTTTCATAGGCAGATACAAACAATGTATTCACTGCAAGATTAATTTTACAAAGATAAGTTGAGGCATCAAAGCCTTTTCAAAGGACCATGGCCATTGATTCAACATGTTTATAGACTTAAATTGCACCTAAACAAATAATTGTATTCATCCCATTAATTCTACGTTCTGCTCTTCCTTTTTTCTTCAGCGTTTATTCTGTGCAAAGCACAGCAGGCTTCATGCTCTTTCCGTACGACTCAAAATTGTACTCGGGGCTGTATTTGAAATAATTAAAATTTAACTATTTAAATACAGTTCACAAATACATTCCCCAATATGTAACTAAATGTGAAATACAGAATACTCAAAGCGTTTAAAGTGCATACGCTGCACACATACCCGTATTTCAAGTACCGCCCGTCCCCGGCTTCGAGCAACCTGTCGCGATTTCCCGGCGCGTGAAACCGTGCCGCTCCCATCCCGTGGGCCGCGCGGTGACCCTCCTTTTCGGCGGTGTCACCCGTGCAGGTACTCGTTCACGGTGGCGAGCAACATCGTGGTGTACACGGTGACCTGGGTAGCCCTGGGCATTTCGGGCACGGACCACGAGGCGCAGGTGGGCCCACCGGACGCCCACGTGTTCCGCAACATCGTGCTCATCGTGGTGGGCATCGGGTCGCTCTTCTCGCTCGTCTTCCACGTTGTGGTGCGGGACCCCTCGAGGGGCGGCCGGCGGGAGAGCGCCTCCCGCCACCGGGACGAGTACGTCCGCTCCCTCGTGCTGGAGCGCTCGCAGCACCTGCGCTGGAGGGACTGGTTCCGGGAGCGCCGCTTCTACATGGTGAGCGGCGCCGTGGCGCGCAACGACCCGGACCCTCGGTCTTGGCTGGCGTCGTTAGTGGGGGGGCGAGGTTACGCACCATGGTGCACGGTGGGTGTCTTCGACTGGTGCGTTAAGGCGAGAGCCTTATATGTCTCATCGTTCAGTCGACCTTCAAAGTGCTTGAGCGAAAACACGTCGGCGACACAAAAGTTACCAAAATGTTAACGTGACCACTGAGGTGAGTTGGAGGCAGTGAAATTAAGAAGGATGACAAAGTGAATTAAGAGGAATCAAAGTGAATTAAGAGGAATCAAAGTGAATTAAGAGGAATCAAAGTGAATTTAGAGGAATTAAAGAGAAGTAAGAGTGATCAATGCTAATTAAAAAGGATGACAAAGCTAATTAAGGGGAATTAAAGTGAATTAAGTGGATGACTAAGCGAATCAAGATGATGACTCAGCATATTGAGAAGGATGACTCAGCACGTTGACAAGGATGACTCAGCACATTAAGAGGGGTGTCTGTTTTTAACGCATCTGTGCGTTGGCTTTCTCCCTCAAGTCGTCTTAGGGATAAGACATAGGAGACCCTGTGAATTTTTAATTTATGCGGAGTGCAAGTCGTCTGGCTCTTGCACTAAGGTTGCGGTGGCGTCGGAATGATGCCGAGCTCCGATTGGTTTTGATTGACAGGATAGAGGGTAGACCTCAATGCTAGATGCCTCCAGGTGTACCCACTATTTTTTTTGAACGGCCAGTAAGAGCTCGGCGTTTGGACATTGTTGCGACCCCTGTGCAAGAAGTAGACAAACTTGTGCTTCACATTTATTTAGTATATACCTCGAGGATTTGTTTCAGGGTATTACGCGAGTGAGGGTCTACGTAAATATGATTTCTAAATTCTGTAGCAAATGTGACGAAAACGGTAAGAATGAAGCACGTACAGGCATGCCATTTAGGCAATAATAAAGTTACGGTTCCTATTATGATCTTGAGTCTGGTTGCTACGATTAGTAGTGAAGACGGTGAGTGTTTCTCAAAATTTGGCAGTTTCTGTAATGACCTTACTTGATGGGAGATTCCATTCGTTAATCGCAAGCTGTAGCGTGGAATCTGCAAAAAGAGGAAGACAAAGTGCGAATGAATTCGATTTTACGTGCGTCATCAATTCTGGCGGAAGCGTCCTATCTCGCCCATGCGTCGAAAGCGGTCCCGAAACGACAACAGATTGTTAAATGTTGAAGGTACAGTAAAACCTCGTTATAACAAAGTTGAAGGAGCGGTCGTAATTATTTTGTTATAACCATTAGTTTGTTATAGCCAGTGTCCATTTCTTCCCACTATTAGCAAGCAAGGGAAATTATGATTGCTTTGTTATATCCATTAGTTTGTTATATCCCATTTTGTTATAACGAGGTTTTACTGTATGCGAAGCGCAAGTTCATCTGCTTCTTGTGCAGGGGTTGCGGTGACGTCTGAGCGTCGAGCCCTGATTGCTTCTGATTGAAAGACAGTAGATAGACCTCAAGGCAGCTTGCTTTAAGGTCTACCCACTATCCTTCAACCAGAGCCAATCAGAGCTCGGTGTTCTGATGTCATCATAACCCCTGCGCAAGAAGCAGACGACTTGCTCTCTGCATAGTCCGTAGATGATACCCGAATCGGTTTAGTCTGCCTCGCACGCCACTTTCGTCTTCCTCGCAGCCGACACACAAGTGACTGATCGACGTCTGTGGGTGGGCTGCCTTCGAGGACGTTGTGCCGGGCATAAGGAGGAGGTGGCTCTACTCGGAATGCGAGGGCTATATAGAACGATACAAATTTAAGCTTGATATGTTCAGTTTCAGATATTGTTTTTGGTCTCGGTAAATTGACTAATGCATTTGCTTAACAAATGAAATGACAAACCTAACATTGCTCGTAGGCTTTATTGATGCTGTCGGTTCTGCCACGTGTAAGTGCTCTTGAGTGCGGTATATTATGCTAACTCATGTTTACATGTAACCACATGTGCTATTTATGTAATACTATTTATTTTTTTGCCCAAACGTTGAGATGGACATTACATAAGAAAGAAGAAAACTTTTCGAGGTGAGACAAAAAAAATTAAAAACGAGAGAATCACTAACATATTGCTAACTGGCTAACATATGTGAGCTGCAGTATCTTTTTAAGTAAATGAGTGAAAAAATATAGCTGTGGTTTTGAAGAATAGGTGTTCCACGTTCTTTGTCATGGGCAGCGGCGTAATTATTGAAGTCATCTTAGGAAGTTTCTCGTCACGTAGCAAGAGGGCAAGAAGATGGCGACAGCTGTTGTCTTGGTTTTTTCCTTCCAGGTCGGCCTGTTGTACATGTCGACTCGTCTCTACGTGAACCTCAGCCAGGTCTTCATTCCCATGTACATTCAAGAAACTCTCAAGCTTCATAGGGTGAGCTACATTACGTATTTCGCCGCTGTCATTTTCTCAGCGTGTCATAATCGGGCTCTTGTTGGCTTCAGCAAAGAATACCACCGATCGAAACAAATCATTACGTGATGCCATCATTCTTGTTCATTCAGCTTTTGGTTGCCTGTTAGTAATCTGTGTGGCAACACTACAGCAGTTTTAATGGCAGTCCTTCAATACCGAAAAAAAAATTGCAAAAACCGGCGACGGTTTGTTTGCGCTGAGTGCGTCGTGGAGTGTACTCTGTGTAATCGATGAGCTTCTCCAAGTCGCTAAACCCCAAGGGAGTAGTGTGAACACTCGTACCGCAAGCTTATTAACAGTTGCCGACTGGGAGCCCTTGTAAGCTTTTTAATTTGATTTCGTACGTCTGTCGGCACATTTACACGCGTTGCTTACTGAAACTGTTTTCTTTTTGTTGCAGCAAAGCATAGCCATCATTCCTCTAGTGATGTATGTGAGCGGATTCATTTCATCACTTCCAGTCAAGTATGCAACGCGATTTATAGGAACAAAGGTGAGGTTCTTTTCCTTCGAATACTGCATGGTTTTTTTGCAACTGACGAAAGCATTGTGCGAGGCAGCAGACGTGGGTGTCTTGGCGTCGCCGCATGCCGCTGTTGCGCCCGTCGCGAGATGCCGAAAGACGCGCTTGAGGGCGGCGCCGACGCACCTTGCCGTTCATCGCAGAGAGAGCTGTAAGGTACAGTAATCTCTCGTTGTAACGAAGTAAAAGCAATGGCAAAAAAGTTTGATATAAGCGGTCATTCGATAAAAGTGATAGAGCCAAACAAACGGCGCCAGCATCCTCGAAGGAGGACGGGAACACTGCGGAACACTCTGACCGTATATTTAATCAAACAAACCTGGGCTATGAACATTTTGCAGCAGCTTTATCTAGTAAAAAATAACTAAGTGGAGTTTGCAGATAATTTTATGTGGGCATCAGTTCTCGAGGTGCTCCAGGCATTGCAAGAACACTGTCACCGCCACTGCATTCCACTCCACTCTGTTTCGAAACAACCGTAAAATTTTTCGTGGCCCCACAGTCGTCGGCGTTTCTCGAGGTGCCTCTCCGACGTCGCTTCGCGTTTACCATGGCCGTATGCAAGGTGTACGATCGCAGCATCCGTGGCAGCAGCAACAACGGCAACATCCTCATTGACAAGCGCGAATGAATCGAAGTTATCCTCGGTGGCCTTGCCAACATGTTTTCACACACTCCCGTAGAGATCATTGCAGCTATGGAAATAGTGCGCCGGCTCGGCAAGCATGCTCGCGAGAAAAAATCTGACGTGCACGAAGCAGGTGGCAATCTTTCATCTTCGTGTCGCGGGCGCGCTTTCTCCTTTATGAGAAACTTCTTGAACCCTTCTAATATGCCTTGCTTGTTCCGCAAAATGGTGGACAGTGTTGAACAGCCGATGTTGGAATGTCGCAAATTTTTTGGCGATTTCGGACTTGGGCGGGCCACTTTTGTCAACTTCGCAGATCTGAGCGACTTTCGGTGAACACTCCCAATCTCCCATACAACGCACCTGTGCGTGTAGTACGCCGCAAGCACACCTGCGCAGGTGCACTCTTTGGGGGCTCCTGAAGGGTTGATCTCCTCTGGGCTCTATTGCTCCCTTAACTAGATTCCGACAGAAGTCTGGCAGCGTCGGTCGCGAACGCCGTGAGTAGCGTCGGAACGTTGACGTTACTCCTGCTGCTCTGTGCCCGCATGCCCGCGTCAGCGCATCAGCATCGGAAGTAGCGCTCTACCGTCCGCCAGCTGTTTACTCCGTTTTCCCAGTTTGCCCCGGTGGAGAAGGGGGAGGAAACGCAAGGGTCTCCGTTTGCCTCCACATAGGCTTGCATATGCTTTCGGCACCTCAGCCTTTGTAATAAGCGTGGTCAGCTGCCGATACACATTGAATAATCCGGTTAGAAATGCGTGCATTTCGGTCGAAACCACATTGAACTTAATAAAAGCAGTAATTCGAAAAAAGCAATTTTGTTATAACGAGGGATTGCTGTACGTGCTCGTGAGAACAAAGCCAATTGCATCGAAGTCTTCGCCGCGACTGTACCTCGGGTTAGCACAGGACTGCTCGATTTTTAGTGTTACCACGTCCTCCTGTACCGTTTCTTTTTTAAAAAGTTTTTCGCAGCTGTTGAAGTCTTCTTAAAGCGTCGTCCCTTCCGCCTCTTCTGTTTTTCTTTTCAACGCGGAATGCGTGTGTGGGGGGGGGGGGCTGGGATCCCCATGGAAAGTGTGGTGGAAAGCCACAGAGGCCGTCACGAAATATGGGACGCATACTTCGGAGGACAATCTGTACGAGAGATTGCATAATTGAGACTAAACAATAATTAATTGAAAAGAAAGAACAAAATTCTAATAGCGACCTGATGGGAGTCTAGCCCACGACCCCAAGATTGCAAGCCAGGTGCCAAAAGGGAGACTTGCAGAACGGAAAATAGCCGTTTACTCGCCGTCTGAACGCAAGTGCCGAACGCTGGACGCCGGTGTTTGCGTTTGGACCGTGAGTAGGGACAAAGGCAGCTTGCTTTGCGTCTGCCCACAAATCATTCCAGCCAGAGCTCGGTGCTCCGGTAACCTTGCATGCTCTCGTGTTCTCCTTTCCCCCAGTTTCTTTCGGTATAACCAAAGGAAACTAAAAGAAAAAAAAGTAACCAGAAAGTCCGTCACAAACCCCCCGAAATGGCCGCGAAAACGCGTCCTGTGCATATACCGGCTCTATACCCAGGATTGAGATAATTTTTTTTTTGTTGTCCCCGTCCAGTACGTTCTTGGCAGCTGGCTAAATTCCAGTGGGGCACGCAGTGCCCCATAATCTGAGTTAGCTTCCATAGGAACGCAATTCTTCGTTCAATCCACTGGAAACAAGCGACGTCTCGAAGGTCCTTGCCGTGGGCAGTCGAGTTGAGAGCCGCCGCGAGTTGTGCTCAGCATGGGAACTCTCTTGTCTCCCCGCCGCAGAATGTTTATCTTCTGGGCGCCGTGCTGGGCGTGGCCGGTTCCGTCTGGATCATGTTGGGCCAGTCCACGCCGGGCTACACCCGGTACCAGATCTACGGCATCGCCGTCCTGGTGGGCATGGCGGGAACGACGGTGCTACTCGCCAGCCTTGCCATCACCAACGAGCTCATTGGTGGACACACGGTGCGTCGAGGGAAAACCCTCCTTTCCTTCTAATGAATATTTTAAATGCGTAGCGTTCAAAGGGCGAGCCCTTTAATGCCTTCGTGCGCGTGGAGCGTACTTTCAACGGTTTCGTCACACTTGACGTCGTCAGCATTAAGGTGCACCGTGAAATCATCGGCGTGACTGTCGTCGCACGAGACCGTGACTTCGTGTGTGACTGTGAAATAACGTCATGTGACTGTGCTTTCCTGACGGTAATGTGACATCGCGCGATGACGATGGCACATCCCACAGGGTAAGAGCCCCTTTGGGATGTGCCAAAAAGACGGGAAGTTTTTTTTGTTCTTTTTTTTCTATTTTGGTTGTTGATTATTCATGATTGCTTGTCGTGCAAACTGGCGTGCTGTGCTCTCTTTCATGGTGGGCAGAGGGACTGCCCACCGGGAAAGAGAGTCTACCTCTACGCATCAGTTCGGGCGATTTGTACCAGGTGGAGCCGGCGAGTGGGCTGCACTTCAGAGTATGACGACACTTTGTCCGTCTTGTAGCCTGAAATGGTCGTCGCCAGATATCCCGAGCTCCGTCTGAAATCGCAGGAAACGCTTTTTCATCTTCCAGAAATAGTAAAGCAGTTTGTGTTGGAGCACAACAATATTGCCCGAGCTAGCTCGAGAAGTTGCATCTTTGATTCCTACAGCACCCACAAGACGTTCCGGGAATGGAGACTTGATGCTCTGAATGTGCCTTATTTAATTGCCGTAGTATGAGTTGTGACAATGACATTGTCTGTTCCTTTGACAACTTGGAAGGCAATTGAATAAATCGAGATGTTCCTTTGCCTTTCAAGCGGTACGGTATACACGGCATAGTCTAAAGCTGCCGATGTACGCTTTCAGGGAGATAAATTTGAATTGATGTGTTTGGGCGAGTGGCAATGTTTTTTCCTGCTTCATTTTCAGCCTGCTAGTCCTGTAGACGCTAACATACCAATAAAATATATTTTATTTTTTATTTTTATAATGTAGTTTTGTTGGTTGAAAGTTTACTGAGAATGAAATATCATTGCAGACGAGCGGTGCCTTTGTGTTTGGAGCCATGAGCTTCCTGGACAAGATGGCCAATGGAATTGTTGTCATCACCATTCAGGATCTTCATTCCTGCAGGTAGGAAATTAGTATCTTCTACTTCTGCTTTTCAATACTCTGTTAGCATATGCCATTTTTTAAATGTCATGTTCATCAGCACTATTTAGAGTGTATCATCATCAACATTTGCGTGTGCAACTTAAAAAAAAAAAAAAATTGTGAAAATGTACTGTTTTTTATAATTGCCTAAAGAAATATTGCAGATAGATAGAGCTTGAGCAGACAGTATGAATTTCTTTACAATGCCTCTAATGCAAGTCAGAAATTGCTGCTGTAACTATGCACTTTTGATATCTGTTGGCTTTTTTTCCTGAAAGCATATAAATGCAAAGTGACTCATTAGTTGACAGATTTTTGTTTTTTCTTTGTGGGAAAAAAAGTAAAGGAATAAATTTTTTTTTTATGAGAGCATTTTTTTACATGCAAGGGAAACCGCTTAAGCAAGGGAAGCTTTTGTTTACAAAGTTTCTAAAATAATCTTAAAGGACACATGCAAGGGAAAACATAAAATATTTTCGAGAAAAGCTGACATATTCCTGCTGCCGACAGAATTTAAAGAGGAAAAGCTCCATTTATCAATCTAAGCTCAAGTGCAATGTGATTTTTGTGTTTTAATGTAGTAGTATCTAGATTTGCATACATGGCATGTCTAGAAATGAAGCGATACAAGGCCCATTAGATTTACATGCACTACAAATTCATTTCGCGTCGTAAATATAGCTCTGGAAATGTTCTTTTTCGTTTTAAATTTGTTTTATGACATTCTTTTTCCATCAAGGCTGTTTAAAAAAAATTATTTTTTTCCTTTGCATGTGTCCTTTAACTGGTAAGGAGTGATGTGCTTGTTGCATTTCGTTCCACAGGTGATAGTGTCAGAGTTTTTCTAAATAACAGGTTTAGAGATGTCAATTAATAACTTCTATGTAGGAATCGAAGAAGCAATTCTATACGAATTGGCACTGCTCTGGTACTGCTACTACTACTTAGAGGAACAAAGGACAACCATACCAGTGCATCGCACCTTCGGAAGAGAAATCCTAGTTTAAAGGGGTGATGCAACATTTTTAATGTGAAAGCATTAACTGGTCCCATGGAGCGAGCCGACGTCATCAGTTTGAAGCGTGCCAAAAGGCACCTTAAATCTTTTCTTCAAGTGAAGCCAGCTCCAAGCTATGAAATGAAACCATGCGAAGAGCCTAGACAACGGCATTTATTTTCCCCGATCCCAAAGGAGTGGAGTAAAGCTGATGAATTTCGCCTTCAGTCCCATTGGCTGGCACGCGTTGACGAGGCTCCCACTGGCCGCTGCGCTTGTCGGTTTCAACGACCACCGCCCCATGGCGCTGCGAGGAGAGCTGGTAGAGCGCTTGCACGGTCGGCACAAATACAGTGTAGACCGCATATAACGTATGTCGCGGGAGTCGCGAAAATCCGCGCTATAAGCGGTACCGCGCTATAACCATAACATCAATTTTTCAGGCCAAAATACATGCCATGAGACAACTTACCTTTTTATAAAAGAATTTATTTTATGTTAGATGAAAAATAAAGCTTAGTTTGAGGAGTCTTTATTTCACCAGGCTAGTACGCTTTTCTGTCAAGTGTATCACACATTTTGAAAGAAATGAGCGACTTTTGCCTGGCGCAGCCTTTTAACGGCGTCACGGGTTGCGAACGGACGTTGCGAGCGTTCAGGATTGCTAACCCTTATCACTTTTCTCCGGTGATGAAAACGCGTGAAAATTCGCATCCTTTATACGGTACGCGCCAGTAATACCTTCAACTTGAGCACAGGGATCCAAATAAGAAATTCGGGCGATGTTCGAAAACACAAATGCTTAGAAATCACCACTGTAGTCGAAGTAAACAAACACAACGACACGGGCGTTTCTGCCGTGTTGAGAGTGCTGCCACGACATCGCCGCACGAGTAGGTGGATCTTCCCTTCTCGTACTTGCTAAGTTATCATAGCGACACACGATGGAAATTCACAGTCAAGGATAGCGCTTTTACGCGGAACGACGAGCTTCCACCGCGCCGTCTACGTCGACGATCACAACCGACGCCATGTTTGCAGATAGAAGCCGGCCCGCGACCGGCAAGCAACGCACGCGAACACTTCCCCTTGACCTGCGATTGGTCTGTCATTGCAGTTGTTTCCAATGCAGCGGCAGGACGCACGCACGTGAACGACACGTGCATGCATCCCTCCGTCGCTATGGCAACTGAAGCCTCTCTCTTCACTTCTCCCCGTTTCTTCAAGCAACCTCCTTGCCCCGCGAGTGCCGCTTGCGGCTCGCGCCGTTATCTAGTGTCGCACAGGGAAGTGTGCTCGCTGCGGCGGTCGGTCGGCGGGCTGTTCCAGAAACTGCACTATAACCGGTATTTCCCTTTGCGCGCCTGCATTTTAAGCGGTATGTAATTACATGGAGTTCTATGGGAGGCGAACCGGTGGTTTAAGAAAGCCGCGTTATACCCGGTCCTGCACTCTAGGTGGTTACGTTGTAAGAGGTCTATACTGTATGCCACAAACGAAACACGGGAGTGGAAAAACGGCACGGATGCTTTTGCATTCACAACTCCTAAGAAGTGCTTAGGTGTACCTCAAGCCTTTTTGTACTCCACTTAGCATTATCTTTTGACATCCATTGTATATGGAATGCGGGTTTGTTTTTTTTTCTCCTCACAGTGGCGGTCGCAGAAAAAAATAAAAAATAAACAAGCAGTGTTGTCCCCATCAACTCGCACCCAGAACAAGCGGCCACGCGACGTGGAGCCCATTTTATGCCATCATCGTTTGTCATAGCCACACGGCGTGCCGAGTCCCGCGTGTCGGTTATGTTCGGCTGTTCCCGTCACCGCGGCAATTGGGCTGCGAGCCACTACCCGTATGCGTGTCGAGGCAATTATTGTCACGAGCCCAAATGGAATGCACACGCAGTACTCGTGCTCACCGTACAAGCCGCATGTATCGTCACCGCGGAGGTCGCAAAGCTTGACGGTGAAATCCTGAAGATTGCATTGTTGACAACGCCAAACAATTCGATCCCCACGACTTTGTCACCAAGTTTTGCGAAGGAGAGACCGAACGAAAAGGTCAGCTTTCATTCGTGAAATCGCTCGACGTCAAAGAATCTTCTTAGTCGGCTGCGTCTCGTGCGAGCACGCTTGGGTCCCAGTAGTGCCAGTAATGAGCTCTCATCTCGTGAGAAACGTTCTGATTCAATCTCGTTGCACGGCCCCTTTAACGTGAACGGCGCTTGCGTGTGTTGCAGGACGTGCGAGGAGACGGAGACGAACTACTACCAGTATGTGGTGGCACTTGCGTGCGGCGGTGCCGCCGCGTTTGGAATTATTCTCGCCTTGTTCCTTCTCTGGGACAAGGACGCTCCTGCGAGTCGTCTGTCCGGAAACGGTGAGTCGGCAACTCTGTGATACCGGTGGTTCGGAAATGACTCGAACTGCATTCTGTCGTGGCCTCTCGGCCTCTCTGGTCTGTGGCTTGCAATAGGGACAAAACCAGCTGAACAGGTGTAAAGAGAAAGGCGGGGAAACCAAGGGAAATCGGAAATCGCTGATTTCTCAGTTTCCTCGCTTTTATCCACGTTTAAAGGAGCCATGAAACGATTATAATGCAAATCATTGTAGAAAGGTAGAGCACTCCACTGGAACACTGGAAAATGGAGAGGTCTCTGGTTCGATACCCGAACCAGGCGGATTTTTTCGGTCGTGCACCAGTCGCCTAGCTGTGTTTGGAGATTTGTGTTTGTCCTTTGTCCCTCTTGTTCCCCTTCTCCAGGGATTATTGTCGTCATGAAACAATTTTTCTACTTTTGCTAAACACTACTCGGAATCGCTTCCTAACGTTAATCGCTATCGACAATACTCGTTCATGCAAATTTAAGAAAGAACTTGTAAAATGAGCGCACAGATTAGCGTAATGCTACAGGCAGAGCCGGCTGAACTCGTAACAAGTTGAGGCGTCCTCGATATCGTCATTGTTTAATTTTTGTCGGCGGTGGAATGCTTTGGTTCAATTATGAGTCGACCCCCCCCTCCCCTGTTTTAAATTTTTAAAAATTAAAAAATGGTTAAACCCACATTCGTTTGTGTAAATATGGTACTTGCTAATAAATGTACTCGAATTGTTACGAAATTACATCCTGCTGGAAAGTGCAGAATAATTTGTTCTTGGCACTATCTTTTTTTTTTCCAGTAATATTTTTGAATTTAGAGATAACAAATAGCGTGTTGAGGAGAAAAAAGCTGGGGTATTTCAAAAGTTTCTTTAATTTGGATAGCTCACAAGACAGCCGGAGCTCCCTTTCAGAACCCCCAAAATTTCCTTCTCCACTTTAAATACGCTTCTATGTCTCACCTTTTTGCAGTGTCCACAAACTCCCTGGTGGCCGACCACAGTCAGGTGCGCTGCGTAAGTCCGGCCGATCTGGAAGACGCCGTCGACCAGTCGCCGTCCTCCCCACTCCTGGGACCCTCTCCTGTGCTCTAGTTCTGTTTCCGAGCCTTGGGCGAGAGCCATTGCATGACCAATCGCGATGAGTTGGGTTGCCCATCGTGCCACCCACGTGCCGATCTATTCTGCCAACCCCGTGACCATGTCAATGTCACTGCAATGCCTGGGTCAACATGTGAGAGTTTTGGTAGATTGTTCTTGGAGGGTACGGTTGTCCGAATGATCTACAAAAACTCCTTATTACTGCGCTGCCGCTTATGTGGTACTAGCGTTTGCAATGACGCCAAAAAGATTGCATTGCGTCGCAGAGTGCGTCTACCTTCGGCAATACGGCTCGATTGTCGGAATGTTTCCTGGCATCGGTAGGGTGGGGCACATGGCTCGCAGAAACTTGGCTGCTGCCTTGTATGTAATATATTGTATTATTATAATATTCTGATTTACAAACTATTGGGAACATTCTCAGCACCGGTTGTTGTTGATAACATGAATCGTTCGAGGTGCCTTGAGGAGCCTTTAATGCCGTTGCAACCTAGTGACTGTGTTGGTGTGGTCCAGTGTACCTCTGCAGACAGTAAGAGAGGGATGACTGATGTCTCAATGACAGAGCCGATCAACAGCACTCTTGTACAATCTCGTTTACTAAGTGTGTCGACATACTATTGGTACTTTGTATTTTTATGGTGCTTATACGTTGTTTAGTACAATATGCTGGTAATACCGAATCACCATTGACACGATAGTACTTCGAACCCATTTATACATCAATTATTTTTGCATGTTTCTACATTCCACCGGTGCCATGTGCACCATGTTATGACATTGAGTCATGCCTTGGGCTTCCATGGAACACGGCTCTAATACGGTCAAGCCGACTTCTGGTACCAAGAACCTCAGTATCGCAAACGTTGTTCTGCCGTGTCAGTTGTATTTCGTAAATGGATCGGCAGCCGTGTCGAGAATGTCTTTACGAACTTGGGATTATGGGAAGGTTGCTTGTAACATGTAATGGGGTTCTACTGTAGTGTTTTTTTGTTTTTTTCATTCATCAGATTGTGTTTCTTTAAACAGGAGCGCAATCTCCCGCTTTCATTAGGAGAATGTTCTGGAACATCGAACATTGCAGCTATATATATGTATAATTGTCACTCTGATGACTAGAGTTCAAAGCAAGAGAGTTTCATATTGTCAAAGGATTGTTTTCTTGCCACTACGGCCACTGACAGGACGAGGGTGGCGGGGAGGTCTTTCAGTTTTCCCCGCCCCCCTTTTCGTTGAGAGAATTTTCCGGAGCATCGAACACGGCAAACTAATCATAGACGCTTTGCACGCGCGCCAGATTACAGCCGCCATTGCTGACCTTCTCTCGTCTCATCGAGATGCCGAGCCAATGGAGCGGGCGTTGACGAGCCTCCACAAAGGTCTATGCTGGAAAGAACGACACGGTAGAATCTGAAATGGCAATGACGTGTCCTGCTGTGGTAATAATGGAAGTAAAGCGAACGGAGTAAGAGGAAACGGGAACTGAAGGTCGGTTATGGCTGCGCCCATGCGCCTCTGCTACAAAGCGTCTATGTCGGGTGTTCCAAGCAGACCTTCCGCCCTAAAACGAGCCGGAGAAATGGGTGCCTGCACGCTGGGAGCTCGAACCTTCGGCATATGTTCACGGAGCAGGTCAGTTTTACCGTGTGAAACTTCAAGCTGCAGTTCTCGTTGTGTAAGAAAGGAGAGCAACAAGCTTGCCAAAAGTCAAGGTTGGGCGCATTCGCAGACGACCGAGCTAGCGACACTTTTTGCTTGTGGCACCATCTCCTGATAGGCGCAGCAAGCAGACAACAGAGTGAGTCGTCTGCTCGCTGCGACCATCGAGAGTTGGGGCGCCACGAGTAAAGGGCGTTGCCAAATCGCTCGTCTGCAAACGTGCCCAACCTTAGCTTTTGGCAGGTTTTTCACTCAAATTTTTTACGGGAAGGTAACGGCGCCTTGAAATTTCACGCAGTGAAACTGATCTGCTCAGTGCTCATTCGGCGAAAGTTTGAGCTTTCTATGCGCAGGCGCCGATTTTTTCGGCTTGTTTTGCAGCAGAAAGTCTGCTTGGGACGCCCTAATGTATAGACCATTTTCACAAGGGCGCCGTCATTTTGAATTGTCGTCACTTCCAGTGTGGGCGAAAACATTGTTTTGCCGTTGCCACACCAATAGAAGACGTTTAGAATGTAAGTGTAATTGTCGCACATTCTCGTTTTGCCTCCCCTCTATTTGTTTACTATTTACAGGTAGAAACATTTTATCGTTTTTTCGTCGTTCATATCGGATAGACCTATTAGGTGACTGGGGACGAGAGTGCACAAAATAGGTCTATATGCATCTTTTGAAGCTCTGGAAAGCAGACAACCTATGGAAAGCTAATGGTTTGTTGTTTTCAGGCTGCACCCTTGTTTCGTGCTTATCAGTTTTTTTTTTTTTTTTTCATTCCCAGGGAGACAAATGTTCCGTAAGCATTTTAGCATACACGGGATGTTTCTAATTCTAACTCGTACAAAGACTTGTAAGGATCAATGTTGCTTGTTTAAAAGATTTTTCCAGGTGTAGATTAGTGAACATTCAAAATCGTAATCTCATTACTGAAGTTGCAGTGTTGATTACTGTTCATATTGGATCTTTTTTATTTTTTTCATCTCCTCACAAGCACTTTATGTGACTGCCTGTTCCTGTTAAAGGCTTGGATATCTTTTTTTTTCCTCACACACCGCGTATAGGGTTTGAACAGGTCCAAGACTTGTTTTGAACGAGCCCGAACTGTCCTTTCCATTGACCTTCATTGCGAGGCAACGCACTAACTCTGTTCTTGAAACCATCTTTTTAGCGTATTTAGTACAAACCTTTGTTGCTAGCATTCCACGGTACCTTCGCACCAATCACCAGAAAACAACATTGATCGAAACACTGAAATCGCCTTGCTTCGCGAATGCCTTTTAATTTTTGTGCCTGCGCCATGTTGTCAGGGCACCTTCTATGCACCGTTCACCCGTAAGCCGTTGGCTTGGGGGTTAACGTAGCATATTTTTGGAGCATTACCATGTCTGTGTTTGCATTCTAGTCTTGTCCGTGTAGAGTTGTCTACGACGCATTCTACATTTTGGTGCTCGTCCTATCGCTACTCAAGTGTCTGACATTGTTTGAGTTGAGGGTGTGCGCACCACTTACGACACTTCTTGCCTCTTGGCAGATCCTTAAAAGTGACATTGTTTACGTGAAAACATACATTTCTGGTGCTGCCTTTGCCGGCGGATTTAGTGCATCTTTTTTGCCTGATCCGAGATTATTTTCGCTCCGATATTTGGTCGAGATGTACCACCAACTTGACGCTGCCAATTCGTGGAATCCGTGACGTATCTGCCAAATTGCTGTCTAAACCTTCGGGGCTCATTTCCATCTAAAAGTTTTGGCCTACCTTTTAACAGCATTAGTTTCTTTGGGAAAAAGTCAGTCCCAGATACTGGTGGCGAGACTTGTGAGCGTGCGAGTTGTGGTTCAACGACCGATACCGACTCAACACCTCCTGCCGAAATGCATCGTGCGTTATGAATGCAAGCGAGGTTGTGGTGGGTAGTATTCAATTGGCAAATCGTCTAGTTGTGATTTGTGACAGGTAGGAATGGATAAAAGAAAATATTTGTGGTATTGAATTGCATATGGCTTGTTTGGTCCCCTAAGGGCTCTTCTGGGGCTAATTTGCTCGCACAAAAATATTTGAGGTTGCCACAGTACAGAAGTTGAATGCTCAGAATTGTACAACATAGGGTCACTCATCACTGATTACAATACGTGAAGGTTTTTTGTTTTGCTTATGCTCGAGCACAAAATGAGGGACTTGCAATTTTTGCTTTTTTGTTTCAGAATATTTTTGCTTTTTCGATCTGTAGTTCTGTGACTGGATAATTATCGAAGAACGAAATTGTGAGATTGGTCTTGCACAGAGGTGTCGGCACCCAATATGACGGACCAATATACTATTCAAATGTGGGAAAATATATTGCTGACTTGAGTTTGATGCCGGCTTCAGTTCATTAATGCAGTCATGTCTCGTTGATATGGACCCCCAATAATACGGATATCCCATCGCATAGACAACACTTTCAAGAACAAACTGGGTAAATATGTGTCCTTTTCTAGTTATTATGGACAGCTCAAATCATGAACGAATTTTGGGGAGGGAACGGAGGTGTCCATATTAACGCGACACGGCTGTCGAATGTCACATCTGCACATTAAAAAAATTATTTGGGAGTGGTAGGGCCGAGGCAAAAAATATGCATGTCAGGCAATGGGGTTTGCATACATCTTTGCAAACTCGCGTGTTCGACGTCACTTCACGGCGGTGACGCCCTTCCGGAGTTTCACGTGCAAGTTGCTGGCATTTGGCACGCACCAGTGGTTTGAGTTTGTTTGTTTTGAGTGCGGCGGAAGTTTTGAGCACGGCGGAAGCTAAGAGAGCGGGCTTTTCGCTTTGACCGGGTATGCTGAGCATGCTCCCTCGTGCGGTGCATGAGTGTAGTTCAGGGCACCGTCATCGCGCTTATATAGGGGCTTTTACTAATTTTTTTTCCAAGTTCTGATGAATTGGGTAAAAAAAAAAACAAAAAAAACAACAATAGTGCCAATTTTTTTTTTTATTTATAAAAAGAGTAGAGCTAAATTATTGTCAATGTTCTGTGCATAATAAAAAAGAAATTAATATGTTTTTTAATTCGGATTATTAAATTGTGACAGAAAACAAAAACAAAAGAAGACAGCCCTTGTAGATTTGGCTTTGTTTGGACTTACAGTGAAATACTGCCCGGAGTTTTGACTCGACTGCACACTTGCTTGTCGACATTTAGTTAATGTATAGCCTGTCTCTTCTATGATAGTTCTTTTTTTTTTTTGTGTGCTTGACAAGGGTTTGTTTAGAAGAAAGTTCTTTTTCTAAAAACGAGAATAACAGCAGCATTCTGTTGACATATAAGAATGGTCCTTTCGATCAGTAACCATTCAACAGCATGTCACGTTTATAAATTTTGTTTTTAGATTAATCTGGATAGTCAAACCTCACCAAGGTTTGAACAGATAGGATCAATATTTCGTTTTTAGGCAGTATGCTTTGAAAGTTTAGGGCAGTACTTGTTGCCAAAAGTTCGTGCCACCATCTATGCATCAAGATGACACTCAAATTGGTGTTGCTTAATTGAGTGAATTTTATATTGGTCACATTACATTTTTTAGCTTCTAATGTATATTTATATTTGGGCATGTTACATGCTACAAACATAAATTGTACCCCGTTCTATGACCAGCCTTCGTGAGTTATAACTTGTAAAGAAAAACGAAACTAAGGAGTGTTTAGAAACATGACAATCTGTATGGAGAGTGCCTACTGCATTCGAAAGATGTATGTTCCACTATAAGAGCCATTTTAAGTGAGGGTACATAATGTACAAAAAGAAACTGGGAACACGGACTGTGATTTCTTCCTTTTTATTGTATTATAAGCGTGTTTTTCCCATCGTTTTCGACTTCTTCCAGAAGGAAGCGACTATTTATACAATAAATTTTATCCAATCTTAGCGACTGCTTCGTTTGCTTAGTTTCTTTTTTTTTTTTTTTATTGTGCTTTGCCGTCATAGAGATCAACTTCCAAAACGTCCTGGTTTTAAAATGGTAACACCATTTAAAACTGTGCTCCATAAATAGGCTTCTGTGTTTCGGAGGCTTATTTCTTTATACATACAGGGTGTTTTTTTTTAAGCTTAACAGATTTGTTTAAAAAAAGCCGTAAAAGTTACACTTATGCCGCTTGTGGAGTTGAGTTATACGGCCAAGGGGAAATATTATAGGGGGCTAATCGTAACGATCAGTCAACTAATTAAAATTCGTTAATTAACTTTTTAATTAATGAAAATAGACGTATGGTTCCAATTAGAAACTTGCCCAGCGTCATCGAAAACCCCAAAATCAGTCATTTTCAGGAAAACTGAGCGCGTGAGAAGCGTAACAGTGCACTAAAGTTACGACTCGTGGAGCAGGTACAAGGCTGGGGCTAAATAAGAGACGGAAAAATCGCGCGGGCGCCTTACCGCAACCGCTAGCTTTGTACCTGCTCCACGAGTGGTAACTTTAGTGCACTATTACTCTTCTCACGCGCTCAAAGTCTTTCTGAAAATGACTGATTTAGGAGTTTTCGATGACGCTGAGCAAGTTTCTAATTGGAACCATATGTCTATTTTCATTAATTAAAAAGTTAATTAACGAATTTTAATTAATTAGCCGACTGATCGTTACGATTAGCCCCCTATACTATGTCCCCCAGACTGCATAACTCGCCTCCACAAGCGGCATAAGTGTCACATTCACGGCTTTTTTTAAACAAATCTGTTAAGCTTAAAAAAAAAAAAAACACTGTATATATATTTTTTTAATTCAGGAGCGTTCTTTTTGTGTGCGTTTTTTTCTCTTACAGATTTGGTGTTTGCCGGTGTATATCTTTAGTGTAAAAAAAATTTAAAAGAAAGGTAATTATTTAAACTTGCGATAAAAAAAAAAAATGTGTGTGTGTTTTTTGTGTGTTTCGCGGTCGCGGTATCAGTCACCCGGGGCTGGGCGCGCTCTTAAAAGCATGCTTGAAAGGCTCCGGTAGTCCTGTACGCGGACACTAGCGGTTTGCTCGCGTGTTCCAGAAGAGTAGGAATATGGTACAAACATGTACCCCGCTGGCCACGTCATCATCTGAACTTCAAGACGTTGATGCCGTGATGTCGGTCTTATCACAGAGCTAAAAGTCGCGAGAAAAAAAGTGTATAAAATGGTGGTATGGCGGCTGCTGCGATAAGGCAGGACCAGGGTCTCATACTTTCGGAGAGATCAGTTGATTATAATCTCAGCTGCATGCGTCTCCACGCCGTGGCACCTCGCGTCCACCTTCAACACCTCGTACAGGTGTCGGCACGTCCAACTTCACCGCATCGCATCGGCGTGCTAGGAGAAGCAGCTTTCGCGGGGGAACATCTTGTGCGGATGGGCTCGGAAATTACGCTCAGTATATTACAGGTCGACATTTTTTGGTCTTGATCGTAGGTCGACCTCTGATCTTAGAGTGCTGTACCAAGAAAAAAAAAAAAACATGCAGACTTAAATAATTATTTAAGGTAGTTCCCGCGCAGCAGTCGATTGCTCGTTCTTTTCGGGTTTTATGGCGCAAAAGCTGTAATGGCCAGACTGCACTCGTGCCCATGCGTGCCCACTTGTAGCGCCAGAATGCAATCCCGGCATGCATTGCCCGGGCTGTTCAGGTGAGGTGCGAGAGCAGACGACGAGGGTCCGTCTGCTACTGCTCTGCTGCGAACTGCCATTCGCACAAAGCGGAAACTTAAAGAAAAAAAATAGTATATTTTCATCGAACGCGAGCTTGAAATGTTACTTTCTGCTATTTCATGAAGGAAGCAATCGGCAAACCATACTTTTGGAAGTTTTGAGTCGTTTTTTTTTCCCGTACAGTCGCTGAAATACATTGACTTGAAAAGAAAGTCTGGGGGGAAAACGCATGCAGCAGTGACCGCTTGATCTCTCGGGTGTACGGATGAAAATGTATTGCTAAAATATGGCCGATTGTTGACTCACTAATGGACAACATTTGTCGATAAAACTCGTTCAACAGAACCTGTAGATACGCAGCTGAGAAAGCTAAACTCGATGATTTTAACCAAGGTTTGGGGGAAATCACCATGTTTAACATTTACCTACACCACACCATCGTTTCATTTTTCGTGCATGCTCTCGATTTCGTCGCATTAGGAATAAAAGCTGATCCAGCTGTGTGCAACCAAGGACAGAAATCGTAGGTACCGCCAGACGTATTGCTGTAGGTTCCAACGACTAGTTTGAAACCGTATCCTTTCAGTGGTGATTACGTTTAAAACTGATCAAACTTATGCCCGACTAGTATCAAGGGTGCTTTTCCAGTTTAAACAGACTTAAAGGATTGCTCGCTTTTTTTTTCTTACAATTTGCTTCGTTGTCAGCTTGTGGCGGAAACATACATTGTCTGCAAATATCTCCAAAACAATCGAGCTGTTTAAGTCATCGCAAATATAAACATTGCAGCGACCGCACTGTCTGGCGTTCCAGCCTGTCATCGAACGGCAAAGTACTAGTTTCGGTTTGAGGTCGGTACTCTGGTTACAACATAAATGGCGACAGCATCGGGTTCCGATGAATTCTGGGAGAGAACTTGCACGGATCCAGTGCGCGTGAAACGAATTCGTTGTAAGTAATCTAAAACACACACACAAACACACACACATGCACGCACGCACACTAGCAAACGTATTACACATTTAAAGGTCGATTTTAAACGTAAACTTTGAATTTTTTTTATAATTTGGGAGTGATGGTTTTCGCAGTTTATGAGTTTGGTAGGTTCCTGAATCCTGGTGGAATGCATCTTTATTAACCGACGTTTTTGTAGAATTTTACATAAACGATATTGACAGGCTACATTAACTATGAGTTAAACGAGTGTAAAGTTCCTACTGTGCACGTACCTTCTTTGACCTCAACCTTATTCCTAAAAAAAAAAAGAAATTGCGTGTTATGTGCTACTTTTTAGGATTATATCTATATCTTATAATTTAAAAAAAGGCATAAGTGATACGCATCAATATAAAAGATGAACCCCCGATTAGACTGGTTACCGTTTGCTTCAATAGACCTATTGCTAAATTATCCAAGCATCAAGAGAATGCAGCGAATGGTTCTCCACGCACCGCACGTGCTGGCGTCTGCAGCAACATAACCAACCTCCCATATAGTGACAAAGCCTGGCAGATTGCCACGAGAAGCGGCTGGGAAATGGAAAAGGCAGAGCTGCAGACAACGGATCAGAGAAGAGCCACGTGACGGGCGCCCCGCTGCGGCGAGGCGCCGAAACACACTTCTCCCGAGCAATAAAATGTCCGCTCGCGCTTCTCGCGTTCCTCGCGCTACCGCTTCATTTCTCGTCGGGTTTGGAAACCATGTTTCGGGTCCTCGCCGCTGTAAAAGCCGTGCGCTGGCGTCCAGGTTCCCCGAGAAATGCTCTGTGCTACCAGATCCTCAGGCTCCAAATCTGCGACCGGGCACTCTATGGCTCCGTCGTCGAACTGCCAGGCTTTGTGAGTATAGAGGAGGCTATGGCAGCAGTCAATATTCTAAAACAAAATCCTTAAACAAATGGCACCTTGCACGCGCGTTCGTCGACGCTTTAGTTTGGTTACTGTAAAACTCTATAATTTCGCGAGCCCTTAATATTCGCAAATTTCGCAAATCGAAAAATTCGCGGCACGCAAAAATTTTGATTCTTAGAAGTTTCAATGCAGGAGTTTGGAATTCGCGAAATTTAGTGGCCGCGATTATAACCTCTGTATCCGAATCGCGAAGATAAAGGGCTTTACAGTTTTTACTTCGAATCTTTTATACGGCGAAGGCGTGCGCGTACGGCGCGTGGAACACCATTCCCTGCATTCGCCTTGATGCCTGGATAATTTAGCAATATGTCTATTGGCACCCCGGAAGTCGTATGCACACTAGCGCCAGTTGAACCTCTAGCGTACATTAAAAGAACTCGTTCGAACACCAAGATCCCAGGGTTCTGCAGAGCCCATGGGATCTGCAGCTCGAGCTTTTTTTTGCTCCATCCCCTCCGAGCTGCGGCACGTTGACACACTCGGCCACCGACTCCCCCATTTTCTCGTTGTAATCGAATGAAACAATCGCGCTCGAGCTTCTTCGGTGCTTTCGATGGAAACCGGCATACCATATCCGTAACGACATTTTGAAGTCAAATGTCTCGACACTTTACTCGCAGAAATCTAATTAAAATAGATTTGAAAGTAAAGTGGAGAGGAAAGCATCGGATATCATAGTATACTTTACCCGCTTTATTAATGATGGTACGTAAGGTGAGAAGACAATTATCTTTTTGTAACTGCAAAACGAAAAAAAAAAAAAGGACTTTTACAAATCTTTGTAATGCGAAACTAGAGCGCGGCTCTTGAGGTGTTTTGATTTTGCGATATAGCGTGCTAAAAAATTTGAGAGGGATATATATATATATAGATATGTGTACAAATATAGGTCACTTTTCTCCTATACTGGTTCTGCACCTCTTTCGTACCCTCCTCCGTGTCCTCCCCTTCCTTACCCTCGCCCTCCTCTTCTCCACTCTCCCCTCCTCCTCCTCCTCCGTACCCTCCCCTCCTCCGACAGCTTCCCCGCTAAATTTAGCTGGAAAATGGACGCCACGTGACCTCAACACCAATTATGATTTCCCCGCTAAATGACGCGAGGAAAATGACGTCACCTGACTTCGTGTCACGTAACCTATGAACAAATTCTGTTTCTCCGCTAGATTTAACGGGAAATCTGACGTCACGTGATCTCAACACCAATTGAATTCCCCGCTAAATTTAGTGGGGGAAACTGAATCCGTGTGTGACGTCCCATGATGTAACACTGCGCATTTAGTTTCTCCTCTAAATGTAGCGGTAAAACTGTCGTCACATGACCTCAACGCCAATTCAGTTTCCCCGC